AAATCGATTTTTCACGAATTTTTAAAGTTAACATAAAAAGCATAAAACACATGAATTTGGGGTAAATTAAAGAATGTATATCTCAAGAACAAACAGAGATTTTTCAAATCTGATTAATTCATTGAAATTGAAGGTGACACTTTCATAATGAATTGGTGACAATTTCACAAAAATTTTCCAAGAAATTGATTTTTAATAAATTCTTTTCCTGACAAAGAACTTTCTCAAATTGTTATTTATCACCATACCCAATCAATTCACTTCCCTATTTTACCTCCACGGCGTTTTTGTATTAATTACGATTTAATACCCGATTTTGTTGACATTTTAAAGCGGCCATAAATCATTAATTTATTTGTGTCAAAAAAGTTTCAAAAATATCGCATAAGCGGGGATAATTAATAATATAAAAAAAAATTTGTGGTAAAATGAATCTTGTAAAATCCGGTTCTGTATAATCAAGCGGAGGAGGCCGCGTGCCGATCTCCCCTACCCCTTCGCCATCTATACCCGGACCGCACGCCGCAACAATCGAGCACGCTTTGGAATAGTAACTCGGACTGCGCGATTAAAGAGCGAGAGAGAGATGGCGCTATTACGTAAGCTTCCTTTACGCATAGATTCTTGTGTGAGAGGGGGCGAAATAATGGATGGGAGAGAGAAGGATGGGGTTGGTTGGACCGCGCGTCGCGCGCGCGCTCTCTGCCGCCGTTTTGGGAAGCTCCGTTCGTCGGCGTTCCCACGCTTCTGTGATGGCATGCGGGGTGCCGCCACAGTCGCGCTACCGCGTGCGGCTCGCACCTGCCCGACGCGAACACGTGCTAACTTGATTCTTTCATAACTTTTACAGAGACGTATTTAAAAAAATGTTAACCAAATAAAAAAAAAAATAATTAATTAAATTTTAATACCAAATCAAATTTATTATTTATAACTAAAATTTTATTTGGAAATAAAATTTTTTTGAATCCGCCCCTGTCGAGTGTAGTCCGAGGTTCGAGTTACACCTACTAATTTTATCTTCTCCTTAATCGGTTTCTCTCTCTCACTCGCTTAAGATATACCGCCTAAACGTCCCTTTGTGTCTTTGTAACCGAATAAGGTCAGATCACGAACCAACCTAAAAAAAAAATTTTTTTTTAAATCTTTCCCATTAAAAAATTCCTCACGATTTTTTTTCTAACCGACTTAATTTTAAATCATACTTAAATAAAACTATTTTGAATATCTTATTTTCCCGCTTATTATTCATAAAGCGTCATCGCGGGTTGCATTGAAAATGGAATTAAAACCGTTGTCCGACGTGTCCTTCGAAGGACACGCATAGTTGCCCGTACGCCACTGGCGGATGAGCGCCGAACGAACGCATCCCGATATAAATTTTAATAGGATCCGACTGCGACGTACAAATATGCACCCATTGTCAAGATAAATTAATTTTGTGTTCAAGGAAACGCTTCGGAATGTCTCCTTAAAAATCGTCGAACACAACAAAAGGTGCTTAAAAAAACGAAACGGGCAAAATGAAAATAAATGAAACGGATCAAGGATAACCGATACTTAGCGGCGGATCTCTTCTTCTTCTTCTCCTCCGGATAATTAATGCGGCAATAATTCGCCCAGAATCCGTGAGCACGATGAGAGGCGGTCCGAGATAATTAGACTTCCGGTGAATCGTGGGAACTTGTGGCAGGTGCTACACCGGGAGATCTCGAAAAAGACCCATCTCGTACCTCTTTGCCTTTCTCTCTCTCTCTCTCTTTTTCGTTCACTCTCATCACTTTTATTTATGCATTTCAAATTAAAATTATATCTTAAAAATCATTTTTATTAAAATTAATGGGTAATATCATGTTATTTAATAATTTCGTTTTAATTGTCGTGTAGGAAATGAAAAATCCTTTAAAATGAATCCAAACACGATGGGGTTATCTCAACAACTCTCCGAGATACGCTTCACTTAATACACCGGAAATGATGAAAAACAAATGAAATTGTTAAGTTAAAATGATCGTATCTCGGGTGTTTTTGAAGATAATTTAGGGGTGTTTGAGGTCGTTTTAAAGGATTTTTGATGAAGATTAAGAATTTTTGATAACATCAAATTTTTTAAATCGATTTTAACCTAACCTCACTTTAGTTTATTTTAATTTTTTTTTATTTTTTTGATACTGCCTTATAAGGAATTAATTATAACGATTAGAAAAAGGTATTTTTTTCGCAAAAAAATAACTGAGATAGTACTATTAATTACAATTTAATTAACCGGAAGCTGATAATAAGAATATTAATTTCAACTTGGTTTTCTTGTATAAAATTAAAAATCCTTTAAAATGAGTCCAAACACAACGAGGTTATCTCGAACACTCCCCGAGATACGCTTCATTTAATAAACCGGAAATGATTAAAAACAAATGAAATTGTTAAGTTAAAATGATCGTATCTCGGGTGTTTTTGAAGATAATTTTACGGGTGTTTGACGTCGTTTTAAAGGATTTTTGATGAAGATTGAGAATTTTTGATTATAACATCAAATTTTTTAAATCGATTTTAACCTAACCGCACTTTAATTTATTTTAATAATTTTTTTTATTTTATTCATGCTGCCTTATAAGGAATTAAAAAAAGCTAATTTTTTCAAAAAAAATAACTTAGATGTTAATTAAAATTTAATTAACCGTAAATTGATATTAACAATAATAATTTCGACCTCATTATTTTGTAGGAAATAAACTATCCTTTAAAATGAGTCCAAACACGATGGGGTTATCTCAAAAACTCCCCGAGGTACGCTTGATTTTATAAACCGGAAGTGTCATTTTTGACATCTTATCAAGTTAAAATGATCGTATTTTGGGTGTTTTTCAGATAATTTGGAGACCGTTTTAAACGATTTTGATGCAGATTAAGAATTTTTGATTATTACAAGTTTTTTAAATCAATTTTAACCTAACCTCACTTTTACTTATTTAAAATTTTTTTATCAAAATAGTTGCTTCTTTTATCAAATTATTAAATGTATTAATTAAATCAATGTATTAATTTACTTATTACTTTATCATTTAAATAAAATTTTAAATAAATCTTGACGTTTAACGTGATATAAAAGTCAAAATTGACGTTTCAAAATTGTGGAGTTAAAATCGCGATATAATAAATAAACGATTTAATTGTTGATTAGAAAATGCTTTATTTTTGTTTTTAATTTTTAATAATAAAAAAATTATTTGTAATTATTCAAAATTTACCGCCAAAAATAAGATTAGCGAATATGGCCGATTTCAAATCCACCACCTTCGAAAAAAATAACTAACAATTTTTTTTAATTAATTTCAATTATTAAAATTATTTTAGTTAATTAATAATTTAATTATTAAATCAAATCATATCATTAATAAATTTAGTTTAAATAATTAATTTTTTAATTTGACGTCGATGTTTTGACAAGTAAGGTTATGTCATTGTGTTTGTTGTTGTTGTGATGTGGTTTTCGTGGTTATTTATGTTATAATTAAGGTAAGTTTATTAATAATAATATATTCGATACTATTTGAGACGGTCGTTTTTCAAAACGATCTGAGAACACGGTACTTATCCCATGGATAATTGCCACACGCCATCTCTCCACACACACACACACGCGCGTGAGTTCTTGCGGGCCCCCGTGAGAAAGTCTTCTCCTCGCTCTCGGACAAGAAGCCGTGCTTGTAATAGTAGTAGCGGTATAGTTACATAATTGGTTTTCGAGCTGTACCCGCTTCGCTCAGTACTGCTTTTAAGGAAGTGAAGGCAGCAATTTTCTTTTTTGAAGATTGCCTCACTCATATCGCTCGAAATTAACGTAAAAAACTTAATTTATTAATCAGGACGTGATTAGTGACTTCTACTTTCGGGATGATGTGTCGGTTGTAGTGGTGGTGGTGGAAAGGAGGAAGACGGTTGTAAATTAGTGTGTAATTGTGAGATCGGCGGCGCAATCAGTTGGCGGAAGGAGCAATCAGAGCGGGCCATGAGAACGGCCCTCTCGATTCTCACGCTGTGCACGAGCTATACACACGCCTACCGCGATACAGCTTCCTGTTGATTATTATTCAAAACTTTTTTTTTTAATCTCTCGTTTTTTATTTTTAAATAATTAAACAAAAAAAATTTATATAAATCAACTTAATTTAACGAAAAATCGATTGTTTTTCTAAATTATTTGTTTTAATAAAGAGAAATAAAGAGAGAGACGGTTAAATTTGAAAAGGGGACATTAAAACGAGAGGGAGACGTGGTAAAAGGAGACGAAGCGTGGGCATCTGTAAAAGGGGGCCCGTGGGAACGGTCCGTTCGAGCCGCTTCCCACGAGCCGGTAGACCGTGTGCGGCGGTCGCGCACGTTCTCCGACGGCTACCGACGCCGGGGGGCGCGCACGGAACGCGTCCTGCAACGGAATCCTTTAAGTGGGCCACGTTCTCTTTATATTATTATCGAACGAAGACGGACAGAAAAATACATCTTTGAACAATACCGAAAAGAAATTACAAAAATTTGCTTTTTACATTAAACGTCATTTTTAAATTTTACCTATTGACATTAAACGTCAGATTAAAATTTTTAGGTCAATTTTTCCTTTTGACATTAAACGTCATTTTTAATTTTTTGAGGTTTATTTTTTCTTGACATTAATCGTCATTTAAATTTTTTCTATTGACATTAAACGTCAGATCAAAAATTTTAAGGTTAATTTTATCAAAAAAGAAAATAATAATTAACTGATAATTAAACAATACGGGGAATTATGAAAGGGGGAGATTCGGCGACAGTAAAAGTGCGACAGTCACACGATCAAGGAAGAAAAGCGGGGCGAAAAAAAAAGAAGTAATGATAAAAGACCGACCCCACGACGGAGTCTGTTGAGAGTTCCCCGGGTTGTGTATTGTCCTCGTCGCAGTGCAAGCAAAAAGGAAGTTCCTTCACATCAAGCGGCGGCGTGCCGCCATACAAACAATGAATGAAGGCCCCCACCACGCGGCCTCGAACCACCTATAAATACCGAAACGCAACTATTCTCACGCCATTCCACATTTTGCCTTTAACTCAACTCAAATATCCTCCTCCTTAAAGTTACGAAAAAAGTTTTTGTGTATTTACCAAGTGATTTAAAGTGATTATGGCGCCAACGGCATTTATGGTTCAAAACGAATTTGGTGAAGAACCAATTTCGAGAACTTACCAATACCGAAAAGTAATGAAACCGATGTTGGAGCGAAAACGTCGTGCGAGAATCAATCGTTGTTTAGATGAATTAAAAGAATTGATGGTCTCCGCCTTACAAAACGAAGGGGAAAACGTATCGAAGTTAGAAAAAGCCGATATCCTCGAGCTAACAGTTCGTCATTTACACAATTTGAAAAGACAACATCAATTGGTTGTAACCACCGATAGTTCGTACGCGGATCGTTTTAAAGCGGGATTTTCGCAGTGTGCCCAAGAAGTTAGTCATTTCATCGCCGCACCAACGAAGTTGATAGATCCGGCTTCCGGGAGAAAATTAATGCAACACTTAGGAACTTGTGTACGACAATTAGAACAATCGCCGCAACAAAATAATAATAATAATTCGTATCCGCATCCGAGTTATTCACCGCCAATTACGCCGAATAACAATAATTGCAATAATAAAGGTTTCGATGAGCAACAAGTCCGTCACCAAGTTCAACAAAATATGTGGAGACCGTGGTAATAATAGTAATAACAATAATTGTTAAAAAATAATTTAAATTGTCTTCCACTACGATTTTTTTATATTTTTGTAAACTTATAGCTTTACTACTGTGATAATATTTGCTCTAAGATGATCAATGATGTTGTTTTTTCTCTTTAATTAATTTTGTATGTACCTGATCGTGATAATGTAAAATAAAAATAAGATACTTTGTGGTATTTCGTTAGGTTTAAGTTTTAAAAATAAAGAAATTTTAAACATTAATTTTAATTTTATTTCATTAAATTGTAAATAAAAGCATTAATTTAGGCAACCAATATGACAGTACTAATATTATTTATTTAATTCTAAAAAAGTTTTCATCTTTTATAATCTATGAAGCGATTAATTAAGCGACTAACTTACCTAAAAACAATACATCTCAAACCGTAAAATAATAAATAATAATTATTACAAAATTATTGTTATTAAATAAAGTGGTGCCATCTCGCGATCATTTTCAATATTTATTTAGAAATGTCATATTGTCAAATATTAAAAGCAACCATAACCTCAAAAATGTAAACAGCAATATTTTTAGATTATAATGATTTTATGGTAAGTTTTTAAACATGTTAATGCCCAAATAAAATCAAATATAGTATTCTAAATACTTCTATTTAATTAGTTGCTTTGATGACGCCTGACATCAATCTTTAAGAATTAATGATGGGAATTTCCGTTAGTTTTCAATTAAATTATATAATAAAATACACAAATTTGATGAAAATTTTTTATTCCAGAGTTAAATGTGTCCTCATATAATAACACAATAGAGGATTTTCATCTATATCGTCAGTTAATTTTGCATAATTATAAAATATTATAACTTAACCTCAAATTTTTTCCTGTTTATTTCAGAAACAGAAATCAAGATTATCCAAGATAAGTTTTAAATCATTTATGATTAACTAAATCGGTAAATTTCAATTAGATTCTTTAATTGTTTTTATTTAAATAAAAAAATTTAAACTTAGCTTAGTATGCAACAAACATAGCACATGCGTTAAATTGGTTGCATTTATGTTTAATTTGCCATTAAGTGGTTTATTTAAATTGATCTGCATAAATTATACTATAATTGTCAAAGGATTAATATAATTTATGCTTTCCATCTCCAAATGTATGTAGCTTCACGTAGGGGTGAATTCCTTCACAGTACTTAAGCCCCAGCGGGCCTTTTGTACATCCCCACATTTTACAGTTCATTCAGGGGTCAGAAAACCAGCCCAAGGTTTTAATAAACGTTAATATAGAACAGAAGGGTATGTTCTTTGTATTCGAAATTTGGGGCCATGATACACCAAAAGTGGATTCTCTTAAGTACGCGAGGTTGAATATGACTTACCGTCTCGTCTTCCATTTCACACCCTTTATAAAGGGATGTCTTTGCCAGCTTCATGTAGAACATGTGCTTACGTAACCTGCAGTGTCCGGTCAGGAATTGGGCGAGGAGCCACATATCACTTTTTGATTTTCCCAGGAACTGAGTAGATCTCTTCCGGTCAGTTTTTTTTGCGAAGATACCTACTGCAGTCTCATCCCATCTATCGCAAAAAGCTCGATGGGAGATAGAGTTGATAGCTTTGATGCTGTATTAAGTAATTCAAAGAAATTAAACAAAATCATATGCTTTGAAAGTTAATTTTATTAAAATCGTAAATACATAATCAAACAACAATGAAAAATTAATTGGTGGTGTTTAAATCTTTAACATCCTTATGGAAAATAACGACCTCCTTGAAATACGAGTTGGGAACAACAAAGTTATGGTAATCAATCGTTCTATCGAATGGATACCCAAACGATTTATGATCAACATCCCAAACTCCGCTTCCAACTCTTGGGTAGCCGAGTTCTTGGTGAACGACGCCATTTGGATGGTATTCATAAAAGATGACGTAGAACTGGTATTTTTGACCGGTTACGGTACCCTTTGGAAGCAACAACCTGTTGGGGAATCCCCAGAAAGCTTCACTACCATCAATAACGAACTCTTCGTGGTTTTTAATCGAGGTTAAAAGGCGTTTGTAAACATCTAAATAAGTGGTTCTGTCCGGCACGAAATAATTCGTTTTCGATGAACGTTCAATCATATTATGACCTTGTTTCAAAGTGTAGGTGAATTTATCGATTAAAACGAAATTAACGCGATTCTCGTCGAGTTCAATTTCGCGATTATATTCGTCGTATTTCGGTCCGATGAAAACTTTACCAATAACCTCGACTGGTTTCTTTGAAGTAACCCCAATGTGATAGCTGAAAGGTTTGTGATTTAAACGGTGTTGTTTCACACGGACAGAGAATGGTTCTCCGGTTAATTCGGATTCTTTAGCGATAACACCTTGGCCAATGTTAGCGTAGAAATCGTCGAAGTAGGTGATAAGACGATCAACTTTGAAACTATCGACTTCAACGCCTTCAGTTAAAAGTTCCTTTTTGCTGTAATACGGTAAATGGCTTTTATATTCGTAGACGAATCCGATTACCCATTTGTAGAATTGCCAAAAAACTGGGTCTCTCAATGATGTTTCGTAGTGCTCTAAAGCAGCTGGAACGACTTTGTATTTATGAAGTGGGGTGTAGGTGTATCCTAAAAGATGACGTGCGTACATTTGGAGGACTCCATAGAAATCGATGTTTGGTGAATCTGGGTTTCCTTCTAACATGTTGGCTAAAATTGCAACGCCATCATCGGTATTTAAAGAAACTTTAGTTCCATCTTTGGTGTAAACAAATCCAATATCGATGGCATCTCTAATACGTCTAGCATAATCATAAACGTAAGTGTGTGCGTTTGTAAAATTGTTGTAATAAGGATGGTTATATTGCCAATGTTCTCCAATGTTGATGTAATTAGGTCTTGAAGGGAAATCTAATCCATTTGGATAATGCAAAGATGGGTAATATCCAGTTTTAATTATGTCATCGTAATGTAACTTCTCAATTTCTCCAAAACCATTCGATAAACGTTCTAAATAATATCTAGCTAAAAGTTGTTGATGTATGAAATAAAAAATTTCCCCACGATTATCTTTCTTCAAATTAAATTCATCTCCATCCATCCAAAACGGATAATTGATATGATAATAATAATAGAATGAATTTAAACCAACATCTTCCGTGAAATAACTCAAAGATTGTTCGGGATGTAAATTCATGTACCATCCGGAATAATTCGATTCAATCGTGTAACCAACAAAATTATCCACCGTTGATTTAGGATATACACCATCGTAAAGTTGTTTGTAAGTTTGGGCTTCAGTGATCGTTTCCGTGTTAAAGAAATAATACGGGTAAGTTTCGTAAATCGGGGGGATGATAACTCCGAAAGTATCTTGTCTGTGGGTGACAGCAACGGTGAATGAATACAAAAACATTCCTTCGTTGACATGTTGACGGGCCCAAACGGCGGTGTTAAAGAACGTTTGGTAGTCTTTAGCGTAGTAGAAAAGTTTGAAAAGTGCTACGGCTGGTTTTAAATGTTCTTGGTAAAAAATTGAAAAGATCGAACCGCGTGGAAGAATATCGTTGTCGTAATAATGGAAGAAATCTTCGACGTATTTCTTATCCTAAAATAAATTAAATTAAAAACCGTTTGAATAAAACCAGTTTGAGGTTAAAAAAATATTACAGTATACGATTCCGGGTGAGTCCATGGTTGATAGGTGGTGGCGGTGTCGACGAAATCCTTGTAATAAGTCGGTTGGTTTACATACCTAAATAATCTTTGGATTTGTTCGGTTTTAACCAAGAAAGTGTTATCATCTAAAAATTATAACAATGATGATGTTAACCAACTTAATTTTTAAAAATAAATTTTTTGAAATTATTAATTATTAAATTATTAAAAAAATATATTCTTACCAATTTTGTATTTTTTAGGAATAACGTTAGTGGGGGTCGGTATCGCAAAAGAAACGGCGAAAATCGCCGCAAAAACCACCGCAATCTTCATTTTCGGATTGCAATGCTCTTCGATTTAGATCAGGGGTCTTTTATACCAGAAAAGAGCTGTTTGGGGGTGACCTTTAATTATTATAATCAAAGCAAAAGGTTGATTATTTTTTATTTTTGTTATTTATGCGATTTGTCTTGCTTATTAGCATTTTTTGTGAAAAGTTGCGTAAATGTTTTGTGGCCAGATGTGCGTTTATGAGTGCATTTGAGGCCGAATTCCACACCCGTTGTGTAATAATTTGATTAATTAGCGGTATCGCTTTTTAAATTTGGATAGCAACTGGAATTAGGCATCGAAATTAAATTGTTTTTTTCTTAATTGTTATCGGTTAACTTTTGAACGATTAGATTCTTTTAATGAGCTGATGGAATTTGTTGTTATCTTTGGAAATTTTTTTTATTGCAATTTGTTGCAAAGTCTTCAGTTATAATTATTCAAGTTTTTCAAGTTGAAAGCTTTTCTTAATTTTCGTAAAATTACAGGTTATATCACAACTGTCACCATCTATTAATAGAATTGAAAACTATTTAAAAAATTATGTTAATTAATTAATTACTCAAAATAAAATATTTCACAACGACAATTAATATATTTAATAATTGTCCCGTATATTTTAATTAATTCTCAATAAAGAATAAAATTGATATGTTTCATTTGATAGTTTTCCGGAGCGCCATCTGTTAGGCACAAATCAAACTATAACTGTCAATTAATATTTATCTATTTCGCTTAGTTTTGCGATTTCAATTCAACTAATTTAATTTTCACTTCTAAATCAACAAGTATTTGTCAATCAACACTCAATACATTTAAATCAATATAATATTAAAATTAATTTTAATTGTTTACAAAAAAATATTTTATTTTTAGCGCTATCTATCAACGGAATTGGTGATTGAGTATGTTGAATACCGTAAAAATAAATAAAATAATTTATTGATATACTTACTTATAAATGATATTTAAACCTTAATATCATCATAAAGAATTTATTTTTAAAATTTAAAGTTGTTTTACAAAATATTTAAAAACATTAGATATTTTAGAGCGCCATCTTTTAATGCAGAGTGCAATTACGATAAATTAGGTGACTCTAGTCGCTATGAAAATAAAAATGTTTCCTGGTGAAATTAAACTTGATTTTTCGATAATTATCGCACATTGAAACTCAAAAACACTTCTAAAATAATTTTTATCATATATCTTGTTATTGTGGAAAATTTGGGGAAAATCGGTGAGTACTACAAAAATTGTAATTTTTAAATTTATTCTGCTATAAATTGAAATTTGTAATTGGAAATTAAAGATTTAATGTTTTAATATCTCAAAACACTTATTTTATCGCATATTACTATTTGGATCATTTAATAATGATGAAAATTAATGTTACATAGAACATAACCTCAAATTATGGTTTGAAATGTCAAAAATCAATTATGCTTTAACTAATTTTATTTATTTATCAATCATCTAACATGTTTTAAATGTACAAAACAAAGGTTATTAAAGAGTTGAAGTATTCATTTCATCCATATCATTGACGTGATAAATAACGACATCTTTGAACAAAGCATTTGTGACATCGAAAGCGTAATAATTAATTGGCCTATCAAACGGATATCCAAAGGAGTTGTCCCCAAGCATAAGACCACCAGTTCCAACCATTGGATACATCTTTTCAGTAGAGAACTTCACTTCACCCTCCACTTTTTTATAGGGGTACAAAATCACGTACATTTGATAAGTCATACCGCCTTTTTTCCCCATCGGTAAAGCCAACCTTCTTGGAAAACCAAAATATGCTTCACTACCATCCAAAGTGAACTCTCCTTGGCCTTTAAGAACACCCATAATCATTTTGTAGAGGTCAAAGCGTGTAGTTCTATCATTAATAAAGAAAGCATTATCCATCGAATTCCGGGTAATAACATTTTTTCCCACTTTAAGTTGATACATAAACTTGTCGATCATAAAGAAATTCATACGGTTTTCATTAATATCAATTGTACGTCCATATTCATCGTATTTCGGGCCGATAAAAACTTTAGCTATTGCTTCAACTTCTGTTTTTGAGTTAACCGTAATCTTGTAAGTGTAAGGTTTGTGATTTAAACGTTCTTGTTTAACTCGAACTTTAAAAGGTTCACCTTTTAAGTCGTCGTAATAAACCGCGGATCCTAACTCGGTGTAGAAATCTTCGAAATATGTTGTTAATCGATCAAATTCCATGTTTTCAACGTCGACACCAACAAAGTCGAGTTCTTTTTTGGTGTAATATGGAAGGTGGCTCTTGTATTCGTAAACGAAACTCATGATCCATTTGTAAAATTGCCAAAAAACTGGGTCTCGTAAGCAAGTTTCGAAGTGTTCCATTGCGGATGGGACTACTTTGTATTTGTTTAATGGGGTTGTTGTGTAACCTAAAAAATATTAATTAATAAAATAAATATATAAATATACAATTTTGTTACCTAATAAATGTCGTGAATACATCTCAATAACTCCGTAAAAATCTAAATTTGGTGAATCGGGAGTTCCTTGAATCATATTGGCTAAAATTTCTAATCCATCGTTATCATACAAAGACATTTTAGTCCCATTACGTGTAAAAACAAAACCCATATCAATCGAATCTCTCATACGTCTAGCAAAATCTTTTACATAAACATAAGAATTCGTAAAGTTACTGAAATGAGGATGATTATATTCCCAATGTTTTCCAACATAAACATGATTGGGTCTCATTGGAAATTCCATTCCATTCGGATATTTCATCGAAGGATAATAACCGGTTTCAATTGGTTCATCGAAATTCATCATTTCAATTTCGCCAAATTCGTTTGAAAGTCGCTCCAAATAATATCTAGCCAATAATTGTTGGTGCACCCACAAATACATCGCTCCGCGATGATCCTTATTTAAACCAAACTCTTCGCCGTCCATCCAAAATGGATAATGAATGTTATAATAATAATAGAATGAATTCAATCCAATATCTTCCATGAAATAACTCAGTGATTGTTCGGGATGTAAATTCATGTACCAACCGGAATAATTAGATTCGATCGTAAATCCTTCGTATTTATTATAATTTGGGTATTTTCCGTTAAACATTTGTTTCATAGTTTGAGCTTTCGTAATGGTTTCAGTGTTGAAAAAGTAATACGGGTAAATTTCGTAAATTGGAGGTGGAACAATTCCAAAAGTATCGACTCTGTGGACTAAAGCAACGGAGAAAGCGTACAACCACATCCCTTCGTTAACATGTTGGCGAGCCCAAACAGCTGTTTTAAAGAACGTATCGAAATCGTTGGCGTAATAAAACATTTTGAAGAGGGCTATCGTTGGTTTCAAATGTTCCATGTAGAAAACTGAGAAAATTTCGCCTCTCGGAAGGATATCGGTTTCGTAGTATTGATGGAATTTTTCCACAAACATGGGTTTCTAAACAATAAATTTAATTAATTTAATATTAATGGTTATAATTTGTATTTACCTCGAATTTATCCATGTTTTTCCATGGTACGAAAGTATCGGCGATTTCAACATATTCTTTTTGGTAGATTGGTTGATTGACGTGTTTTAATAACCGAAAAACGTGGTATTCTCGTTCCATAAAAGTTTTATCACCTACATAAATTCGTATATTATAATAATTTTAATTATTTTTTTTTATAGGTTTGAGGTTATGTTATGAAGAGTCCCGGGTTGTGGAGATATCTTATTGGTGAGTCTTTTGTAATTTTGTATCTTTTAACCATGATTATTAACAAGTTTAAAACTGGTTTATTAGAATTTTTTGATGATTTTAACCGAGAAATAAACATTTTATTCGTTTTGATTTATTGAGGTTAGTTTGTTGTGTCAAAAAAAAATTAAGTGATGCCAACTTAAAATGATTGAAGTTTTTTCTTATTTATTTCATTATTTATTTTATTACTTATTTTAAATCAAAAATTTATTTGATTTAGATATATTTAACTTATTTTTTTATTAATTAAGTTTTTAACGTATAAAATAAATTATATCATTACCGCCATCTATTATCGGGTATAGTGAAATATGAAACGTCAAAAAATAAATTTTAATAATTTTTACTTACCCATATTATACTTTTTTGGAATAAATTTTGTTGTAAACGGAGTTGGGGTGGCGAGCGCCAACGCAAAGAGGCAAGAAACCAATAGGATCGTCTTCATTGCGGAAAGATTACTTCTTTCTTGAGACACGAAACGTTTCAGTGTGATTTAACGAGAATTATCGGGCGATTTTATACCCAAAATTTGAGTCGCCTTTGACCCTTTCTCGATATTTTATTAAAAATTTATTATAACGATACTTTATGTAATAGTATCAAATAATTATTCTGATAATAATTAATTGGGACGTGGAAAATTTTCAATCAATTTTTATCTTAATTAGGTGAGTTTTTAACGTTGTATTCTACTAAAATAATGTTTTCTTTAATTATTTATTTCCTTTAAGTTAATTATTAATAAAAATTAACAATAAGAAAACGTAATTAATTTAAAAAAAGAAAAGATAGGCAACCAACATCACACGATTTTAATGTTTGCTTATAATCCGATAGATGGCGGTAAATCATTCAGGATCTTGTTTATTAAAAAAATCAAATTTCACGATTAACTAATCGTTAATTAACTAATCAATTATTTTAATTAGCTTGAAACAAAGACGAAATTATTTCTCGTCTCTTTTTGTTTTAATGAAATAACAAATTCCTCTCTGTTTCATCATTTCTTTTCTTTTTAAATCGTTATTTTTTTTTTGTGGCTCATTTAATTTCAAAAAAGGGAATAAAATTCCCGACATCCCAACGATACCTTCCTTCTCGAGAAAGGAAGAAGTGTTTCGAATCGACGGCGATCGCGGTCAGCCGTGGAAAAGAGAAGAACCAGTTTGATCGGGTCGAAAACAAAAACCGGACGACCCATCCAAAGCCACCGGCATCTTTCTTTGTATGTGTGCGTGCGTGTATCCGTCGGCATAATGTGTAAAATTTTAATAGTTGGTAATTACCCCAACCTCTATTTCTTTCTCGCTCCAACATTCTCTCCACATTCATTTTTTTTCATTTTTTCATCTTGATTTTCAATATCCATCTGGCGGTGAACGTTAGAAACGACGTTTCGGTTGAAGGCAAAGCCGCTTCGATACATTGTCCGCGGTAATGGATTAATTTCATTTTGAATGGAGGGGTAAAGGGGAATCGCGCTTCCCTCGGGGGGGATAACCGCTAATACGATTTATCGACCATTATCTGTTGTTAATTTATTTCGAATTGCTTTTCTTTCAATCTTACCCACTTTTCTTTTTTTAATGTATCATTTTACTATTAGTTAAAATCATAATAATAATTTTAGTGTCTTATCGTGAATTCGGTTAGAGATCGATTGATAAAAAGTGTTGATATCGCTTTAAAACACAGTTAATGCATTTTCGTTTTTAACACGAACACATTATGTTTATGAAAGATTAGGTTCGTTATCGGGAGATTTTGTTGGTACAAGCATTTGTACTTCTCGTTAAATAACGATTATTAAAAAAATTAAATAAAACCACTAAGAAGGTATACGATACACTTTATTTCTATGAAAAATTACATTAGCTGCAACTTCACACCGAATGCGACAACTATGGAGTTTTCAGGCAAACAATTTGACTAAAAATCGTTCCTTTTACATCTTTGTAAAGATACAAAAGTCTTGTATAAGAAAATATTTGGCCTCACTCTGCCGAGGTCGCTTGCGGGCGAGGCAGTAGAATTTCCCAGAATTGACTATTTCGTAAAATAGTTCCTTTTATATCTCTGTAAAGTCACAAATCTTCTATAAGAAACGATTTCGCCTCAAATCGCCGACGTCACTTGCGGGCGAGCCACTGGTTTTGATACATTAATACGGAATAGTCAGCTCTACGGTTTCTAGCGCCACGTCCGCTAGCGACCTCGGCGGAGTAATGGTAAATGTTTTCTTATACAAGACTTTATACCTTTACAAAGGCATATTGGCATATTAGGCGCTGGAGTTGATACATTTATACAAAGTTCAGTTTTATAGGATTCTAGCGCCTTGATCGCAAGTGACTTCTGTGAGCTGAAGCAAAATCGTTCCTTATTCGTCTTAGATACAAAATCTTCTATAAGAAAACATTAACCCTCACTCTGCCGAGGTCGCTTGCGGGCGAGGCAGTAGAACTTTCTAGAGATGACTATTTCGTGTTGATTTCGTGTTGATATGCGCCTCGCCCGCAAGCGACCTCGGCGATTTGAAGCGAAATCGTTTTTTATACATCTTTGTGAAGATAAGATAAAGTTTTCTATAAGAAAGCATTGAAGTGAAGAACCCCCAGAGTTGACTATTTCGTGTTGATTCTAGTAATAATATTAGTTGTATTGTTAGTTGTTATTCAGCGCTAAGTTGTTGTATATTTTCAACAAAACTAGAACAAACACTAGACTTAGAACTAGAAAGTTTTGGATTTATCCGTGCGTCTTCAGACGCGTAAATGTTCTAAGTTAGTTCTAAGTCTAGTGCTAGTTCTAATTTTAGTTCAATTAACATCAGCCATGAAAGCCTTCGTGCTTATACATTATGACCAATTCAAAGCATATTCATTTTATGAAAGATTTAGACCTTTAAAAATCACTGAGATCAAGTACATATGTGGAATATCATTACAATAACACTGTAATCAGTTCTATCGAGTATCGAATAATAGATGTCGCACATAATTATAATTTATATTACCCTATACAACAAAATCACTTTATTAATGTAAAAATATAAGACATTCACGAGATAATATTAATAATTACATTGTTTTTGTTAAAATGGAACTCGACGTAGTCGAATTGTAAAACCCTACGTTCTCGAATTGGAAGGCGGCCGACTTTGATCTCCAACTTACATTCCTCATGACTCTGCCACTTACACAGTCCGACCGAATCGTTAAAATCATGCGAAACTTCAAGCTCCTTATAACACGATCCCAATTCAATTTTTCTTAATTTTTAAATCCAAACAGAATTAATTTTATTTTATTTCAATGAAAAATAATTTATTTAAATTTAAATTAATCGAAATTTTCGCTAAAAATTAACTAAACAATTGATTTAACTCTGTAGATTTGGTCGAGCTATCTTGAGCCGCACTCGGTAGTTTTATCTTTGAAGTTGTTCTTTCTGTACCGGCTTTCATTTGTGTCGGGACCGTCACGGAGCGAGGACGTAACCGTTTTTATTTTGTTTAATTTTTTTGAGTGTGTTGTTAAATTTTTCGTAAATGAAAATGTTATTAAAACACAACAAATAATTCCTAGTTTTAACCTTTAATTCATTTAAAAAAAAGTGTCGTTTCGTTATTTAATCGAATACTAACGATGAATTCACGTTGCGATGTGGTTATTTTATTAACGCTTTTAATCGTCGGTTTAAACTTCCCATTAATTTCCGGGCTTGTTAAGTCGAAATGTGAACGAATCACCGTTTCTATGTGTCAAGGGATTCAGTACAAGTGGACGATGATGCCGAATTTACTCGGACACACCACTCAACTTGACGCTAACATAATGGTAAGTAAAAAAATTGGTAAATAAAAGAAATTCGTTTCTTTTTTGTGGAAGTTAACCGCGAATAACGACCTTCGGCGAAAACTTCCAAACTTCAAGCGGCGTGTGTTCGTGTTTCGCTCCGGGAACACGTTTAAAAATAGATTTTTTGATCCCTCCGTGTTTACATGTGTTTCCTAGCTGCTGTTTTCCTTTGATCTTTAAGCGCAAAGAGGCCGTAAAGTGGATTCCAAGTCTTTTAAATTAAAAAAAAAAAAATAAAGAAATGATTTTTTGGTCCTGATTTCGGTTATAAATTGCTCATCTTCAGGTTAATCGAAGTTGTTTTATGAATAAATGCAAAATTTCTTAATGAAAGTTGTTCGTGGAAATATAATACCTTTAATGTAATGTTTATAAAGCTTTGTGAAGTCCCAAACTGTGACTAACTTCTTATGTAATTATTTCTGTCTTTACAATTTCCGTGTAAAGTTGAATTATTGGATGTTTGAAGCTTTTGGGAGATAATTTTTAATGATTTTTATGTGATCTATTATCTTTAAGTTTAATACTCGTGTTATGTCACATAATACCCTTTAGGCAAAGATCAATGAGTACAAAAATTTAAAGCTGGGGCAGCCTTGCTGCCGAGGCAGTGGCTTTGGTACTTAAAACAAAGTAAAGTTTTCTTTAGCACAAATACGTTACTCAGAAGGCGAGGTAGCCATGCTGCCGAGGCAGTGGTTTTAATACGTTTGACATAGACAGTGTGAAATATTACGATTTTAATGATTTTACAAATTAGATAAAATGATAAAGAGTACAACTTTTTTTTTAAATTTTTTCCTTAAAAGTTCTAAACCTGAATGTTTCTAGTTCTAGGTTTAATACTAGTTCTACTTTTAGTTGAAGAAAAATATACAACAGTCTAACATTGAATAACAGTTAAAACTAGAACTAACACTAGACTAGATCTAGAAAGTTTTTTTAGCCGTGCGTCTTCAGACGTTTATGTTTCTAGTTCTAGGTCTAGTGTTAGTTCTAGTTTTACACCAGCACTGTTACTATGTAGAACTAATACTATACCTAGAACTAGAATCATTTGGGTTTAGCCGCACGTCTCTGAAGACGACTAAACCCGAATGATTCTAGTTCTAGGTCTTGTGTTAGTTCTAGTGATAGTGCAAAACTAGAACTACAAAGTCTTCTATAAGAAATATTTACCATCAAATCGTTAGTGTTAGATTTGACACATTAATATGAAGTTGTCAGTTTGGAAGAATTGTAGTTTTTTGCAATCAGCTCCGTCACATATGAAACATCAGGAGACAGATAAATACGAATTGCTTCTTGTTTCAAAATCTTGCAGTTTTCGTCTAATTGTTTATTAATTTTATATTTGATTTTAATTTAATAACAATTGATTAAGGTTGGTACGATTTAGCACGTTTATGTTGGCGACAACATCCAACTTCACGGTGTAAAAGTGACAAGTTACAATAAAAAGTTACGAATTATTTTAAGATTTGTTATAAATTAGTTTAAAACTTTATGTGAGATGCGTTCGCAATACCAATGTAAAAGGATATTATGTTGTGTGTTTAAGAAACCATCAAAATATTTGCAAAAAATACAATATTTAATAATAACAAGGTCATTGACCTTGAAAATTATGCAATAACTTTATCGTAAAAAAAATTGTTTATTCCTATTTTGGTGCTTTTCATCAATAATCATTAAATATTAAATAATATTAATGCTTCTTTAATAATTTTCACTAAAAAAATTAAAATAAATAATTTTAGGTTATGTTTGAATTGTCACAATAAAATTTTTTAAATTACCTTTAATTTATCTTTGTAAAAAGGTCCTTATAACTTAAATAAATAACAATAAACGTTGAAATAACACTTCTTAATAAACTTTATAAATATTTCTCAAATAATCGTCGTAAATAAGCATAATATGAAAACGGCGTCTTATTTTATTTGTTTCAATTACTAAAAGATGGCGTTATTTAAGTTCTTTTTAATAGGAATTAATAAATTTTTTTTGGTACAAATTTCTTCGATGTCGGTGCCCTTTGAAAGTAACGCGATATACGAAAGCTTTAAAGCGGTTTATCGACGTTCGTTATCAACACGTTTTTTTTTCGAGTCTTTGTCGGCAGATAAAGAGCGACGTTTCATGTTTGTTGTTTTTTTTATGTTCTTTCCGAATGGATCTGTGTTATAAAACAATAAATATTTTTTTTTATAATTTAAATCAATAATTGCATGTGATTTATTAGGACCGGTTAGTGTAGAGGTGTTAAAGTTTTTAACCTTCAAATTTGTCATAAAATGAAATGTCATTAAATAATTTTTTTGGGTTGGTATAAAATTTGATTTTTTTTTTATTTGTCAATTCCTTCTTCTGGGAAGAAGCCCCTAATGACCGGTATAATGAACCACGTCCGAGAAGAAAACGAACGAACGAACGGAACGATGGTGGTTTCGATGGTGTACGGAGGGAGCCGGGTAAAAATAAAAGTCGGGAAAGGAGACGATTGGGGCCCTCGTAGGCGTTACCGGACCGACGCTAATGACAGGTCGGCTTTTGTGAAGGCGCCTGGACCGCTTGATTACCCTACCTGGGTCCCCCTCTTTCTCTCTTTTTCTTTCTTTATCTCTCTTTCCTTTACAGATTAAAACCCCGAGATCCCTGTATAACATGAACCACACGCTGCGATATTAACCGAAAAAGAATTTCCAAAATGTTTGTATCGAGGAAAAAGATTCAATTAAAAATGCCATCATTTTCAATTCGTCACTCGGCATTAAAGGCGATCAAATTTTTTTCTAAACCGCATCGTAATTTAATTCAAAAAAATCAAGTCGTCTTCGTTTCATCAACGTCCCCGGTTTTGTTCTTCGAATGCCATCATCAAACGGCGCCGATCTTTCGCGACGAACCACAAAAACTGGTCGTCTTTGTCTTCTTCTTCTTCTTACGACTCCTATCCGCTTCTGCTTCTTACTACATTGTATTTTTATTTTTATTTGTATTTGTATTCTTATATTTCTTTTTATTTCAGCTAGAAAATTTTAAAGGAATCCTCAACGATCAATGTTCACCGTATTTAAGACTTTTCGTCTGTTCCGTTTATGTACCATTATGTTCGGAACACCTCCCGAGGGCAGTCCCCGCTTGCAGAGGTCTTTGCGAACAAGTTAAAACCGATTGTTTACCAACTCTACAGAGATTAAATTTATCATGGCCCGAAGAATTTAATTGCTCAAGGTAATAATCATTATTTTCTAAATTAAATTGAATTAATTAGAACTAATACTAAATTTAGAAACATTCAGGTTAAGAAGAAGTGTTTGACGTTTTAGATGCTATGTTGCCGACTTTATTGCATCCTCTTGAGCTTGAAACATATCGTACCACGATATCGTTTGTAGATTTTCACGGGCGATGTTATTAGAAATTGTTATGCCGTGCGTCTTTGACGCGCGGCATAACTAGCAAGTTTCTAGTTTTAGTTTTATTTCTGATTTTGTACTTTTAACATTAAATCCTTTGACATAATAAGCGCTGGAAAATTCTTAAAAAAATTGGATCATTAGTAATGTCAAATTTGACGTTATGTTTGCCGTAAGAACCATTAATAAATTGTTGTGAAGTTAGTCACATTGACGTTTAAACTTTAAAGAATCAAAAAGTCCAATTTAGTTGCCGACCCTAGATAATAACAACAAAAACCCTAAACAATTTTACCTTGACGTTTGTTAAGTGAGGTTAAAAAAAATTTTTCTCTTGAACGTTTAAAAATTTAAAAAATAATATTAATTTAATTTGATTCAACAAATTAAACTAAACAAATTATTTTTTTTTTTTAGATTTCACGAATACTCCGAACAACCTAACCTATGCATGCAACAACCGAGCGACGAAGAACACCTCCAAGAGACCCACCATTTTGGCCAACTCGAAATCCCTTTGAAAAACGTACGACCGCCTCATCATTGTCCCAAAAACACAATCTTTTCAAACAATATGTGCGTTAAGATGTGCGTAAACGACTCAAGCTCGACCGATCGATTACTCTACGAAGTTTGGACGGGAGTTTGGTCATTTGTTTGTTTGATAGTAACAAGTTTTGCGCTGTTAACGTTCACGATTGAGCCGAAACGTTTCCGTTGGCCCGCAAGACCAATTTTATTCTTAACAATTTGTGGATTTATAACATCTTTGGTGTACTTGTTGCGTTGGATTTTTGGACCGTACACGTGTTCGGGGGATTTATCGATATTAAAGCCCTACGATAATTGGCTCTGTATTAGTATAGCCTTAGTTTTAACGTTTTGCGAGTTCGCCTTTTGTATTTGGTGGTTCATTTTTTGTTTGGTTTGGTATTTAAGCGCTGCTAAAGAGTGGTCGACCGAAGCTATCGAGAGAACAGCACCTCGCTTACACGCTTTAACTTGGACTGTATCGATAATCCCGATTATTTATGCTTTGATTTCGAATAACATTGTTATAAACGAATTTTCTGGGTTTTGTGAGGTAACCACTTTGTTATTAATCATTTTTGAGATGATTTTTACTTTACTAGGGGCTATTTTGGCCGTTTTAACCTCGGTCGCTTTGAAGAACGTCCGGAAAACTTTGATTTACGCGGGAAAATCTCCGTATAAATTAGAACGATTAATTTATCGATTAGGTATAATAAGTTTGGGGATATGTCTCCCCTTATTTATATGTTTGATGTGCTATTTCTTAGATAACTTAACCGTGGCCTTATTAAAAGTTTGCCTTAAATTGTTGAGCGCCGTATTCGCCGCAATCTGGGTGTTCTCCTCGAAAACGTTTAAACGGTGGAATAAAATAATTCGACCGTCTTTTACTCACAAAGATTTAACCATGCCAGTTACTAAAGTGTAATTTAACTAATTGTTGATTAAATTCTCGAAAATTGTATTAATTAAAGTAGTATTTGGAAAATGATGTGATATTAATTTTAAGATTTTTAGGTTAAAACTTTTTAATTAATTAATTTTTCTTGTTATCTCAATTACAAAATGAGATGATTATTTATTTTTTTTTGTATAAGTGTATATTAATGTTGTAAATAAATTTAAATAAATAAATTATGACATTTAATTTTAACCCTAATTAATAATATGAGATGGCTCCATCAGCCCGATTTATATATATAACACCTATACATATAGTATATATACTATATGTATACATATAGTACTTTTCGGTTTTACCACCCTAAAACTTGGTCCTCCTGATATTGTCGGAAATACCTCCTCGGTATTATGCGATCCTGGTACACATCGTAATTTTACCTCCTCGAAAATGAAAAGTTACACCAAACTACTAACCCTTATAAGTTCTTTCAAAAGTACTACTTACGTATAAAGAAATCACATGCTAAATTGCACCAAAATCGATAGAAGTACTTGCAAAAAAAAAATTTGGTGTGGTGAGGGTAGTTAACCCCAGCCACCCCTAAATGAGAAAAAGCAGTTAATTAATATTTTTAAATATACTATAAGTGTATTTAATGCCGCCAAAATCGACAGGGTAGTTTTTAAATTATTCCAAAAAAGTAGGGGTAGTTTTCTACTGCCTCTACTGGGATTGAATATACTGTGTTCTCTAACACAACAAATATTAATTATTATAAGGTTTCATTTCTTAATATTTAATATTAATATTAATTATTACAAAACACACTTTCAAATTTTCCGCTATTTTAGTTACAGTGCACTTATTGAACTTAATCGAAAGCAGGTGCAACAAAATGTGCACTAACTTGCACCCGCTGCACGAAATTGCACTGCGCATGGCCCAACGAACAGTATGAGTGCAACTACACTAAACTACACTATCCCCAACGAACACACAACATCTGCACTAAACTGCATAGTGCAAGTGAGTGCAAGTAGTGCAGTCCCAACGAACAAAGCTAAAGAGTAGTTTTGAGTAGTTTGGCGGGAATTATGAATATGAAATATGTAGTTGTAATTTTTTCAATCCATCTTTTTTATCGGTAATATATTTTTAATTAATAATAATTTGAGTTAATTTAATTGTAAAATTAAATAGCTTTTTTTATGTAACAATTTTATTATTTATAAATATAAATTAGCATTTGTACAGATTTCTATTTTACCAATATATTTTACAGTTTCCTGTAATCGATAATTGTCAAATTAGTATAAATTAATTAATTTGAATCAATTCTTATTCTTTTAATCAAAACAAAAACAATAACCAAATTAATGTTTTAGGTTAACTCAAACAATCATGAAATCAATCTTAATTTTTCATCGAAACACTATTCAAAGCAAACCACATCAGCCTTTTAGAAGGTGTTACCATAAATTCGAATGATAGTTTAGTATTTTTTATCACAAACCCAGATGTAGTTATTTCCTGAAATCAAACTACCGGATGTTAGTTATGTTAATGTTAAACGTGTTTTTGAAATGTCCTTGATAATTTTTTATTTTTAGCTTAATAATAAGAGATGGCGCCACCAAACCGACTCTAACCTCACAACTAGTACTTTTCGGTTTTACCACCCTAAAACTTCCTAAATCTTGGTGTTTGGGGTGTTTGGTGTTTAGCATAACACAACGGATCAAAGATTAATTATTACGTAAAAAACATAAAAATGTTCACCACTAACGTTTTAAAAACTTTAGCTGTAAACGTAGCAAGGTAATTAATAAATTAATCATTTTATCAATCATTTTTGAAACATAACCTCAAAAAAAAAAACTAATTTTACTTTTTAGAGCTGCGAGAAAAGCGCACACCCTCCCTGAACTCCCCTACGCTTACGAAGCCCTCGAACCCGTAATTTCCCGCGATATAATGTGCCTCCACCACCAAAAGCACCACCAAGCCTATGTAACCAACTTAAATGCAGCCGAAGAAAAATTACGATCTGCTTTAGAGAAATGTGACGTATCCGGGCAAATAGCGATCCAATCCGCTTTAAAATTCAACGGTGGGGGCCACATAAATCATTCAATTTTTTGGAAAAATCTTACCCCAAATTCTTGTGAACCCACCCCGGAATTATGTCAAGCGATCTCAACATCGTTTGGAGATATGGCTAAAATGAAGGAGAAATTGTCTACGGCTGCTGTTGGGGTACAAGGCTCCGGGTGGGCTTGGTTGGGTTATTGCAAACAATCAGGGTGCTTAAAAATTGCGACCTGTGCTAATCAAGATCCGTTGGAGGGTACAGTGGGGTTAATCCCATTGTTTGGAATCGACGTTTGGGAGCATGCCTATTATTTACAGTATAAAAACGTTAGAGCGGATTATGTTAAAGCTATTTTCGATATTGTTAATTGGAATGATGTTTCTCAACGTTACACAGCTGCAAAAAAATAAAGGATCGTAATCAAATATGTTTTAGAGTTAAAGCTTGTTGATGAGATATTAAAAGCGAAAAATTATATTATGTGATCTTATTTTGTTGTTTCTTTTTGTATTTTTCGAATAATTATAATTGTTAATTAATTTTTTTAATTTTATTTATAACCTCAAAAATTTACGTCAACATTTTTTTCCAAATTGAAAATGTTATGCTCTATTAATTATTTTATTTATAACAACAAAACAACATAAATATGACTCTTATTATAAATATTTATTATTATTATTCACTTATTACTCATTCGTATCCGTTGTATTGTTATAAAAAAGTGGTATATAGGCCAATGTACCCAATTCTTTTAAACATTGTTGCTTAACCCATCGTTTTTAATATACATCCTTTCCATTACAAGGTAAGTTTTTTTTAATTTAATTTATTAAATTAATAAATAGATTAGTTTATTTATTTTTATATGTGTGGTAACAAAAAGAAATGAAACGTCAAAAATGACAGAAAGCAAATTTAAGGTTACCTCAATTTAAATTATTTTTGTGACGTAAGGTCGATTAAATTCACGTAAAAATGCGTTTTAATTCAAATACCGACGAGTAAAGCCTTTGTTCTCGTGACAATGAAAAAGTATCGATTCGCATTAATTCCGTTACAAAGAAAATTCGCAATACAAACAAAATTCAAGATGTGAATTGATTAAAATGGAAATCTCTTTTTTTACCAAAAATGTTCAAATCGGAAAGTGTTAATTTGTGCGACGACCTTGCTAATTGGATGACCAATTTGCCGGAATTAATTAAAAAAGTTCCTATTAAAAATTTAGCCATTCCAGGTAAGTATGAAATCGACCGATTAATTAATCACAAACGCTTTATGTTTTGAGGATCTCACGATAGTTTTACATCATCGATAAAATCCAGTTCGCCAATTTCACCAGATGCGGGTGAACTGTTACAACGAATGAATTGTATGGGTCCAATGTTTCGCTCGGTAATTCGGCGATGGGTGAGAACGCAAGAGTTTAATGCACTCACTCAATTACAAGTCGGTATAAGATACTTTGATTTAAGAATATCCACTAAAGAAGGCACACATCAATTGTATTTCGTGCACGGATTATATTCCGATGAGATTGATTCAGTTTTAAGAGAATTAATCCAATTCTTAGACGATCACCCAAAAGAATTAGTTATTTTAGACTGCCAACACTTTTATGAGTTCACCTTGGCAGATCATTGGAGATTAATTTCTTACATAAAGGGAAGATTTAATTCAAAATTAGTACCGGTTTCGAGTTCAATGGATTTTTTAACCTTGGAGTACACCCAAAAACATGATTACCAAGTTATAATTATTTATCGATGTAACGAAATTGGAAACGATAAGTTATTATGGCCAGGTTGGAATTTCCCCAATCCTTGGCCGGAAACTACGAATAAATCGGAGTTAATTAAGTTCTTAGATGATGAATTAAAACGAAGAAACAATTTTACGGCTCTTATTACCCAGTTTTTATTAACACCAACACCCGGATCGATTTTAAAACGATTTTATAGTAAGAAATTAAATAAAGGGAAATTATTTAAATTGTTTTTCCTTTTTTTAGGTAGTCTAAAAAGTTCGTGTGTAGACCCAATAGATCAAATGAAATACAGGTGGCTTTTAGAGCAATCTCCAAAAGAAAAATTAAATATTGTTATTGCTGATTTTATTGACATGAACAATTCAAAGTTTCCAAAATGTGTTATCTCGTTAAATAAGGTGTATTTAATTGGGAGATATCCAATAAGTTTAAAACAATCTGTCGAGGAATTAACAACAATCGAGTTATAAATATTAAATAATAAAGTATTTTATAACTGCACTTTCAAAAAAAAAAAATAAATAATAAAGAAAAATCACTTAATTATTAATCTATTTTTTTTTGTTCCATTATTAATCCATTAATTACTATTTTATAATAACAATTTTAATTAATTCAATTTTATTTCAGATTTAAGTTGGTACTTATCTGTCAAATTTAAATCAACGTAACCTTAAAAGAAATTTTACCTAATTCTACGTATTATTTTTTATTTTATTATTAAAGGGCTTTAACTTTAAGTTGTTTCATTTTAGGGGCTCGTTTCTTAGCCTGTCTTTTTTGTTCCTTCTCCTCCCAACGTCTTTGCTTTTCGGGATCATCTTCAGCCATCACCTTTTCCTTCTCCAAACGACGCTTTTCTTCCCTTCGAGCCGCGGCAGCTTCGGCCCTTGCGGCATGAGTCGACTTCAAAAAAGCCTCTTCTACCCTTTGCCTATTTTTGTCGGCTTTATTTTTACCTTCCTTCGATAATCGGTAACGTTTTATTTTCTCGATGCAATAAAAAATCATTATAAACAACGGTTTTAATTGTTCCATTGATTCGTTTAAGTGGGCCCCTTTTACTTTCGGGATGTTAAAACCGAACAATAAAACTTTTTGAGTATCGGGTAATTTAATAGCACCATTATCATCCGGTTGTTTCACTCCGGAATATTGATCGGAAAAGTGGATGTAATCGACTAAATCGGAGTATTTATTTAGTACAGCCGTTATTTTTGAGTCTAAAAGCGCTGAGGTGGCTTCCGCGATTTCCCCCATCACGTTGAAAGTGCTTGGGATGTTGAATTTTTCACCTGGTTTCCGTTCCGGGGAATAAATACTTAAATCGTTCATTTCTTTCGAAAGATGAGCCGCGGTTTTTTTTGATGCTATACAAAAAACGAATGTGTCCATATCCTCTTTGTTCATTATGACTTTTACGTGGATTTGATCAGCTGTTGGTCGCATCATTCCAGCTATAATCGCAACTAAATCTTGCCTCTAAAAGTTGAGGTTAAATTTTATTTTTTTAAGGTTATTTTTTTTTACCTTAATTAATTTTAATTCAACCAACATTCCTTCACAACAAGTTCTCCCACTACACCATAAAGTAAAAATGTTTTCGCTTTCTTTCAACATGTTAATGTTATCGGAATTTTCGCTTACTCCATCATCACCTTGAAACATAACCTCAAAAAAATTTTTATTTTTTTAAATTAATATTTACCGACTAAACAGAAATTATCTTCCAACAAAGTTTTATGTGTCTGATACCAAGCGTTCGCAATTTTAGTATTTTTGCTTTTCCCCGCGGCGAAATTCAAAAAATAAACCACCAATCCAGTAATCATTAAAATCTCCAACCAATAACTATCCCAATTAGCCCTAAAATGAACGGGGACCGTGGTGATCGTAATTTTCGGCACGGAATCGCCCCTCTCATCCTTTGTATCAGCGAATCCCTCAAACTCCTCGGTATCTTGGAAGTGTTCGAATTCCGAGTCATCCTCGATTATAACCTCACCTTCTTCATCGTCCGACACGAAAGCCTCCTCATCTTGGAGGTGATTCTCTTTAATATTAATCGGTTTCTCCTTTTCATCGCGTTCGTTTATCGTGAATTCGTCCGAATCAAACTCTTCGAATTCCGCAAACTCATTGTCGGACAAATCCGCGTAATTTTCCCCTTTTATGAATGATGATGAGAAAAGAAGGAGCGATAGTACCAAAAAAAACTTCATTTTTGCGGTTAAAAACCGCTTTTAATACTTTTTAACACGATTAATAAGATAGTAATTGACGTGTTAACTAATATTTGGTTTTTGGTTATATTGGGTAATATTTAGTTGTTCTAGGGGAATTTGGGGCTTTTATATTTTTGGGGGAAATTTTTTAAATTTAATTTATATTTTTATTTATGTCTAATTACTTAATTAATTAAAGAATTAGTTTTTATTATATCGATTAATTAAGTTTGCGTTAAAGAAATAAATTAATTAATAAAAAAAACTAGGGATTTTTATGTCTTTTGCTTTTTTGGGGTGACATTTATAAATCAATTTGACAATTAAAATGTATCAAAAATGAATTAATAAAATAAAATTCTTCGAAAACGTTATCAAGATTATCGTTAACCTCGAAAAAAAAGTCACCTAAATAAACAATGATGGTACCTCGATGTAAACGAAACCTTCGTTTTGGATTTTTTGACCTTATTTTGCCGATTCCCGTTAATCAGTCAAATACCTCAACAAAACCACACAGAAATCGGGCCGTATATAAGAAGTACAAACAGGTTTTGCTAGTTCATTCTCGATTAGTTACTGAATAAAGACGTTTTAACACAAGAAAAGTAAGAAAATATTTTTTCGATTTATAATTTTAACCCTTTAATTTCAGATGTATCTCTTATTGGTGGTTATTTTGATCCATTCAGGGTATTCCCAGAAGAATTTTATATCCCCCGTTTACGAGTTGGGATCTTACATTCCCCCGGTTCCATCAAGTGGCGAAATAGAAGGAGCTAAACCATCATTTATCCCTCAAATTGAAGTTGATACTCGTATCGATGAAGAAAACGAGAAACCCCTGGTCCCTCCTTCATTCGTTTTGGGGTCAAACACCCCGATTTCAAGTATTCAACCTTGGAAACCAAGTCAAATAATTCCACCGAGTCGCCCAGGGTCAAGTTCGAGCGTTAATAAGCCATTAGGAGCTGGTTCTACCTCACCAGAGATTAACAACAATAACTCGATTGACAAAGAAACGCTTAATATCGAATATAAACCATCAAGACCTTCGTTTCATCCAAACCCGGGGAATAATATCGCTCAAATAATTCCGAGTGGTGGCTCGAAACCTTCTAAGGTTGATATAAATGATCGGATTCAAGATGAAAATGATTATGCTAATTATGCGGATAAATATCCTTATTATGTTGTGGGGTCGCAAAAACCCACTCAAAAGCCGATTGTTTTGGATTATAAACCAACGAGACCATTTTACGCAGGATCCCCAAAGAATTAATAACCTATTTATATTATTTTAATTATTATTGCGTTTATATTATTTTAATAAAGTGAATAAGAATTTAGATTCGAGTGATTCATAAAATCTTAATCATAACCAAAGTGATTTATGTCGGTTTGTAGATTTGGTGGGATTTCTAACGTTTAAAAATTGTTGGCTCAGAATTGTGTCGATATTTATAATGCCCGGTTGGTGTATTATTTGTGGTATTCTCTGAGCGTATTCAGAAACACTACGAGCTGAGGAATCTTGGTACGGTTTCAAGATTTAGATACACTTATACATAGAAAAAATCGTTCTTGGACGTAAATGAATCGTTGATTATTACATAATTATCTGTGTAAATGAAATGAAAGAGTACGGAGAGGGAGATTTGTGTAAACCGATTTCTAAATTTGTAATCGGAGATTTATTTTCTTAATACGGCTTAAACATAAAACAGAAATGTCTGCGTATTGAGGGAGTTTAATCTTTTTTGTTTTCGCTATTGAAATTTTTGTAACATTATTAGATCATGGGCCCACCAACTGCCAACCTACTCTCCCCGCGACTTAACTTCTTAGTCACCGAAATGTATTTTTGGAACTGTGCTATTTTATTTATACGTTTCAGAGGAGAAACTGTAACAACTCCGGGGAAAAATGATTCTTTTTTCATCTAAACCCATTTTATTCCAAGTTAATTTTTTAAAAATTTAAACACTTTCCTGGTTCCAAGAGAATGTATTTAGAGAGTCGCTTTAACTTAAGTGCTTTGAACCAAGTTAGAATAAGATTTGGATCAACTCCACAATAATTATGTACTCAATCAACCGATTTACATTTGGCTTACGTTCATAAATTCACATCTGATATGCCAAAACCGTTGTGAGAGGTACTCAAATTGTTATAAATAAAAAAATTAACTAAAACAAATTAAAATTTCGAATCGAAATGCGTTTTAACGCCCAGCTTGGAAGGAGAAGCTTTTATAATTAACTCCCACGGGCAAATGTCAGCCAGAGAGTAAATTTGGAACCGACTCTGAGCTCCGTTAAGAAATAACGTCTCCAGGCGCTTTGAGTAATCTTGAAAATTGACTAATTAAATTACAATTCATCGAATCAAATTCATCCTAATAAATCTTAAACCTTTCAAAATGATGTATCTAGCGTTTTAAACGATTTATTAAGAGATGTTACGGATGGAATCAAAGAAAATATATATTTAATTCGCCTAATAAATCTTTATAACGCCGATTTGATGTAAAAGCGGAAAATCAAGTTATAAACGAGATTTCCTTACCTCTCTTTCTCTTACCATCCAGGAATTATTTTTAAGAAATAACCTCAAATTAACAAAAATGGTTAAATCAGCCGTAATTTATGTCACTTTGATGACTTTGTGCGTTTTGTTGTGTGTGCTTTTATTGGTTCTTGACGTTTTAACGGGTTTACAAGAAAAACTTATCGAATTATTAAACGGACGGGAAATTCAACGACGTGAGGTGATTATATGTTAAAAATTGATCAAATTTAACAAAATTAATAATTTTGTAGGATAATGAGAATTTACGAAGAGATTTTATCGATTTAAGACAACAATTTCACTCCCCAGCCATTGCAGCTTAATAAAAATTATAAATAACTTTTTTTTTAAGTTTAAGTGTACAAAACTATTTTTAACATAAAATAAATGTACAGTTTAAATCAAAAAATTTTGTACATCAATTTTCGATTTTTTTAATAAAACCAATTTTAATATAACCGATTAATTAATTAAATTGAGATTAAAAACAACCGATTTATCTGTTTTTAACAAAAAATACATTAAATAATTATGATTGAATACAAACATTAATTTATGTGTATGATTTAACGTGTAATAAAACGTCTTTATTTCGAATTTTATTCCCATTTTTAACCTTTTAAAGTAAGTAAAAAGCACAAAAATGTATTTTTGGGTAATCTTTAAACAATTTTATTCCAAATTCTAGTTGTTTTAGGCAAAATTTTAATCAAAAAGTGTGAAGTTGAAAAATTATTTGTTTGTTATTTTTTGATTATAACGATTTTGAAGGAATTAATTATTAAATTTAACGACTACTTTAATAGAAATAGGGAGACAACGTAAAAAGGTAATAAATTTGAATTAATTAGTATTAATATAATAAATTAAATTGGTTAAAAAAATTACTAAGAATGATGCAATTATTTATGTTGGTAAATATTTTTTTTGATGTTAAAATTGGTTATGTGTCAATTTGGTTTGAAGTTTAATTATTATTAATTTTTTTTCTATATATGATAAATGTTTGTCAAGTTCAAGATGGGTTTTTAACGTTTTGTTGTATGAAAATAAGAACTCTCTCCATATGGAATAATTATGACGGTAAGATGATGCGAAGGAACCTCGGCGAGGAAATAATTGAGTTAAATCGAAAAAAAAAGAAGTATGTGATAAATATTCGATGTGGGACAAATTGAAACATAATTACTTAATATTATTAGAGACGCAGAAGGAGTGTATGAGTTAATGTTATGATGATGAATTAAATTAATATCTTGTTGTGTTTTAGATATAACCCAATATTAGAAAATCGTAATGACTGGAATTCTTAAATACGACGTCAGATATCGTTGGAAATGAGTTGAAAGTGTTAGCCGGAAAGCAATCAACCCAACCTATTTAAAGCGTGGAAAATAAATCATCTATTATCTTAAATTCTTATTCACAAAGATTGTTATTTGGTAACACAACTTCTAAATGTTCTAAATTATTTAAATAACCAACGGAAACTGATGTAGAAGCAAATTTAGAAAGGTTTACGTTTAACTGTTTGGGAGAAAAAAACGTGTATGAAGGAGATGAGATAAAAAGAGGTTATAAATACCAAATGGGAGAAGGTTCTGGATGGAAAATTGTGATGTAGTAACGATTTAACGTTTATTATTGTTATGATAAGATTTTATGTTATTGCAATTATGTAACTTGGCTTTAATAATAAAAAGTGTGAATGAAAAATACCAATTAAAAAATTAATTTTTTTGATCAAATGATTATAGGTTAATGTACTTGTTCCTGCTGTGAGTTTTTCAGCGCGGATCACGAACAAAACGTTTCGCCCCCACTTTTATTGGTAGAGTGTCGAAAAGGAGTACACCATGTAGGGGCCCCCGGGACCTTCCCCGCGATCCCCCCACACAAAAAGGCTCGCGCGCTTTAGAATATTTGCGTCCTGGTCACTACACCTATCCTGTTCCAAAAATGGTAGACAAAACTGGGATACGGCGGTACCGTATCCCCGGGATTGGCGCGGGGCCCCCACCGATACGCGAACAGCGGCGGTGGTGAACGTTTCCCCCCGCGTTCCCGGTATCTGGTTACATCGGTTTATAAAAAGTCCCACCACAGCCGATCCGCGTCCAGATAGGCTTTCGAACGTAAGTGTGTTAATACACGGGGTGCGAAAATTTAAAAAAAAATTAACGCCATCTATTTTCGATTTTAATTATTCTTACTTACTATTTGGTTTAATTTTAAAAAGTGAGATGTGAAAAAAAAATAATTTGTGCGGTTTCGGTTTTGGTGGTTTAATTTTTTTTTTGAATTAGATTTTCGAGGATATCTGCAAGTTTAGTGGTTATATTAAAGTGAATTAAACCGTTTTTGATAAAGTGATTAAATCAATTAAATAAATTAATTATTACTACAGATATCCTTGAAATTAACTAAATTAATTTGAAATTCAAAAATTTTAGGTTATATAATACGTCAAAATAAAGTTTTCGGTTTGATTTAAAACGTCATAATGGAGGTTAAGTTAAAACGTCAAGTTGACGTAAGAATGAAAGTGACATAACCTATAGGAATTTTTGAAAAAAAAATTAATTTGAAATTTGTGCGATGAATCCCGGGGATTGAAATCGATACTTTGAACTTTAGTAATCGGCTCGTTCTATTTAAATCCTCAATCTACACATACCAGAAATATAAATAACGTTGATGTAGCGACCAGAAATAGAGTTCATTGTGTTGCTTCATCTCCCCGAACGGATTTTCTATAAATATCGAACCGTTTTAAGAAAAATCCATTTTATAGTACCTTTTTTGTTTTAAAATAATAAAATGAACGCTTTGAATTGTGTAATTGAAGGCACATGCCAAGATCGCGGGCATTATTTGGCATCGCCCTCGAGAGGAGGCAATTTCGGGCGTATCGCGTAACGCTCCCGGTCCATTTATAGATCATACATTCCAAACAACTATTTTCGTACCGAAAGTATTTATAAAACGGTTCTGAGAGGAGCTTGAACGTGGTTGACACGTTTCCTTGTTTCCGGTAAAACTTAAAAATGTGTCAACCCAAGTTTATAAATACAAAAACATACTTGGAACCATTTCAACATCGCGCACGTGTTATAATAAAGTTTTTTTTTGATTTTTAGGAAGGCTCTAGGGCTGTTTCTCTTTACGTGTCTCAAATAGCCCCAGCGCAACCAACTCGCCAATATGCCGAAGAAAGCAGCGTCCACCGAAGAGGACCCCGATCCCACCCCATACCTTTTCGTTTCGTTGGAACAGAAACGTATCGATCAGAGCAAGCCCTACGATGCCAAGAAATCTTGCTGGGTCCCCGACGACAAAGAGGGCTTCTTACTTGGTGAAATTAGGGGCACCAAAGGTGACCTCGTCACCGTTGGTATCCCCGGAGGAGAGGTAGAATAACCAACGACCACAAAAATTATTTCAATCAATCATGTTTTATCAAATTAATAATTTTTAATTTAATAAAATAAATTAAATTAAAAATTATTAAAAACATTAATTCACTCATTAATTAATAAATAAATTAGGAGAGAACGTTGAAGAGAGACTTGGTTCTCCAAGTGAACCCCCCAAAATTCGAAAAAGTCGAAGACATGGCCGATTTAACACATTTAAACGAAGCCGCCGTTTTGCACAATCTCAGACAACGTTATTACTGCAAACTAATCTACGTAAGTAACCAAACCGATCTTACTAAAAGGGTTTTTCTCTTTGTATAGGAGAAGAACTTTAAGAAAGAACAGGTCACTCAAGTGAACCCGCCCAAGTACGAAAAGTGCGAGGACATGTCTAACTTGACATACCTCAACGATGCCTCCGTATTGTATAATTTAAAACAAAGATACTATCATAAATTGATCTACGTAAGTTGGACCGAAACTTTCGTTTCGGTCGTGCGAAGTTTTTAACTGTTTTTTTGTGTCACGTAGAATTTCTTAGATTTTCGGAGAGCCTAAATTGATACAAAAACGGCTTTTCCTCATACTCTTAAACCACTATTCAATTCGACACATTTTAGCCCTGGATACTTAAAGGCTATCTTTTTCATGTACCTTTAACTCAAACATTCCACATCAAACAAGCACCAACATCAACTTTTAGCCTTTTTGATACTTAAAGGCGATTTTTTGCACATTTAACTTTTACCACAAGACACAAACAACTGTGTAGTTTTCTCAAAATCATCAAAAATCGATGATATATATGTTCGATTTGTGTTAGATTGTAATTTTAAAAATTAATCTTGATTTATGATTCTTTAATTAGACCTATTCCGGTCTCTTCTGCGTCGCCATCAACCCTTACAAAAGATTCCCCGTCTACACCAACCGTTGTGCCAAATTATACCGTGGCAAGAGGCGTAATGAAGTCCCACCACATATTTTCGCTATTTCTGATGGTGCTTACGTCGCTATGTTAACCAGTAAGATTATTATTATTTTTTTATTTAATAATTTGCCATACACGTTTTTTTAATCATTTTAGATCATCAAAATCAATCCATGTTGATTACGTAAGTGCTCTATTTAACTTTTTTGTTATAATTATGGGTAATGAAATGATTATTTTATAAACAGTGGTGAATCTGGTGCTGGAAAAACTGAAAACACGAAGAAAGTAATTGCGTACTTCGCCACCGTTGGTGCTTCAACTAAGAAAGATCAACAGCCATCTGGTAAAGGTACCCTTGAAGATCAAGTCGTACAAACCAATCCCGTACTTGAAGCCTTTGGTAACGCCAAGACAGTGCGTAATGATAACTCGTCTCGTTTCGTAAGTATACGAAAAACAATATTAAAAATTTATTTAAAATCGAATAGAAAATTAAAAATCCTTTCATTTGATACCCAACAACCCATATTTTGGGTTAACAATAATGAGATGACCCCAAAATTAAAAAACAAGATGGCGGAAATTTTGAGAAATTATTAAAAAATCGTAAATGAAATTAAAAATGTTTTAATTTGATACTCCGCAACCTATATTTTGGGTTAAATTTGATAAAAACGTCATATATCATGAGCCATGTTTTTTTTTTGAATTGTTTTTTTAAATTTTTGTGATATTTCCGAAACGGTTTGAGATAAACTCATCGTGTTTGGACTCAAACTCATCTGTTTGGATTTTAATTTTAAACCGATTTTAAGTAATTTCGATGAAATTAAAAATGATGTAAATTTTTTTTGTAACTAAATAGGGTAAATTCATCCGTATTCACTTCGGCCCAACTGGTAAATTGGCTGGTGCTGATATCGAAACCTGTAAGTTTGATCAAACACCGCCTTTTTGCTTTAAAATAAATAATAAATTTTTTTTGAAGATCTATTGGAGAAAGCTCGTGTCATCTCCCAACAACCTCTCGAAAGATCTTACCACATCTTCTACCAAATGATGTCTGGAGCCGTTAAAGGACTTAAAGGTATAATTCGTGCAAAAACTAAATGTTGAATAATCATTATAAGAAATTACTGAATTAATTTTTTATAATAACATGATCATATAAATTAGATATGTGTCTACTTTCGAACAACATTTCGGATTACTACTACGTAGCTCAAGGCAAAACGACAATTCCAGGTGTCGATGACGGCGAAGAATGCAATTTAACAGATGTAAGTGGGGGTTTTTATCAGAAAACCCCCCAAAATAAAAAACAATTAATGATGCTTTATCTTTTTGATGGAGATCGTCATATGGCAAAATCAATACACTCAATTTGAGTGTATAAATAGGAGTCAAAACGAAATGAGACGAATCGTTTTGATGATATTGTATTTTTTTTGTAGAGTTGTTCACCTTTCTCAAAAGTACACACGATTATATATCATTACGATCCAAACCCCTCTTTAATATTTTTAAGTATTTCTTTTAATTATTGACTTATAAGGAAATACTAAAATCAAATTTTTAATTGAATGTACTTGTTATTACTGAAAGTACATTTTCACCTTTATCATAAACCTTAAAGGCGATAATCAAATCGCTTAAAATGTCGAAATGAAGAACAAGTCGACATAATCTCCTTTTTTTTATTAACCCCAACAGAAATTTGCCTCCTCTCTAACGATATTTACGACTACAACTTCGTATCGCAAGGAAAGACGACCATTCCTAGCGTTGATGATAACGAAGAAATGAATATCACCGACGTAAGAGTCCCGTTTTAACATGTTAACTAACTTTCATCGTATATAACAAAACATTTCTTGATTTAAGAAACACTGAAACACTCTTCTTTCTCTTTTTGTTATTGTTGATATCGTATTTTGTGTTGTTTTATTTGTTTACGTGATAACGTTTGTATTTTTGGCGACTAATAGCCAAAAAGAAAGATTTTGGGGAATAATTCAAAAACTCAGCCATAATTTTTTCTCCTAATTTTAGAACTTTGCGCACTTTCCAACCGAGTCTCTGATTATCCGAATGTTTGTCATGGAAAAACTCGAATTCCGAACGTTAATGATAACGAAGAGGGTCTTGCAACTGACGTAAGCAACCCTTATCACCACGAATTGATTTAATTCAAATTGTAAATACACAAAGATTTTTTTGATGAATTTTGATAATCAGGGAGCGGGATTTTAACATTAATTAATTAAAAACAAATCGGAAATTAAATACGGCTGAATTTTGAATTAATCCAGCTTTTCTCGCTCCCTGAGCCCTTTTAGCCACCCCCAACCCAACTAATCAAGACGATACTTTCTCAAAAAGATCAATTTCATGTAAATATTTTCATCATCAATGTAAATAATCATTTTTGGGTTTATTTGATTTGATAAAATTCGCCGAATAAAAAAGAAAGCACCAAAAGAAGACGAAGAACGAACATTTTTCTTCCAAATATTTTTGTTTTCTATAAATTAGGAAATCTTTTTGTGTTTCCCCAGAAATATGTTTGCTAAGTAATGACATCTACGATTACTACTACGTATCGCAAGGCAAGATCACTATTCCCGGTGTAATGGACGATGAGGAATTGGTTGCGACAGATGTAAGTAAAAAACAAATCGAACCAAATTCTCAACGAAATTATATCAATTATTTTATTTCCAACAAAATTTTAAATAAATTCCATTTAAATTCGGTAAGTTCCAACATAAAGGGCTCTTTAACCAAGACAAAAAGTGAATTAAATTGGCGAAGCAAAAACGCTGCTTTGCATGTAAAAATTGTGTAAATAAAACGTGGCTTACTTTTAAATCTGTAAATAAAGTTTTTCGCTTAGATTGGCTTTTAAAAAATAATCCAAAAATAAATTTACCTAAAAATTTTTTTATTAAATACTTAATATCGTCATTTAGGAAGCCTTCGATGTACTTGGTTTCACCCAAGACGAAAAGGACAACATTTATAGGATTACCGCCGCCGTTATGCATATGGGTACCATGAAATTCAAACAGAGGGGTCGTGAAGAACAAGCTGAAGCTGATGGAACTAGTGTAAGTTTAAGCTCAACTTTTTTTGAGCCTAAAACTCCCTCCAAATTTAGTCTACTTTAGTTAGTATCTAGTCTTCGGCATTTATTTAGTCTCTTGCAAACAATATTTACTTTTCTGCAAGCATTATCTAGACTTCTGACATCAGTATTTAGCTTTCTACAAGCAATATGAGTATTCTGCCAACACTTCTAGATTTTTGCAAGTACTATCAGTCTTCTGCAAACACAATCAAGACTTTAGCAAGCTGTATTTAGTTCTGAAAGTGCAATATTAGAGTCCTGCAAACAGTATTAGTCTCGTACAAGCAATATTTAGTCTTCATTAAACACTAACTAGACTTTTACAAGATATATTTAGTTGTTTCCGTGCAGTATTATTTTTTATCAATCATTTTTGATATCTCCCAGTATTATCCGTAATCTGCCTCAAAGATTGCTTACATGAAAATATAAACATATATATTTTTTTCTTTATAGGAAGGTGAAAAAGTTGCGAAATTGTTGGGTGTTGACCCAGCTCTTTTGTACTCTGGTTTATTGAAACCTAAGATCAAGGTCGGTAACGAATTCGTAACCCAAGGTCGTAATGTGAATCAAGTCAATTACTCCGTCGGTGCCATGTCGAAAGCTATGTTTGATAGATTGTTCAAATGGCTCGTCAAGAAATGTAACGAAACCCTTGACACCAAACAGAAGAGGCAACATTTTATCGGTGTACTGGATATTGCTGGTTTTGAAATTTTCGATGTAAGTTTTTTTACTTAATATACTTTATTTTATTACAGGAAAAATTCAAAGATTCCAATTTGATGATCATCTTAATCTTAAATCATTAAATTAATTTCTTTCAGGGTTAATACTCTTTAATTCTTACATAAAACTCCAATTTGTGCTAATACAAAATATATACAAGCTTATTTAATTTCTGCTTTATAGTATAACGGCTTTGAACAGCTTTGCATTAACTTCACCAATGAAAAACTGCAACAATTTTTCAATCACCACATGTTTGTACTTGAACAAGAAGAATACACTAGGGAGGGAATAGTCTGGCAATTTATCGATTTCGGCATGGACTTGCTCGCTTGCATTGAACTAATTGAAAAGGTTAGGGGCTTTAAGTGCTAATAAGCGGCTCAATTCATTTAGTAATTAACGCTAACAAGGTAAGTGCATGGCTCCTTTTTCATTTTTTGCCTAAGCGAAATTAAAATTACGTGAAACTGTTGCTAACCGATTTATACTACAATCGACAGTTCAACAGTTTCGAGCAAATGTGCATCAATTTCACCAATGAGAAACTTCAGCAATTCTTTAACCACCACATGTTTATCTTGGAACAAGAAGAGTACGAAGCTGAGGGGATTATGTGGACTTTCATCGATTTCGGGATGGATTTAGTTGCTTGTATTGAGTTAATCGAAAAGGTAATTCGGGAAAAAAATGGATTTGATGATACTGACACCAGCATCAACGCAAGCTGCACAATTTCAACAGTTCTATGTTTTGCTATTTGTATATGTATTTGCATCTTTCTCTCTCTCTCTTATTATTATTATTAATTAGGTTGTTATTATTTAGTAAAAAAAAATTGATATTGTTTATTAGTACAACGGTTTCGAACAACTTTGCATTAACTTCACCAACGAAAAACTCCAACAATTCTTTAACCATCACATGTTTGTATTGGAACAAGAAGAATATGAAAGAGAAGGTATTAAATGGACCTTCATTGATTTTGGAATGGATTTATTAGCCTGTATTGAGTTAATTGAAAAGGTACCGAGGGGTTAAATCGAAGTCGCCAACTCAACTTGTGCTAATCAAAAATGATACCTACATGTTTTATGTTATTTTTTTGTGTTAACGCGATTTGTCAAAAAAAAATGTGTTAACCCCTGTGTAATTTTGTCTTGTTTGTTTCGTTCACGTAGTACAACGGTTTCGAGCAACTTTGCATTAACTTCACCAACGAAAAACTCCAACAATTCTTTAACCATCACATGTTCGTTTTGGAACAGGAAGAGTATCAAAAAGAAGGCATTAATTGGGCGTTTATTGATTTCGGAATGGATTTGTTAGCCTGTATTGAGTTGATCGAAAAGGTATTTTAATCTTTTCGCAACGCAAAGGAAGTTTTAATTGAGTTGATTAAATTGAGGAGATCTTTTAATTTTCTTCTTTCTTTCTTTCAAGTTTTTTTTATGAGAAACCTTGTACAAAGAAGTGACGGTGTACAATAATCCCTAATTAAAAAGAATAACTCACTAATTTAGGTTAAGTTTCAAAGCCTTCATAAACAAGGCACTAAACAAAGCTTTGTGTTCGATTTTTTGTGAAACTTAACATCAACTTGATCCAGTATAACGATTTTAACCAACTGTGCATTTAATTAAAATGAAATCTTTAAGCAAGATGTATTTTTTGAGCACAGTTTTTTTTTGGTTAAATTGATACGGTTCAAGGCGCTTTTAACATGGGGATGCAAGGTAAGGTAGGATAAAGTCAAATTTGATCAACTTTTTTTTTAATCGCAAACTAATAAGTGATTCAATTTAATTTAGCCCATGGGTATCTTATCAATCCTTGAGGAAGAGTCTATGTTCCCCAAGGCCACCGACAAGACCTTTGAGGAAAAATTGAACAACAACCATTTGGGCAAATCACCTAATTTCCAAAAACCCAAACCACCAAAACCGGGTCAACAAGCCGCCCATTTCGCAATTGGACATTACGCCGGAAACGTAAGACTAAAATCGGCTTTAAAAGCGAAATTATTATTAAAAATTTTCTTTAATAAAAGGTTCCATACAACATCACCGGTTGGTTGGAAAAGAACAAGGATCCATTGAACGACACCGTTGTTGATTTATACAAGAAAGGAACAAACGCTTTATTGGTTGAGATCTTTGCTGATCATGCAGGTCAATCTGGAGGAGGCGGTGATGCTAAAGGTACCCCTCAAAGTTCATTAAAATCAAATAATTTTGAATCATATTCATAATTATTATATTAAATTAAATGAATTAATTTAGGTGGCAAGAGAGCTAAGGGTTCTGCTTTCCAAACCGTATCCAGTTTGTACAGGGTAAATACCTCGCTCAAAACGAGACGGAGCTGAGCTAATCCCAAAATAATCTCCCCACAAAAATCCCGGCAAAAAGCAGAGAGCAAAACCCTATTTTATTTGTAATGAAATAGCTTGTGATTAATCTTAAATGTACGCTTCTCTTCTTTCTATTTGTAAATTAGGTGGTCGTGGCAAAAAGGGTGGTGCCTTCTCAACTGTATCGTCGGCTTACAAGGTTTGCAAAAAAATAAAAAAAAATTATTAAAAAAAAGAAAACACCAATGGATGGAGATCCCTTTTATAAATGAATTCTTGTTTCGTCTTATTGTTAGTGCACAATTAGATATATCCACCTGAATGTGGAATGAAACCACCGAGATTTTTTTTGTAATTTTTGTACTCCCACTTGGATGTGGTAAAAGTAAACGAAGCACCAAACAAATACTTTGTAGATATAGAATAGTCGATAAAAAATTAATTTGTGTTGGGTTTTTCCTCGCTTTATTTTTTATTAATACCACTAAAAATTAAATTAATTCTTTTATGGATGAATTTAATTTTTTTTAATAATTTTAGGAACAATTAAACAACTTGATGACGACTTTGAGATCGACCCAACCTCACTTCGTACGTTGTATCATCCCCAACGAATTGAAACAGCCAGGTATACTACAAAAAAAGATTAAATGAACTTTTTTTTTGAAATCGATTAAATGATTCTCTTAAAATTTACAAAGTGATGTGCTGAATACGCTGAGTGCGTACAACTTTCATTTGGCAATGGAATTAAAAAGTTACAAGTTTTTGAACATTTTTTTGCCAGTTTTGCCAAGTGTTATGCACTTGGTTTATTTTCCAAGGTATCAAATAACGATATCATCTAGTACAGCCGAGGTCGCTTGCGGGCGAGGCGCTGGAGCTGATTGTTTATATCAACTTTAAGGTGGAACAAAATGGATGCATGGAACCCAAATTTGGCAATGAATTAAAAAAGTTACAGATATTTGAAATTTTTTTTCCCAAAAATTTGACTTTTAAACTTTTCATAATAGAAATGTGTAATAGATTGCTGATCCTACAAGCACTTATGAGCTTAAAAATAAAGCTCATAGAAAGCTTAATTCATACATTTTCAAAGTTAAATTGGATTAGATTGTGTTGAGTTTGGGTTGGGTTGTGTTGTGTTGAGTTCGGTTGGATTGAGGTTGGATTGAAGTCCAGATGGGATGGAAATAAGAATTCTGACATCAGAGATTAATACGAGTTTCAAGGTGTTATGGGATAACTCGCCCAGAACCAGATTACCAAAAATAAGACCAAAAAACAATTTTTTCGATTTCAAAAAAATTAATCCTTTAAATTTAACCAATTCAACCCAATTATTAAACTTACTAAGACATGACTTTCTTTCTTTAGGTGTCATTGACTCCCACTTGGTAATGCATCAATTGACTTGTAACGGTGTACTTGAAGGTATCCGTATTTGCCGTAAAGGTTTCCCCAACAGGATGGTTTACCCCGATTTCAAACTTCGGTAAATATACAAAAAAAATTTTTTCAACATAATCATCACTTTTTTGTATAAATCTAAGTATTTAGGTTTTTGTGTTAGCATTTGCCTTGGTAATCATGTGGTGTCAATCAATTTTTGAAACAACAACTTTTTTAATCGATATTTCTTATAAATTAGCTACATGATTTTGGCCCCGGCTACAATGGCCGCTGAGAAAGATCCTAAAGAAGCGGCGAGAAAGTGTTTGGAGGAGGTCGGTTTAGATCCTGAAAGTTATCGTGTTGGTCATACAAAGGCAAGGAATACCACCAAGTTAAACCCCCTTTATCTAGGATTTTATAGAAAAAATTCTAGAAATTAATTCATTTATTCCAATTAATTCAGATGATGTTTTAGAACATTTGGGACAAATTGTTTTTTTTTTTCGATTATAAACCATATTGGATATGGGAAGTTTGTTTTGCATGTTTCCCTTATTTTAGTTATAAAATCCTGAACCCGGGACCAGTTGGAAAAGAGAAAGACCCCCAGAAGTGTGCCCAGTTAATTTTGGACTCATCAAATCTTGATTCTGAACTATATCGTCTGGGTCATACCAAGGCATGTTATGTTTAAAATAGAAGAAAATTTTTTTATGTATTTTTTTATGTGATAAGACCATAAATGACGATGGTCCCTTTTTGTTATATGTACACCCAACTCAAAGATCAAATCAAAGATTTTGGGGTGATTCTAACTAATTTATGTCAACTTGTAGTAATTTTATGTTGGTTTCTGTACTAATTTTTGCAATACAGATACAAAATTCTGGCTGCAACTGATATTAAAGATGGGATGACACCCGAGAAGGCGTCACAGGTTATTTTAGAGAAAATCCAGTTAGACAGTGAGCAATATAGGCTGGGAAAAACCAAGGTACAAGGAACCAGACCTTTCGTATTTAACAAAAAAAATTTTTTAGTCTCAACTTACCTCAAAAATTTCTTCTTGCTTCATTAACCACTTTCTGCTTAACTCTGAATCCTGCAACAAAGAGAACTAAAATTAACTTAAAAAAAAATTTAGGTATTCTTCAGAGCTGGAGTTTTGGGTCAGATGGAGGAGCTCCGCGATGACCGCTTGGGCAAGATCGTCACCTGGATGCAATCTTGGGTGAGAGGTTACCTCAGCAGAAAAGAATTCAAGAAGTTGCAAGAACAACGTCTCGCCTTACAAGTGTGCCAAAGAAATTTGCGCAAATACCTCAAGTTACGCACATGGCCATGGTACAAGCTTTGGCAAAAAGTCAAACCATTACTCAACGTTACCCGCGTGGAGGATGAGATCGCCGTAAGTTATCTAAATTCGTTTCTGGAAAAACTATTTGAAAGAATTCTTAAAGAAAAAAATAAAATAAAACACGCGTTCGGGATTCTACCATAAATAAACACTTCTTTTTTAATTCAAATAAACCGAATCGGAGGCGCGGTGTTTATTTTCACGCGGAAGAGGCGGAATTTCTAAAATTAAAAAATAATTTCGTCAGCGCGCCTTACCTGGTCAGCGAAATTTTAGAAATTCGGACATCGACGCTAAAAATACTCACCCCCACTCGAAACATATATTTTTATGATCGTCCATCATCCCGATTCGGGACCAAAAAAATATGGTGACTAACAGAATCCTTCGAACACACTCAGTTTTAATCCTGCCGCGTTTCAGTGCGAACCGAAAACGAATCCTCACTCGAATTTCAAAACGATTTTGAATCCGAATTAGAATCCGAATTAATCGAATTAATTAAAAATGGATGTTGATTTTACATGCCCAGAATTAAATAACCACCCCGTTTTGCAGAAACTCGAAGAAAAAGCCGCCAAAGCCCAAGAAGCTTATGACAAAGAACACAAAGCCAAGACTGAACTTGAAGGACTTTACAACAAACTTCTCGCTGAAAAATCCGAACTTTTGGGGGTGCTTGAAGGCGAAAAAGGAAGCTTGAGCGAAACCCAAGAAAGAGCCGCGAAACTTCAAGCCCAAAAAACCGACTTGGAGTCACAATTATCTGTAAGTATTAATAAAACTTGTTCTAAACGCCCGATTAATCACGCTAATTTAATGGGAATTTGGCAAAAACTCAAAGTGAAATGTATCAAGATTAACCCATAAATGTTTGGAGTGAATCCAAAAAAACTAAGATAACATTAATTTAATTTTAGGAAACCCAAGATCGTTTGGCCCAAGAAGAAGACGCCCGCGGTCAATTAATGCAGCAAAAGAAAAAGTTGGAACAAGAAATCTCCGGTTTCAAGAAAGATATTGAAGATCTCGAATTAAACTTGCAAAAAGCCGAGCAAGACAAAGCCACGAAAGACCACCAAATCAGGAATTTGAACGACGAAATTGCCCATCAAGACGAACTCATTAACAAGCTCAACAAAGAAAAGAAACTATCCGGAGAAAATAACCAAAAGATTTCCGAGGAGCTCCAAGCCGCCGAAGACAAAGTTAACCACCTCAACAAAGTCAAAGCAAAACTCGAACAAACCCTCGATGAACTCGAAGACTCTTTGGAGCGTGAAAAGAAGCTCCGCGGGGATGTTGAAAAATCAAAAAGGAAGGTTGAGGGTGACTTAAAACTCACTCAAGAAGCCGTCGCTGATTTGGAACGTAACAAAAAGGAGTTGGAACAAACCATCCAACGCAAAGACAAGGAAATCTCCTCGCTCACCGCCAAATTAGAAGACGAACAATCCGTCGTTGGTAAATTACAAAAACAAATTAAGGAATTGCAAGCGCGTATTGAGGAATTAGAGGAGGAAGTCGAAGCCGAGCGTCAAGCTCGCGCTAAGGCTGAGAAGCAACGTGCCGATTTAGCGAGGGAATTGGAAGAGTTGGGTGAGCGTTTGGAAGAGGCCGGAGGTGCAACTTCCGCACAAATCGAACTCAACAAAAAACGCGAAGCCGAACTTGCCAAACTTAGACGCGACTTGGAAGAAGCTAACATTCAACATGAAGGAACCTTGGCTAACCTTAGGAAGAAACACAATGACGCCGTATCTGAAATGGGAGAACAAATCGATCAATTGAACAAACTCAAAGCTAAGTAAGTGATTAAAATTAGTTAATTGATTCGATGAATTAAATTAAATTGAAATTAATTAAGTGATTAAAATTAGTTAATTGATTCGATGAATTAAATTAAATTGAAATTAATTAATTAATTAAAATTAGAGCGGAAAGAGATCGTGCTAGCATTTACGCCGAGTTGCAACAAACTCGAGGAGCTGTTGATCAAGTTGGACGCGAGAAGGTACCAAAACCTCTTTGTGGAAATGTCCAAAATTGATTCGTTGTTTTAAAATTATGTTTTCAATGAACTAAAACTAGAACTGAAACTTGCACCTATCATTGGAACATACGGTCTAAGCTGAAGACAAGGATATGGCAAAACTTATTCTCAATCTGAAAAGTTTTTAGTTCAAGATCTAATTTTACTTCCAGTGATAATGCTAATATTAGTTTTAGTTTTGGTTCAATTAGCACTGTCCATGAGAGTCTTCGTTCTTATAAGTGTTTTATGTCTTGTTTTTGTCTAAACTTGCAGGGCTGAAAAGGAGAAGTCTCAATATTTCGGTGAACTCAATGACATGCGCGCAAGCGTTGATCATTTAGCTAACGAAAAGGTACAAAAAATTGATTTGCTTCACGAGGAGAGCTTCTCGTTTTTTAGTTGCTTATTTTGTGTTTTTCCCCTTTATCGATTTAATTCGTAACTAATAAATTCGTGGAAATAGGCTGCCGCTGAAAAGATCACGAAACAACTACAACAACAACTCAATGACGTCCAAGGAAAACTCGATGAAACCAACCGCACCCTCAACGATTTCGACGCCGCCAAAAAGAAGCTCTCGATTGAGAACTCCGACCTCCTCCGCCAATTAGAAGAAGCCGAATCGCAAGTGTCCCAATTAAGCAAGATCAAGGTGTCCCTCACCACCCAATTAGAAGACACCAAGAGATTAGCCGATGAAGAAGGAAGGGAACGCGCCACTCTTTTGGGTAAATTCAGAAACCTCGAGCACGACTTGGACAACATCCGTGAACAAGTCGAAGAAGAAGCCGAAGCTAAAGCCGACATCCAACGTCAACTCAGCAAAGCCAACGCTGAATCTCAACTCTGGAGGTCGAAATATGAATCTGAAGGAATCGCGCGCGCTGAGGAACTCGAAGAATCCAAGAGGAAACTCCAAGCTCGTCTCGCAGAAGCCGAAGAAACCATCGAAACCCTCAACCAAAAAGTCGTCGCCCTCGAAAAGGCCAAACAACGCCTTGCAACCGAAGTTGAAGATCTTCAATTGGAAGTTGATCGCGCCACCGCCATCGCCAACGCCGCCGAAAAGAAACAAAAGGCTTTCGATAAAATCATTGGAGAATGGAAACTCAAAGTCGATGATTTGGCCGCCGAATTGGATGCAAGCCAAAAGGAATGCCGCAATTACTCCACCGAATTGTTCAGACTTAAAGGAGCTTACGAAGAGGGACAAGAACAACTCGAAGCCGTTCGCCGCGAAAACAAAAACTTGGCCGATGAAGTTAAAGACCTCCTCGACCAAATTGGAGAAGGTGGCAGGAACATCCATGAAATCGAAAAGGCCAGGAAGCGTCTTGAAGCGGAAAAAGACGAACTCCAAGCTGCTCTTGAAGAAGCCGAAGCCGCCCTCGAACAAGAAGAAAACAAAGTGTTGCGTAGCCAATTGGAATTGTCTCAAGTCAGACAAGAAATCGACCGCCGCATTCAAGAGAAAGAAGAGGAATTCGAAAACACTAGAAAGAACCACCAAAGAGCTTTGGATTCAATGCAAGCTTCCCTCGAAGCCGAAGCTAAAGGAAAAGCTGAGGCGCTTCGCATGAAGAAGAAATTGGAAGCTGATATTAACGAATTAGAAATTGCTTTGGATCATGCTAATAAGGTAAAAATCAATTCAATCAATATTTTAATTATATTAATTAAAAAATTATTTTTTAGGCAAACGCCGAAGCTCAAAAGACCATCAAACGCTACCAACAACAACTTAAAGACACCCAAACAGCTTTGGAAGAAGAACAACGCGCCCGCGATGAAGCTCGCGAACAACTCGGAATCTCCGAACGCAGAGCTAACGCCCTCCAAAACGAATTGGAAGAATCTCGCACACTTCTTGAACAAGCTGACCGCGCTCGCCGCCAAGCTGAAACTGAATTGGGCGATGCCCACGAACAACTCAACGACCTCGCTGCTGCCAACGCCTCAATGTCCGCCGCTAAGAGGAAATTAGAAACTGAACTCCAAACCCTCCACAGCGATTTAGATGAACTTCTAAACGAAGCTAAGAACTCCGAAGAAAAAGCTAAAAAGGCCATGGTTGATGCCGCGAGATTAGCCGATGAACTCCGCGCGGAACAAGATCACGCCCAAACCCAAGAAAAACTCCGCAAAGCCCTCGAAACCCAAATCAAGGATCTCCAAGTCCGTTTGGATGAAGCCGAGGCTAACGCCCTCAAAGGAGGAAAGAAGGCCATCGCTAAATTGGAACAACGCGTCCGCGAATTAGAGAACGAACTCGACGGTGAACAAAGGAGACACGCCGATGCGCAAAAGAACTTGAGGAAATCCGAGCGTCGCATCAAAGAATTGAGCTTCCAAGCCGAGGAGGATCGCAAGAATCACGAGCGTATGCAAGACTTGGTTGATAAGTTACAACAGAAGATTAAGACCTACAAGAGGCAGATTGAGGAAGCCGAGGAAATCGCTGCTTTGAATTTGGCCAAGTTCCGTAAAGCCCAACAGGAATTGGAAGAGGCTGAAGAGCGCGCTGATATGGCCGAACAGGCTATCACTAAATTCAGGGCTAAAGGACGTGCGGGTTCTGCCGCTAGAGGAGCTAGCCCAGCGGTAAGTTATTAATTAAAAAATTTAAGGAAATCAAAAAATTCATTTTTTATAGTCAAATAAGTCCCGTAAAGGACCAATTTCAGCTGAATAGCAACGTTCTTTAATCATAGTAAGTGGGGTGTTGGTTTTTTACCCCCTTTGTACTTTGTCCAACTTTATGGAAATTTTTGCAACTTTGTCCAACTTTGTCCATCTTTGTTAAACTTTATAAAAAATTAGTAAAACTTAGTTAAAATCGATTCCAACCTTTAATTAAATTGTGATCGTAGAAATAAATGTTGATTTTTATTTGTTAACTCAACATTTCATCTTTTCAATGTTATTAATTTATTGTTTTTTATTTTTAGCCTCCGAGGTCACGTCCACAATTGGATGGAATGACCTTCCCACCAAGGTTCGACCTCGCCCCCGAGAACGATTTCTAAATAAACCCTCTTTTAAATGAACGCGCTGTGTATGTTAACATCGAAATGCCAAAAAAAATAAATAAATCATAAATCGAAAGAAAGTAAAAGAACACGACCGGGACATTTCATTTTATTACTACTACTACCTATAACACGTAGTTGAAGTCGTTTTTAATCCCATTTGAATCCCGAAAGCAACTCTTTCAATGAAAGCGAAAAATTTGGTTTTGAAAAGCTTTACTAAGCGATTATAGAGACACGTACCCAACAACTTTTAAAGCGCAGCTTTTATTACTGAATTTTCTCGTATAAACATTAATTTAAACAGAAATGATAAAGAACTTGGGTTGTTGGAGGGATCTTAAAATACTATTACGTTTGTGTTGTTTAATGGTTGATATTTCTGGAATGGTTGCGGTTTTTTTCTGTTCGTTCGTTTCTTTTAAGAGATGGGATCCGTTCGTGTTCTGGTTACTTTTAAAAATTATAATAATAATTAAAGAAAAACATTACACATCATTCTTTTCATATTGTATTTATTTTGATGTTTTATTGTTAAATACTTATTGTAAAATAAAATAGATTATATTGATTATAATGTAATGGTTTTTATTTTACTTCATCTTAATAAATTTTGTATTGATACAATTTAAACGTGTTAAAGTTGGGTGTGATGAGTTATTGGACGAAATCTAAGTAGTATTCAGTACGATTCTTTTAAGGCTAATTGTAAGTTGATACAAAGGGACTCGCAAAATGTAACTCAAAATCAGAAATTAATCAATAATCGAAGTGACCATCATCATTTCGATTCATATTTAGAAGATACTCTTTTATTTAAAAATCGAACGTTATGTTAGAGGATTTCAATAATAAAATAAAAAAGATTATGGAAGAATTTGAAAACGATTTCAATCACAACAATAACATAACCTCACATGTCAAAGTACAATTTTTTTAGTAGTTTTAATTTATTTAAGGTTGGCAAATTTGAAAAATGACAATATTGAAAAACCTATTAAATATTAAAAAAAATCTTAATTTTGCACAAAAATCTTCACTTACCTTTCACGAAACGTATTAATATCGCTTTCTTGCAGTTTATAACCCGATATTACAAAGCAAACCTTATTTATTTTAAGAGAAAAGCTCGCTTTAATTTAAACGCAACCCAAACAATCTCAATTACAACAATAACATAACTCCAAATGTCAAATTGCATTTTTTTCGTATTTTAATTTAGTTAAGGTTGGCAGTCAATCGGTGTTAGCTTTAGATGACGCGGAAATTTTATTTTAATAGTATCTAAAATTATTTAAAAATAATTGTAATTTAGGAAATTGTTTAAACCATTGAATCATTAAGGAATAAAAACATTAAAAGTAGAGAAAATCAATTAACTTTAAATTTAAAAAAGATCTTAATTTTTAACACAAAAATCTTCACTCACCTTTGACGAAATGGATATCTTGTACAACGTTAACACTTTCTTGTTGTTTATAGCCCGATATAACACAACAAAACTTATTTATTTTAAGAGAAAAAGTTACTTTCATTTAAACGCAACCCAAACGATTTTAATCACAACAATGACATAACCTAAAACGCCAAAAAAACTTTTTTCCTCATTTATTTGTTTAAGGTTGGCACAATTGAAATTGATTTGAAAGTGAATTTAAATAAAAATATTTATATTTAAACAATCTGCACCGATTATATTTATAATACACATACAATTTACATTATTACTACAAATAAAATTAAAAAAATCAACAAAATCCCCTCCAAGAATCTCGTGGACCAGCGGAACCTCTTCTCCCAACTCTTGGTTGTTGCGTTTTCGAAGTAGTCGTAGTAACCCTTGTAGTTTCCATTTGACCACCCGCGGCTGGGTAACATTCGGGTGGCGTTTTCGGTGGTGAATAATGAAAAGCATCCGCGTCTTGTTGCACTTTTGGGCGTTCAAATTTGTATTTTTTCTTAGTTTTAGCCATTCGCTTAGGAACGGCTCCAGTTGAAGGAGTCGCCCCCCGATGACTCGTAACCATCGAAACTCGACTTGCATCGGCTATTAAAACTTCGGTGGCGTGTGATTCTTCAATTTCAGCGGCAGTTTTTGACCCCCAATTTTCGGGGGGTCGCATATCGCGTTTTAAAATTTGTTTTGCAATTGGGCGTTTTTCAACAACGGGGGTCATAGCTTTTATTTCATCGGTTTCACGAATCGCTCGTTCTTGTTCAACCATCGATTTTTCAATGGATGTATTTACGATTTCTAATTCTTCTTCGAGCGCTTCTTGGGTTTTTTCTAATTCAATCCTTTTATTCTCGTTGGCCATTTCGATTTCGCCCGCTTTTTTCATTTGCTCTTTTTGGCGGAATTTTAATTCTTTTAGCCGGTTTATTAGGCGCTTATTCTCCTCGCTTAATCGATCTCCTTCCGATCTTAACCACATTAAGCGGTGATAAGTTTCCTGTCTCATTTGCATGGCTTCAGATTCTTCGTCGATTTTTGCGTCGGGAGCGAGCGGGAATAATTCGTCGAGGTATTTTTTTTCGTTGTAAAACTTTTCGAAACTAAAATTGGACGTTAATTCGTAAATGTCGTCGATGGCTCGCATCATTTTGTCGGTATATTGAGCGTGGCGTTCTTTACTAGCTTTTGTTAGTTGGACGTGTTCGTTTATGAGGACGTCGCTGATGTCTTGCGTCATTGTATCGTAAACGCGACGCGCCATGCTTCGAAAATGAGATAATTCGTTAGCTAAGATTGTGCGTAAAACTGTTCCGTTATCTGCGGTGTACTCGGAGATAGCTCCAACAAATTCATGGACGGTTATTTCTTGATCGATCATTCCTTTTAGGATCTCTTTAATCCCTCTTAAATCTTCTCCTTCCGGTGCGTGTCTTCGCCGAGTTTTTGCTTTCAACTTTTCGAGCTCTTCAAACACTAAAAATTAAAATTAATTTAAATCAAACTAGATTTTAATCTAATTACCATCTTTTTTTGGTATGTTAACGCTTAATGCGGGTAACTCGTATTCCGGAGGGGCCCTTTTTCTTAGTTCTTGTCGCTTTACAACTTCTTTCGCGGTTTTTTTCTCATCTTTCGGCGGTTTTTTTCCTCGACTAACCTGAGTTTTTTCTTCGCAAGTGGGATTAACGCATTTTCCACTTGATGATGTGGGTCTTGCACTGCGTTTTACGCTTTTTTGAGATGATGATTGCGCAACTGGTGGACCTGGTCTAATTAAAAAATCAAATCACAACCAAAAAAATATTCTCAATTAATCACCTAGCGCATAAACTTTGAACTCTCCCCGGCTGTTGTCTTGATGAGGTTCTGGATGAGACCCGGGGAACCCCTGTGGGTGGTCTACAAGGATTTCTAGACATTTATTTGATGACTGACTTTTAGATCCACAAACACATCGATAATAAACAGAGACAGTTTAAAAGGGTGATGCAAAGTAACGCGGGTACCGGTACCAAAAATACGAACATTATTTATTTATTTTTGTTGCGAAAAGTATTCCGTCAATCACTTTATAATTTTGACACTTGTCAACACGAATTAATTTTGAACCTCAATCAAAACAATACTTATCGATTATGTCGGACGTAGCATAAAATCGCGGTGCATATTCCCAAACATAACAGAACCGGCAAAGAAATTACGTAATAAAGCATTTTTTTAAAGAAAATCTTCGCGAACTTAAAAACGATTTTTTAAACGTCAAATTAATTTAATGACAATGACGTGTGTATGTTGAGACTCTCACCGCTAGATGGAGCTAAATTAATTTAAATATATTTAATAATAATGATTAAATAAATATCAATAATTAATAATAATAATGATTTCATTAAGTTAATGGTATTTTTATAGTGTTTATTATTTTCTCGAATATCAGCGACAAATGGATTTTTTATTAATAATTTTTTATTATTAATCATATTTTTGAATACCCCAGTAAATTTTATCAATTTATTTAAGAATATAATTAATGAATTAACAATTAGTGTTAATAGCTACAACATACTCCATCTAGCGAAATAATCTTGTAAACTGTCAAACGTCAAAATATTAAAGAAAATTAAATATAAATTTTAAAATATGGAGGTTAATGTACGATAAAAACGATCAAATGGGACTTCCTGTTGATTATCCTTTTATATATTCGCGTAGGAGAAGAGATAAAAACGAAATTTTCAAAAAAAAGTTCCTCTATAAATTAACTCCCAACGATTTAACACCGAAATGATGAATCGAATGAAAAAACTGTTTTTATTCCTTTTATTGTAAGTAAATCGATTAATTTTTCGTTCCTTAATAATTTTTCTTTTAGAATATTTTTGAATTTTCCCAATAATTTATTATCGAAACGATTTTGTTCAACTTCGGAATGTTTTTCATCCGGATTTCATTTGAATCAATCGTTACAAGTCGAAGTGGACCCTTGCGAAAATTTTTATCAATTTTCTTGTGGCGATTACAAAGTGAAATCGAACAAGCCGAAACATGAATTGTTTTGGAATCATTGGACGAATTCGGAGAGAATATTGAAAGAAAAAATTATTAAAATGATTCAATTAGAAATTAATAATGAAACGATGTTGGTGGTGAAAAAATTTTATGAGAATTGTTTAAAAAATCTTGATTTTACGAAAGATTTAATTGAATTAATTGAAATTTTTGGAGGGATACCGTTAATTAAAAAAGATGATTGGAACGAAAACGATTTCAATTGGTTGTTAATTAACACCGAGATGATTAAGCTGTTCAAAATGTATCCTTTAATTAAAATTAACGTGGAAATCGATTTTAAAAACACATCAAAGTACGCTTTATACGTATGAGTTTTATTTTAGATTATTTCAAAATGTTTTTCAATATTTTATTTTTTAGTTATCACCCCCCAATTTAAATTTGCCGAAATACATTTTATTGAACCCAATGGGGCACGAAAAAGAAATTTATTCTTATAAAAAGTGGATTATAAACTCGATCATTTTTATGTTCGATAAGAAGATTAATTTTAATGAAATCAACGAGATCATTCAATTTGAGGTTAAGTTAGCTCGATTAATACATAGAGGGAAACAAAAACGGGAAGTTTTAAAAGTTTTTAATAAGAAAACTTTAATTAATTGGACCGAGTATTTAAATATAATCTTTTTTGGGTCAAAAACGAAAGTTATCGATGAAGATTATATTTATTACAACGATTTCGTGGTCAATTTATTACGATTAATTCGTGAAACGAAGAAATCGACGGTTTCGAATTATTTAATGTGGTGTTTAATTAAAGAGTTTTCGAGGGATGTTTCTGTTGAGATGAAAGAGTTTAATTTTGAGGTTAATCGGGCGATTTTAGGGGTTAAGTCGGATGTTCCTCGGAATGAGGAGTGTGTTTCGAAATTAACCGAGTTCTTTGGGGGTTATTTAATTAATTCTTATATTAAATATTATTTAAAGAATGAAGATTTCATTAAGATTAATCGAATCGCCGAGAATGTTAGAGCTAAATTTGTTGAGGTTTTAAAAAATAATAAATGGTTGAGTCCTCAAACTAAAAAGGTGGCAATTGAAAAAGTGATTGGGGTTAAGTTTTATGTGGGTTATCATGACGGTGTTGATGTTTTTTATGGGAATTTAACGAATAATAATTATTTTGGAAGCCTTTTAGAGTTAAAAAGGGATTTGGTTGTAAGGCACTTTAATAAATTTGAATCAAAAGTGGGAATTGAGTAAGATTTTAACAATTTAATTTTCTTTCTGGAAATGATTTATTTTAGGTTTCCTGATAATTTATTTGAAGTAAATGCTTATTACAACGTTTTACAAAACTCAATTAGTAAGTTAATTTGAAACGTCAAATGTAGGAATTTTTTTCGCCAATTTTAAGTAACATTTAAGCAAAATATAACCTATAAAATTTAAATTTTTTTTTAGTAATTTCGGTCGGATTGTTAGAAGAGCCTTTTTATCACCGAGATAGACCAGCGTAAGTTTTTATTGTTTCTTTTTTAGTTTAATGATTAGTTATTTTCTTAGTGTTTTAAATTATGGGTCATTAGGAACTTTAATCGGTCACGAATTAGCTCACACTTTAGATGTAACAGGTCGCAAATCAGATAAAAGTGGGAACTTAAAGAGGTGGTTTTCAATAAAAGACGCAAAAATCCACAATAAACGAATGGAATGTTTCGAAAACCGATATAAACAAAATTACAATAACCAATTCCAAGATGGGATTATCGAGAATATGGCTGATATCATTGGGTTGCAATTAAGCTATGATGCTTATGTATCAAGTAGGAAAGTGTTTGGTGCAATCCCGTTTTTAGAAACGTTTGGGGATAAGGAAATTTTTTTTATGTCTTATGCACAAGTAATGTCAATTAATTTTTATTTAATTTAAATCCTTAAAACTTTTTTTTACATAGACTTGGTGTGAAATAATTCAAAACGATAGTTTAGATATTTTACAAGATGAGCACCCTCAAAATAAAATTCGCGTTTTAGAGAGCGTCTTAAATAATGGCAACTTTTTAAAAATTTTCCAATGTAGGGATGAAACGTCAAAAAAATGTGATCCAATTTGGTAAAAATCACAAGTTTTTTTTAAACAAATAAAAACATTTATTTTAATTGATGTTTATATAATCCTAAGGGTATTTCTTATACAATTACACACAATTAGTGATAATAATAATCTTTAAAAAAGTTAACCTCAAAAAAATTAACATCAAAATACAAAAACCAAGACTAGAACCGTTAGAAAAATACCATAATTTTTAAATTTAAATAATAACATATAAAATCAATTGAATTAGAATTTAGGGGGAAAAAATCACATTTATGTCATTATTCTGGTAGCTTTGGAGACATCACAGGAATCGGTAAATCCTCCATGTTTGGTATCACAAATATTTTCTAAAAACAAACCAAATTAATTTTAATCACTTTCGTTTGATTACTCACTTGGAATTCTTTGTAAATAATCTTCTCTATCCAACTAGTAACCCGAAGGAAACTTATATTTCTCTCCCCCACGATGGGGCAAGCTGAAATTAATAAATCCGGTGGGGTCCGGAACCCAAACCAAATCCGATCGGACGGCGGTGGTGGAATATTTAACACCAAAGTACCAATACATCGTTTAAATTCTACTTTTAATCGCAAGTCAGTATTGGAAATATCTTAAAAAAAAATAACCTCAAAAAATGTTTATGTCAAAAAAAAAACAACCTTAAAAATAAATTTTTTTTTAACAAATTAATTTTAATTAATTTATTTATTTACCTTGCATAGCTTTTTTAATATATCTATTTTCTGATGCGACTTGAAAAATTTTCGACTCCGTAATTCTATCAACCATTTTCATAATTTTTTTGCTCCGATTCCCCGCCGCCGGTTTAACTTGATCTGAAACGGAAGTCGCGTTTGTTTTACTACTATCCTCATCGGTACTACTCTCGGCGGAATCATCAACATCGGAATGGAAAATAGCCGATTTACCTTCAACCCTCTCAATTCCTTAAAAAAGAAATTATAACCTCAAAATTAAATTTTTATTTAATTTATTAACCACCTTCAACATTTTGTTGTTGCGGTTGTTTCAACTTTAACAAATTCACTTTCGTCTGTAAAATAACCACAATTAATCCTTCATAGTTTATATCTAAATCCAACCAAAGCCCTCGATCGTTTAATTCTGGTGATGTTTTTGTTCCCTTTATAATCGGTGATGTTGTTCCTAAATTTAACTCTTCACAATTTAATTCTTGTATAAAATAAGGAAGTTTTATGGAAGCCAATTTCCTCTGGATTCTCTCTTTCATTTTTAAAATAACTGATTCTTCTCGAATAGCATCAAACATAACCCGAGTTATCAAGGAATTTATCCATAAATCATTGTAATCATTAGAAAGTTCCACTTTTTCTTTATGCGATTTCATATATGTTGCATATTCTTCTTCGAGGGGGGAAGATAAATTACTTTCTTCGGAATTTGGGTGAGTTGCAGCAATAAGTCTTCGATACCAGTCTTCTTTTTCACGATCGGTTCTACCAAAAAGATAAATCCGAGTTTGTTTTGTATCTAAATTCATTCCATTCCAATCTAAATTCGTTTCTTTCTCATCTTCATCGTTATCTAATTTATTGTCCTCATCATCAGATTCTTCAACATCGGTGAATTCGTCCTAAAATCAAAATAGAATTAAATTAATTTAAAAAACAAAACGTCTCCTTACCATATCATCGGTTGTATTAATTTTTTTTGAATCCCCTTCATCGCTTAATAATTTTTCGTATTTAACACTTTTTCCGTTAACCTCAACATTTTTCTTTTCCAAACTTTCCTCGCCTACATCTTTTATTTTAACACATAATTGATCTTTATTTAATGTTATACAAATTGGATATTTTTTACTCCAATATCTAAAAAGAAAAACATCTTTGTTATTAATTAATTTATTAACGAAAATAATTGAGATTTTTTTTTGATTTAATTTTAACAGCTCGATTTTTTTAAAGTCGGTAAAATAGAATTCTACTTTTTTTTAAAATTAAATTAATTTAAATAAATTCTTTTCTCACCTAATTTTAGTAATCCCATCAGGCAACAAATTAATTTTAGCATCCAAAAGATTATAAATCCGATGGGCGCTAAACGTAGCTTTGTGTTCGTTCTCATTCCACATAGCTCTTTTAGGAATTTTATGCTTAGTGTTGCTAATTCGTAAAAAATTTCCTTGTAACCTTAAATAAACCGACTGTGTGTCCATAACGTGATAAGTTTGCGGATCATATTCATCGGGGAACTCGTTCATCCAGCCGTTGTATTTTTTTAATGGTTGATATTCTCGAATGGCCGGTACCTTAACAATTTGTACGTTTTCTCTATTTGTTGTTAAATTTTTGGTTTCTTCGTTTAATTTAAAGTAAATGAAAGCAACTGCAAAAGCTATTAAAACCCCCATAATAAACCCACTTAAATAACTAGATAATGGAATGTAATAATAAAAAAGTGAGGTTAGGATTCCTATTAAAACCGATTGATATTGTTTTAAATAATCCTTCCAGGTGAAATCAACAGGTTTTGGTCGCAAATCAACGAAACCAATTGGACTAAACACTGTGTTACATTTGTATACATTTTTTTCATTTACGATTTCTGCTCGGATTTCATCTCCAGTGATTTGGTTTATATTTAAGACATTCTCTTCTTTGTCCAAGTTAAAATTGCTCACATTTAAATCAGCTAAAACATCAATTCCACTTTCAACCTCTTCATCTTCCTCGGTAATCTTTTGTATAGCTTCGACAAACTCTAAATTTACAACACCTTCTTTTTCCTTTAACGTATTTGAATTGATCACCTTGTAACGTTGCTTGATACCTGTAGATTTAGTCTGATTTTGATTCTTCTGACTCGAATCTTTCTCCAACTTGTCTTGCTCCTCGGATAACGAGCGTGTGTTATCGTCATCGTCATCGCTTGACATCTCAACTCCTTCGAAAAGAATTATTTTCCACTTTCTTTTTTTTAATTTATTTTATTTGTTAATTTATAAATTAAAAGATTATTTTAGTTTCATGCAAAATAAGTTGATTTTATATTTATTTAAAAAAATGACATTTCAAATTTTGAGGTTATGTTGAAATTAAATTTTGAGGTTATGTTATAAAATCAACTTTTAATTAAGCGAAATTAAAGATAAATTAAATTAAATTGTTAGTTTTCGGTTCTATTTTCTAAAGGAGTTAAGAAGAAGCTCATGCAATACCAAGTTGTTTCTTAATTTAAATCTTACCTTCCGTTGTTGAAACAAATCCGCAAGTTCTTGAAATACTACTTTCCGAAACTTCCTCGGAATCTGATAGACTCGAATTTTCTTTGCTATCTTTTGTTTTTCCCGTTTTCGGGGAACCTTCCTCTTGATTTTTGCTTTTGTATTCAGTGAATTTTACCTCAACACTTTTCGTAATTTTCCCTCGAATGTCGGAAAGAAATCGCCAAGGATCTGAAGGAGGTGAGGCATCTTGTTGGACATCTACACTTGTTGATCGCTTTCCAAATGGAAGAATTGATCTACGTGGGCTACCTTCTACCTCAGATATTTTTTCTTTCTCTATCAACACTTCCGTTTGAGGCTCATTATCTTCTTCGCAATCAAATAATTCATCAATCTCTTCAGACGTAGCATTAAATCTTATCGACATTGAAGAAACTGATGTATTTATAGTTTTACCTAGGATAACAAAAAAATAATTCATTTTAAAAGCAAGGTTATAAAAAGAAAGTTACCTTTCAATTTCCCCAAACCGATTTTACCACCTTTTTTATCCATCATACGCATTTACTACAATATTGTTAGTGATATTAGTAAAAAGAGAGAAGCGTTAATAAGAAAGAAGCTGCAAAAACATGACTCAGATCATAACCCAACTTTTTTTTTGTTAATTTACCTTTATTATAATCCATTCCGAATTTATTCAATTCTTTTCCTAATTACTCAGCGCCTAATACCGAAATAAAAACGCGATTAACATCCCTATTGTTCTTTTCTAATATTTATCTAATCTACACCTGTCAAAAATCTAAAACCTTTTGTTGAAACGTCAAAACAGAATAGATATCGTCATTATCGACCCAAAACATAACCTCGATTTCCTTTTACTAATCTTTATTTAATTAAATTTAAATTACAAAATCAAAAACATTAATAGTTAAGCGTTTACAGCGAGGTGCTTATGCACACACTCCTCTTTATTAATTAAATGAGTCGTTTTATTCACCAATTGCATTAACGATGATAAATCATGTGCCCAATCGTTAAGTACATCACTTGGATCTTTACTTTGTTGGAAATGAACCACTCCCGAAGGACGATCGGTTTTTGCTTGTACGCTTTTATTAACAACCATTTGCGATAAAAATTCTTCAGTTTCCGCGATGCTTAAATCTAATAATTCGGCCATACGGGCTACTTTAATTCTGGTGTAATATTGGGCCATCACACGGATGTTGTGTTCAACAACACGGCTTCTCATATCCTTCCAGCGTTGTTTAGCTTGATCACTTCCGCTAAAAACATTCGTTCCTTTTAATGCTTCTTCGTATAATTCGCATAAGCCCGACCATTTGATTAATTCCGGAGTTGTAAATAATTTTAGGAGTTGTTTGAATTGTGGGATTTCCTCGAGAGCTTTATCACTTAATACTCTATGGGTTAAATCAGATTGTTCATTATCATATGGGGCCAAAATTAGGTATAAAACAACAGCTTTTGTCGCTTCTTGACGATCGGCGGGGACATTTTGCACTGAAGGAGTGTTGAGAACAGCTCGGTAATGTTTACAAGTTGCTAAATAAGAACCATCATGTTCATCAAGTTGCATCATTAACTTGTAATATTTTAATTTAAGATCTTGTTGTTTTTCGTCTTCGAAAAATTTGGTGTTAATTTTTTTCGAAATAATCTGAGTACGAATGTAATCTTGTTTCGCCAAACATAACCTCATCTGCTCTAAAATCAACTCAACTTTTTCTCGTTTATCCATCGAGCCGTAAGTTTCAACTTGCAGTTCTTGAATAATGTTAGCGGCTTCCGTAATATTTCCCTCCTCTTCACGAATTTTAGCTAATTTATGAGTTAATCGAGCCCGTTCAACTTCAACGTAAATCTTCCCTTCCGTTACTTGTCTTAACGTATCGATTAATTTAACCTTTGTTTCTTTATCAGGGGTTTCATCAACATAAACACAACATTCTTGAACCATTTTAGCGACGGCTTGTTTTAATTGCGAACGGCGTTTCGAAAGTAAGGTTATGTGTTCGAAAAGGGCATTCCAATTATTAGCTTCTCGGCATATTTGAACGATTGCGACTAAAACTCTTCCCGTTGAAACCATATCGGCCCCCGTTCGAGTTTGTTTCTCGAGGGCGAGGAGGATGTCGAGAGCATCGTGCATTTTACCTGATTTTGCTAGGTTTTTGCATTCTGGGATTTTTTCGTCACAAGTTGAGCTATAATCAACTTCCATTTTAACGATTTTACCCGATTCGGTGGCTATTGATTCCATTTTCGATGTATTTCTTGAATTATTTACTTTGAAATGAGCTGCTTTTTGTTGACAGAAAATTGAGGAGTCATTCGGCGATTTTAGTGATTTTATTTCTTACCTTTTATTGGGTTGGTGGTAATTTATTTAATAAATTTATTTAAATTAATAATTTTTTTAATGATTTAAACTCATTTTATTACGCAATAATTAAAATTGATTTATTATAATAATAAATTTATTAATTTTAATGATTTTACGAGATAATAATTAAAATTTAGTGATTTCTCCTTTCGTTCAAATTAAGTTGGTACCATTTTTGACATTTAATCGTCTTCTCCAATTTAATATTATTTATATATTTTATTATTTATAAAAGAATGAAGCACAAAAAGTAAATCAAAATTCGTTTTATTAACACTTTATTTATTGATTTTTCAGAAAATTAAGATTCACCCCTTCAAATGATTCCACACAAAGCGATTATAATCCTTACAAAAATCGTCATCTTCCTAACCCAACAAAGTATGTATTAAATAAATTCTTTTTTAAATCGGATTAATTCAAGATTCTTGTTTAGCGACGTCGAATCTTTAGCACACATATTAAAGGGGATTTTGGGAACTGGAATGGTGGCCCTCCCTGAAGGTTTTTGTTATGCTGGAGGAGCAATGGCAATAATCTACTCATTTTTAAACGGGATTTTATGCACAATGGGGATGCACATTTTAATTTATGGATTTTACAACGTTTGCTGCTTTTATCACCTTCCTGTGGTAACATACACCAACGCAATGAAATTAGGGATGCAATTAGGCCCAGAAAAAATCTCGAGATATAACGAAATATTAGCGTGAGTTAATTGCGCTATCTATTGCGATTTACTCGAATTAATTTTTTAGGAAAATTACAGATTTCTTTATCGTTTTTTATCAATGTGGAGTAATTTGCATTTATATCCTTTTTGTATCGGTTACTTTACAACGAGTAACTAATAATGTGTTGGATAAAGAAATTCCGTTGGGATTTTACATGCTAATAATGGTAATTCCATGCATGTTAATTAATTCGTTGAAGGATTTAAACATTTCGGTTCCATTTTCTTACCTTTCATTATCGATAACGTGCTTTGTGGTGTACTTAATTTTTTATTATTGCTTACGAGATGGTTTACCCGATTATAAAACAACGAGGCATTATTACAGCGACATCAAAAAGTTACCAATGTTCTTCGGAACGACCGTTTATTCGTTTACAAGCGTCCCCGTTGTTGTTTCGGTTGAAAATAACATGAAAAACCCACAAAATTTCCATAAAATTTATAATTTGGGAGTTGGATTTATTATTATTTTATATTTGAATTTGGGATTTTTTAGTTATTGGAGATGGGGCGATGATTTACAAAGTGCAGTTAATCTAAATTTCCCACAAAACGAATTGTAATTGATAAGAAATTAATATAATAATTTACCAAAAGAAATATTTTTAGGCTAGCTAAGCTGGGGAATTATGGCTATGCTTTGGCTATTTTCATTTCAATTGGTTTAAATGGTATAATTCCAGTTCAATTACTTCTAAAAACATCAGTAATTAAGGAATTTAAAGATTCTGGGCACCCGATTCTTTGGGAGTACGTTTTAAGAATCGGGATTATTGTTGTTTGCTGTAAATGAAATTAATTTAAACGCCCCTTAATTAATCCGTGATCTTTCTAGTTTTTATGGCGATTACTATCCCATTGATTGGAGAATTAATTTCGTTGTTGGGGGCAATAGCTTTATCGAATTTAGCTTTTATCTTCCCTGGAATTTTAGATTTATCTTGTAGATACAAGACGGGTTATGGAAGATTTAAATTTTGGGTCATAATCGATTCTTTATTAATTATTTGGGGCGCTTTTGGCTTATTAAGTGGAATTTACGTTAATATTAAGGAAATTTCAATGAAAATCTCATTTAAAAATTGATAGCTTTTTAACCAACTTCACATCAATGATTACAGATTCCTGCAAAAAGAATTAAATAATAAAATTATTTATCAACAAATTGTTAAATCACATGACGATTAACATTAAGATGATTAAGTTTTAAAACAAACAGATATTCGGATAACTAACAAAATTGAAGAATTGTTCTACTTGGTAAATATAACCCCAAAATTTTAGGTATAACCTCAAAATAAGTTCCCAAATTAAAGAGGAACCTATTAAAAATCGTAATCAAATGGGGGATTCGAAACTTTTCGACAACATGATCGATTACGAGCAATACGCGGCTATGGTCACGGATTATTCCTCAAGGTATAATATTTCAAAGATTTATTCTTACGCTCCAGAAAACTTGGCCGGAAAACCTTATAAATATCCTATGTACGGTGATTTTCCCGATACTTACATGTTACGTACTTACGGGAAATGGTGGAATAATAGTAAATCGGCCCAAAAACATTACATGCCTCAAGATCAAGAGGAGATATTTGCCGAAGACTTTATCTCTTTGCGGTAACTAGAAAATTTCTTTTTTAATCAAAATTAATGGAATTAAATTGAAGATTTGATGAAGCTGTCGTCCCTCGAACGATTATAATTTATGAGACTTATAACCCAGGAGCTGTGGTGCGTATTTGGGGTCGAATACATGGTGATAAATGGCATGTTTTATGGGAGGAAACTCCTACGATTCATCCCCAAACCTCGAGGAAATTCACAGTAGGAATTCAAAATTATATGGGGATTATTGAGTAAAAAAAGAAAACTAAAAAGGAAAATTAGTTGACCCATTAATTTCAGTGAATTACGCTTAGATTTTAATCAACACTTATTGAGTTATTACACCGGTTTAGACGCCGTTTTGTTATGTGGAAAGAAACCGAGAACGATTTTACAATCGAATTTGTTACGAACAGGATATTTAGGTGTACCGAGAAAGGAAATAATCCAACAAAAATATGTTTACGATGACTCGAAGGCATCTTATTTCTCACATTTACCTGTTAAGTCAAAAAATTACCATCAATAACATTTGAGGAAATTAATTAATTTTAGGACGAAATAATCATCAAAATTTTTAGTTATTTAGATTTAAAATCGTTAAGCCGATGTGCGCAAGTCAATAAAACATGGAGTGATTTAGTTAATGATCCAACGATTTATCGGAATTTAAGTTTAAAGGTAAATTAACCGAAAAAAAAATTTTACCTGAAAATTTTTTAATTTTAGAAATATTGGGATAAAATCAATAACACCGTTTTAATTTCATTAATAAGAAAGTGCAGAGTTTTAAAAAAATTAGATTTGAGTTGGTGTGGTGAATCGGATACAATTTCCGAAAAGGTTTTTATGTGGTTTTTAGAGGAATGTTGTCAAAATTTAACGCATTTATCGTTATCACATTGCGTTTTTGCTCAAAAGAATTCGTTACAACTCATTGGTAGGATTGAAACATTAACTGAATTACGATTAAGAGATTCCCAAATCAATTCTTGGTCCAATTTGTTAAACGATAAACTACATAACTTGGAAACTTTAGATTTATCGACGACAAAAATTACAACGGAGGTCTTAATCGGTGTTTTAGCACAAAACGCTAAATTGAAACATTTAAATATTGATTTATGCGAGAATTTATTAACGATTGATGCGATAACCCAAACCGTTGCTACACACAACTTAGAATTAATTAGTTGGAGTTCGTGGAAAACTCACACAATGTCTGTTGAAGGGCTCGAATTATTGAGTAATTGTAAAAAATTAGAAGAAATTAATGTTGGGTGGTGCTCGATTCCTCAAGCAGCGATGGTTTCGCCTGGTGTTATCGAAGTGATTTGTGTTAATTGCACGCAATTGAAACGATTAATTTTATCTGGGTGGAGGAACGTAACTAATCACAGTTTAATTCCGATCGTTTATATTTGTAGGGAATTAACGCAATTAGATTTATTGGGGATTAAGTATATCTCATCAGATTTTTGCGAAAAATTATTGATGTCATTGAAAAATTTGGAATTATTAGATGTTAGTTTTTGCGAATTAATCACTTCACAAGATGTAAGTACACCAAAAAATATGAAGTTAAAATTTAATTTTTTCATTTAAGATTTTACGTTGGAGAGTTTCTTACCCGAACGTAGCCATACAAAGAAGTTGTGAACACACAATAGCAACTCAATTATCGTTAAATGAGTTTATTTAAATTCTATAAAAATTTTATTAAATATATACATTTTTAGAAAGAATCGTGATTAATTTATCAAGTATGACACAAAAAAATTACTCCCACTCTTTGTTTATTTATTTACACTTTCTTTTCTAACTCGTAGATTTGCAACATTAATTCCGATTTTCTATTAATTTTCTTTAATTGATCCGGATCTGGTTTTGATAACTCCCCGTTTTTAACCTTTTCTTCTAAAGCTTCCACTTCTCTTAACCGTTTCTTTAAATTCTTAAGTTTTTTTGTGGGATCGGTGGGTTCTTCCTTTTTATCTTCTGTTATTTTCACATCTTTAACTTTTTTGATTACTTCATCAATTTTTTTTTCAACTTTTTCTTTCTTCAGCTTCTCTTTTTTAACCTTCTTTTCTTCCGTTATAAACAAGCCGGGAATTGTTTTGTGAGCCTTAACTCCGGCAGGCAAACTTTCCACGACTTTTTGTTGCTTATTCACCCATTGTTTACCTTTACTTTCGTATAAAGGAACCTCTTCTTGAGGTACATAACCATCTTTGACTCTCCGAGCTTTTCTCCAGGTTCCATCGGGTCTTTGTGAGGCCGGAATAAAAGTTTCACCTTATAAATCAAATTTTAATTAAATTCTCTTTATAACAAGCTAAATTATTTACCGTTTTCTCCTTTTATATTCACTGAAGCATTCATTGTTGCTGATTATGTGATTGTGGTTATGTTTTGAAGGAACATAGGGGTGGTTAAAATTATTTAAAAGAAGTGGGTTTAAACTCAAAGATTAAATTCTTAGTATATTTATATTGAGGGGGTTATTTTTTTGTGGAGAACGCCGAAAAATAAAAGGACGCGAATCAATTTTATTTAACCTCACTTTTTGCGTCACTCAATTCTGATACGTTGGGGTTTTTGTAACCAGTGATTTAGGTTGGTAACAAATTCAAATTTTAAAAATATAAAAATTATACTCATTTTTTATTATTGTTAATCAAATAACCACTTAAAAATGATAATAATTGATACCATCTCATTATAATTTTAGCAGATAAATCAACTTTTAATATTAAATTTAGCCTCTTGGGTGATTTAACCTCAATCGGTAATTATTACAATTTTTTTATTTATTTTTTTTATTACCACAAAATAATCGATTATGAAATGTAATATAACCCAAAAAATATTTGTTTACCGAATCAAATTCTTTAACTATCGCGTTTTACATTCAGATTCATTCAATATTGCCTGTTGAAATCACAAACAAAAAAATGGTTAAAAATAATTAAAATGAGTTCTCCAAGACATAATTTATTAAATAAAGAAGCAAAAAAGGTAAATATAGTAATAATAGCAACAATTAAAATAATTATTACATAAAATCTAACACAAAATTTATGCAATTTCTTGCAACTACGTCAATTTGGGTTGCCTACCTTAATTATTGCTCCAAAATAAAAGTTAAAATGTTCAAAGTACAAAAAGAATATCTTCAAATAAGACCATCAAACACATTTTTAACGTTCATTAAAAATTGTGCAATCGACTAAAAGTATAATTGAAACTTAAAAGTTTGAAGAAACTCCTTAATCTCATACATGTGCGTTTTAACCTCAAAAAAAAAATTTTTTTTTAATTTAATTTCCTTTTTAGATGACTGAAGAAACATGGACCACAAAAATGAAAGAATATCTCCAATTAATAACCGTCGAACCAACCATGATTTTTTATATGATGGCTTTTATGATTACCTCAATCGTTGAGCAAGCCTTTTTTGTGCACAAAGCATGCACCGTTAATCACGGCTTCAACGAAACCGTTTGTGATAACTTAGTTGAAGATCAATATAAAGAATTGAATAAAGAGGTTCAATTAACAGTTTCCGAATTCCACCAATGGAACGATATAGCAGGCCATCTCGGCCAAATAATTTTAGCTTTTTTTATGGGGGCTTGGGCTGATCGGCGCGGACGAAAATTACCTTTAACTTTGGGATTAATCGGAAAATTTTATTACTCAACGATGATAATCGTTAATTCCCAACAAAAAGATTGGCCCGTCGAATACATCATTTACACGGCAACGATACCTATGACTATAACCGGGGCTGACGTCGCTATTTTCGCCGCTGCGTTTACTTATATAACCGACGTTTCATCACCGGAAAATCGAACGTTACGAGTTACAATTTTAGAAGTTTGTTATTTAGCTACAATGCCAACAGGAATTGCTTTGGGTTAGTTACATAACCTCACTTTAAATAATAATGTGAGGTTAATTTTAATTTTTTTTTTAGGAAAAGTTCTTTATAGCAATGTAACAAATAAATCGTACTCAATAATGTTTACGATAAACGCTAGTTTATTATTCATCGGAATAATTTATACCCTTTTAAGATTAAAATGGAGAACGAACGAAAAGCAACGTCCATTAAGTGAAGCAAATAACATTTTCACAGATTTTTTCGATTTAAACCACGTTGTACAAACATTCCAAACGATTCTAAAAAAACGAAGGAACCGCAAAAGAACTTATTTATTTTTATTAATATTCGCAATGGCTTTTTACACATTCCAAAGAGACGAGAAACCCATGATGTATCTTTACGTGCAATTAGTGCTAAAATGGGGCTTCGATCAGTTCAGTAATTTTAAAACTTACGTCTCAGCACTTCAAGACGTCTTTTTATTATGCGCAATTCCTTTAATGAGTAAATATTTCGGATGGAGAGACACTTACATTATGTTGTTTGGTGCTTTGTGTCACTTGATTGCTAGAATTTTTTATGCAACCGCCCAAGTTGGGTGGTTATTATACATTGGGGGAGCTTTTGCAGCTTTCGGGCCGGTTGTAGCCCCCGTAATAAGATCGATCGTCTCAAAGATGATTTCTTCGGATGAGAGGGGGAAGATATTTTCAATTTTAGCGGTAGCTGATAATGCGATTCCTATTGTTTCGGGGACGTTGTATTCTCAGGTTTATAACGCTTCCATTCATACTCATCCGGCAGCTATTTATTATTTAACAATCGGAACACAAGTTATGGTCTTCTTAGCGGCTTTGTATATTCATTTTACGACTACGAACGAGGATTTAATTCATGACGAAACCGATGTAATTGAAAGTTGTATTGAAAATGATGATAACACGACAACTCAAGAAAAAGATTGATTCTAATTTTAGGTTATGTTGAGGGTTAGAAACATTCCTGTTTTTTATTATAATTAATTACTATTTTAGAATAAATACTTTGTTAGAATAAGAATAAATTGATTAAATAATGAATTAATCAATTAAATTTTAAATATTTTTTTTATTTAATAACCAACTTCACCCCAATCGTTTTGTTTTGTTTTTGACTCCTCGGGTGCGCTTCATGTGACGAATTTTTTGTGAAATCCCTGCGAAAATCATTTATTCCAAAAGAGCACTCAAAATAGTTAATTTGGGGCCCGATTTATCATTTAGAATGAATAGGTGGAATACTCACCGGTTTTGTTGAAACTTAAAAATAAAAATTTTCTTCAATTTGTATTTCGTAGCCATTTTAGATGCCGTGATGTCACGTTAGTTCCGATGACAACCACCTGATAACATAACCTATAAATTTAAATTGAAAAGAAGTTAATAAATTATATCCTTTTTTTGATAACAAAAATTACGGTAACTTTTTAAATAGCGCATAATTGGTTGCATAATAAATATATATAATCCTCAATATAATTTCAAGAATCAAATTTTTCTCATAAATAAATTACATACCTAGTTTATTAACAAATATTTATAATCTAATTTAACGTCACTTATAAATTTAAACGCTTACATACTTAATATTAAAGCTCCTTTTATATTTACTTATTAGTTCATATCTCAAATATTTCAAATGTCACGGAGGTCAGTTAACGTTTTATTTCTTATAAATTAAACGGTGATACACTTAATCGAACTTAGTTTCGAATTGCGACGTTTCATAAAGATAACAACACGTGTTCTTTTAACGGTTTCTAACGGTTTTTGAATTAACGTTGTACTTTCAAATAATAACAACAAAAAAAATGATTGAAATTATATTGATGTTGTGTATAATCGTTTTTGTAATCATTTAAAAAATATTATTATGGTAAGAATGATTAAAAAAAGAATAGTTTTGTTTTTATTTAATTAATTTTTTTATTATTTCAGGAAAAATTTGTTGATTGATGTAAAACCATCTCGATTGTGCGCGAAAAGTTGTTGAAACAATCTGAAAAACCTCAAAATCGAATCGTGAAGTATTAAAGATTTTATTTATTTTATTAATTAATTATATAAATAATTTTTTATTTTAGGGGCGGAATTCCTTTGTGATAACACTCAAATTTTATTGGAGATATCTTAAAATTTGTTGATGTTCGACTTGGAAATGGAAAAGAATTTTTAATTAAAAACTTGAAATTTAAATGGATTAAATTTAAAAGCTTTTATTGTCGTTACAAATGGACTTGATATATACTACCTATGTGTTTTTACCGATTAATGGAATGAAGCCGAGGTCGCTTGCGGCCGAGGCAATAGCTTGATGTTATTACGAATTAAGAAATTTCAAAATTTCATCCGGCCAGTGCGCCACCTCAATGTTACCAAGATTTAAGAGACTGAAGCCAAAGTCGCTTGCGGCCGAGGCAGTTGCTTGATTATATTTTATGTTAGTTTATTGATTGTATGACTTGACTTTCAGTCTGTGGGAAACAGTAGATATATATTTTGCTAGCTGTTGTCACTAGTTAAGAAAATGAAGCCCAGGTCGCTTGCGGCCGAGGCAATAGCTTGATGTTACCACGAGTTAAAAGATTGAAACCGAGGTTGCTTGCGGTCACGGCCTCACCTCAATGTTACCACTAGCAAAGAGACTAAAGCCGAGGTCGCTTGCGGCTGAGGCAATAGCTCGATTACGTTTTATGTTAGAGTTTCTAGATTGTAGCATATTGGTGAACTGATATGATGTCATATCGCCGAGGTGGCTTGCGGGCGAGGTGGTGGAATTGATGTATATATCTTCTAAATGTGAAATCTCATTGAGTTTAGTTTTATATTTATAATGTATCAGCTCAGCAATGCAGCTCTCAGCAGAGTGAGGATATATTAAAATGTTATGCATTTAAATTACTTTCCAACACATCAAATGAATGATATTATCTAACATCGCCGAGGTCTCTTGCGGGCGAGGCGCTAGAATCGATTATTTATACCAGCTTTGCGTTGACAATTATATATCAAGTGAGGATAAATGAAAATGTTGTATACTTGGTTTACTTTCCATGATATCAAATGAATGATATCATCACAATTACATTTCGAGCGCCTCTCCCGCAACCTCGGCGAAGTGAGAATAAACGAAAATGCATCGGTTTTTACCTTTTAAAGCTGGTAAAGATATATATTCACTGCCTTAATATACATAATAAGGTCACAAAGTTTTGTTGTCACAAATTGTGAGAATGAATTATATTTTTGTCTCCATAAAATGTATGATTTAAGTTCGTCCGGAAAAGAAAGTAGATTTGAAGTATTAATTTAGTTTATATATTAAATATTAAATAAGTGATCACGAGTTAGAGAAAGCGACCAATTAACTAAGTAATCTCATTAATAGCTCTTTAAATAAATCATTACAAAAAACACAACAAAGTTATTTTTTAACCAAAGACAAATAATTCCTAGAAAACATTGAGAATTTCATTTTCTTGAAAACCATAAATCTAATTTTTAAAAACAACCTTTAAAACATATTCTTTTGTGAGCTCACGTATTTAATTGTTTCCGAAATTTCCCAAGTTATTTTTTCTTGAATTTATTAAATTAACATTTTTTTTATGTAGGTCAAAATTGCATCATTATTGACGGATGATTAGCCCCATCATCACAAGTCTTTGAAACTAAATTAGCGAGCAAGTGTGGAGAGAATCGTTTACGAAAACTTGGTTAATCGAATGCAATAAGAAACAATAAAGAAGATCCGATTATTAAACGGAGAAGAAGCTAGCAAAAGAGAAAGTTGGCAATAGCGGATTCGTTTCGTTGCCACTGAACGACTTGGTAAAGAGAGTCACGTGAAGGCACGTGATCACAACCAGCCAGTGGCACACAAACTGTGTTTTCTTTGTTCCCAGATAGGATAGTTACGTCAACAGTTGGAAATTGCAAAAAAATCTTATTATATATTCATGAAATCGAGGGAAAAGATTTTTTTTTTATTTTAGATTCGCTTCGATAATTTTTTGGGCAATTAATTTATTTCGAATTGAATCAAATCCAAAAGGATTGGTTTAAGAGTATAATTTAAACTGCAACGAAAAAGATCGTCGAAGGAAAAGTGAAAAAGTGATCGAGTAAGAGTATTCTGGGCGTGTATCAGACTTGCACTCAAACCGAGAGTGTCGTCATCGCTTTCTCCTAACTCACCATCAACAACTTCTCATTAACAATCAATTTTAACTAAAATAAATTTTTTTTTTACCATAAAAAAAGAGTTCCTGTTTGATCCATCTTAAGCAATGTCAAGGTTTATTTAATAAAAAAAAAAAGTTGAAGATGGGATCACTAAGAATAATCGGTTTGAGACGTCGATCACGTGCTTAAGTTGAGAGAATTATTACCTTGCGTGGAATCCGGCGCTTTCCGAAGGTTATCCGCCAGAAGCGAAGTCATATGAGACTCTTTCGATGTAATTTTCGAGTCATGTGAATTGCTCCCACTTTAAAATTTTTTTTTTAATAATTATCAGTCCGTTTTATGTTTTGAAATAATCTTTATTTAAATTTGATTTAATTCATTAAAACAATGACAACCTTATGAGTTCCTCAAGTGAAAGAAAAGATTTGATCATCCTATTGTATCATTAAAGATTAAAGAAAGTACTTTCCATTCATAACTTAATATTAGAAAATTAATCTTTAATTCATAAATTTATTTTATTAAGATTAAAAATTGTGGTTGAAATAGTGTTTGCTCCAGGTGTCCAAGATCCTGGTGTGGTGGGATCAATGGGACGTCGACGAAGTCGTCGTCGATGGACGATTACTTTCTCTTTCATGGAAGTGGGAACGCGATCTTCACAACTTGGCTGGAGCTGTATAAGCGACCGATAGTGGCACAGAAACGTTCAAACCGCGTTGTATACACAACACTCATTTTCTTCAAAAATCATGTGTTCCTTTTGAAGTTGCAAATCGATCCGATTCGAAGCTTTAGGGGGAAGAACGAAATTTAAGAAGAATAAAAAAAAATAAATCAAGATGATCTGGTGAGTTTATTTATTTTTTGAAAGTACATCCGGGTAATAACATAAACGATTCATTTTTTTTCAACATTTCGTAATTTGTAATAAAATTTAAAGAAATCAAGGACCCGGTAAACAATGAATAGAAACCGAAATGGTTCAAGTTGACCTATTAAAGCATTGTGTTCGGGGTACTCGAGATATTGCGGCACAACAAGAGAAAACGGAACATTTGCATAACTTAAAAGCGGGCACGCGGACAATTTCGAAGCGATTCCGTGAAAATAAACGTTCTCTTTTGTTGGTTTCGAACGTTTTCTTCAATTATTTTAAATTACCTCTCTTTAGATTTTATCAATTTTGCCTTTAAAATCACGGAAAAGTAATAATTTTTATAACCTTAATATTAATTTGTCAAATTTGACACTTTAAAAAGTTGAGGTTATGTTATTATCTAACGTCAAATTAAATAATCATCTAATAAATTTGATTTTTATATTTAAATGAATACCTCAAATTTGAATTTATTACTATTTGTAAATAATATCTTTCTTTACATTGCAAAATCTTATAAAATAAGTCCAAAAACTTATTATTTTGAAATTTCGGTTACCTTGTGTTATTATTTATTAATTTCTTTTATTATAATAAAATATCCTCTTTAGATTATAAAATCCTATAAAATAATTTTTAAGGTTATGTTGAATCCTAATTTGCTTTTTTAAGTTTATATTGGCATCTATCATCAAAAACCCCACCTTGTACAAACCACAATACCACCTATGATAACTAATAATAACACCAAATTGACAAACGCCAAATTTGACAGTTCTAAAAACATAAAGGTTAGTTTATTATAATTTTTATAAATTCTAAATATATCGATTTCATTGTTCTCATTGATGATCCATCGAACACGTGTGTATAAAACGCACAAAGAATTCACAAATACAGAGTTAATTTAAATGAATTTCTATATTTACCATCGACTTTGCAATTAAAATGAATCAATTAGATCCATTGAAAGAAAGAGAATTACCGATTAAATCGGTCTTAATTTCCTATAAATAAATTTATTTACCGGTAAAGGTGACGTGTGGCGTTCGTTGAATGAATTCTCTCGATTTAACACGGTTGTAAATTTGTTTTTGTTATTAAAATAAATTTATGCGGTTTAAAAAAAAAACATTGAAAGATGGCGTTAATAAATTTTTGAAATACAACTTCCTGGATTATCGTTTACATCACTGAGTCACTTTCACTTTATCCCCTCAAATAAAAATATTTCAACTGTTCGCGAATGAGGTATTTAAGTTTTAACGTTAAAATAATCCAACTAAATTCCTTTTCAATACATTAACATTGACACACTCCACAACTTTCGATTTCGCAACTTTTCTTTGTAAATCTATTCGCTGAAAACTAAACTCCTCCATTAACATCATTATTTTTTCATTAACTTGTTAGGTTGATTATGAAAAAAAAAAAATTGTAAGAAATAAATTAGAATTAAAGGTAACATATGGTTTTTTTCTGAGATGACCGACCATGACTTTTTCCTTTTTTATAAAATGCGTGCGTACGTGTGCAATAATTGACCGTTTTTTTTCCATTCATTCCAACCCAACACTTTTCTCTTCTTCTTTTTCTACCCGGTAAGGTCGTTCTCTAACGCGTAATACACGTTAATAACCGCGCTAAAGAATCTAAAGACTACGGTTTTTGTGTTGGGAAATTGGCCGGAACGTCTCTATGTCTACGAGTAGTAGGACATGGGCACAATAATTTACATGCTTATATTAATTATAATGACAATAAGTGAAAGTTCAACTTTGATTATGAAATGTATTAATTAATTAACTTTGTATCATAACAAGAAAAATTTGTAAACATTTGTTAAATATGAGGTTAGATTTTCTTGGTTTTATTGAGATTCGGTTAAAACTGTATGTATCATACGCAAACGTCTTAACCTACATACTCAACTAACCTTGACGCGCGAGAATAACTAAACGGTGCCGTAATAACTTGTTACGCGCCACTGTTTATGTCTTAACGCGTAAAGGTTATGTATTTGCTTATTGAAGACCGATTTCGATTAAAAAAAAAAGTAAATTAAAAATTATTTCGATTATTATGAATTATAAAGTGGACTACACTCAACAGTTTCATATTTTCGGCTTAGGATGGAATGTACGATGTCATTTTATTATTATTCGCTTGCGGTCGAAGCATTACCGTATATGATGTTCAATATGATATAATATGTGACCATTTAATTAAGCCGTGACCAATTATTAGATACAGGTTGTAGAAGGCTATATCCTTCTTATAGAAGATTAGTCACTGGATATAGCTTACAGAAAGTTACATACTGCTAGCAGAGGACTAGGTTCTATTATTTTAACTCTCTGCAAAAGTCTATAGATTGCTGCCAAAAGTCTAGATATTGCAAATGGAAGCCTACATCTATAAAACATTAGTCACTAAATACAGCTTACAAAAATCTTTAAACTGTTGGCAGAAGACTAGATATTGTTTATGAAAGACTAGAAATTGTTTGCAAAAGACTAAAAATTGCTACCGGAAGCTTAGAACATTACTTAGATTAGTTACTAGCTTACAAAAGATAATAAAGATACTGTTAATAAAAGACTAGATAGTGATTGTAAAAGACTATAGACTGGTGACAAAAGTCTAGATACTTCCAATGCAAGACTAGATCTTGCTTATAGAATACTAGGCATTATCACTCGTTACTGATATAATTACTGCTAGCTGTAGACTAGATATTGCTCATAGAAAGTTAGATACTGCTTGAAAAACAATGACCACATATCATTAAATAAATTGTAAAGATTCCAAACCATTTCGCAAGTTGAGTAGTTAGAAAGTTCCGAATGTTGTGCAGTTAGTATTTTTTTTTAACTGCTAGTAGGAATTTAGAACGACTGTATTAATATTATTGTTAAGGATTATTTTGAAAATTTCGATTTTCAATTCTAATCGTTAAGATAATTTTGAGAGAATTTTTGTTTTGGTATGAATGTAATAAAAAGTAACCTTGCCCGAGGAAAAGAATCTGGTTTTTTTGGTCGGTGGTAATTTAAAATTTTAAAGGCCCCGTTTTGTTATTTCGCTTCCTGTTCTCTTGTGTGCGTTTAAAAGTTTCGACAGAGTCCATTTTCAAGGTCGGTTTGGATTGAACTTAGATTGCGTCCGAAGCGAACGCCGACCAGTGAAAGGAAGTGAAATTTTTTTCCGCCGTATATATACACAATCGACTCACTCACATTCGGGGAAAGTTTTCATGAAACAACATATATCATCAATAATAAACATTTGATTTAAAAAAAAATTAAAAATAAAACTAGTTTTGATAACGGTTTCGTTAAAACGGAATTTGAATGTCGAGGTCAAAACTAAATGTCAATACTATTAGTTTTAGTGTGTAATTGTTTTAAATCATTTGCTTTAAGAAGCCGGAACTCGGAATAATATTGTTTTAAATTTAAACATCACCTGAAACCGGTGTTGTGGCAATTCTGCGGTCGGTCAATTATCATTCGTTTTCTTCCTCTCAGAAAGTGATAAACACTTTCTCTTAAACACTTTCGTTTAACTCACGTGCTCCTAAAACCCTCTCCGTCACAAATCATATCACAATTAATCATAAACACCATCGAATGATATAATAAAATCATAATAAATTACTTAATCACTATTTGACATTTAAAACCCGATCAAAGTGATCGTTCTCGAGCTTTGCCCCCTTTGTTTTTTATTTTTTATAACGATACCGGATTAAATCTTGAGCAATAAAGACGTGTAACGTAACTCGTCCTTAACTGTCATCACTTAGCTCATCCTTTAAACTTAAATATGGAAATTGGTTGAATTTAATATTATCAAATAATTGTAATTCTTCTTTTGCAACATTATTATTTTTTTATATAATATTACCCGCAGAAGAGAATGCGGAAATTTTAAGAAAAGATCACTTTCACGCCTATTAACGAGCCACCATTTCAACATAGTCCCCTTTAAAACTGTGTCAACACAAATAAATAGGGGAATCCATAAAAATAATTAAAAAGAAATAACTATTGCATAATTAACTTTGTTTTAAAAAAATCGTTTCTCAAACAGTTATTTTAACCTTTATTTATGACTTATTACAGTGGCATTAATTTATTTAAGAAAAAAAAATGTCTACTTTGACTTCTAAGAGCCGTTATTTTTATTATTATTTTTTTATTTCTTTCCTACTCTCGGATTGTAATAAATCGTTGTTTGCATTAATCTTTATGGCTTAACACGACTTGTTACGGTTACGAATTTTTAAAAATTCCATCAAAATAAGGTGGGGTTTTTGCATTCTTTTCAAATTCTTTTTATTTACAACACAAAAAAGAATTAAATGCTTGGGTTATATTGCGCTTTTTCGCAATATAACCTTAAACGTCAAAATGACATTTATTATTGTCAAAAGTGACAAATAATCTAATAATCTATAAGTGACAGTCTTTGGAAACATTCGTTGGAAACAAATTTTAACTAGATATATAAATATTTTAAGAATAACTTACCAAATATTTCGCTGTATTTCTATTAAACATTTTTAAACAACTTTAATTCTGACGTTTCGTTTGACAGTTATGTCAAAAATCCACCACTTTCTACATTTATTAAGAGATGGCGCCAGTTTATTTAATCTATTTTTTTATAAATATTGATGGTTGTTATAATTCGCTATTAATTTAATTAGATTTAATACAAACGGAAAATAATTAATACAATAATAGTAAATTCTAATTAAAATTGCTTATAACCTAAAAAAAATTGACATTTATTTATTAAGAGGTTATTAAAAGTAAGGTTAAGTTTCGAAATATCTTTTTATTTATTGAATAACAAAGAAAAACATAAACCTCCTGTTTATAACATACATAAAATAAAAATAGACTATGAATAATTAATGTTTAAACCCACAAACAATTCTTTCTTGTTGCAATTGTTACAAAATGTGTTTTTTTAGTATATTAATTACTTTACTTTTTTTTTAGGACAACATTAATCGGATTATTATTTTTGGCGACATCAAAATCAATGGACGTCACATCCTACATAAACCATTTACCGAAAGAGTTGCAATCATCCGTTGAAAAGGCTTTAAACCTCGAAAAAACTTTTACTTTCAACCGCAATTCGCCATTATCGTGCCAACCGCGAGAAACATCGATTTCGTGTCCACCAAATAAATTCCGAAAACCCACCGGGGAATGTAACAACATTAGACACAGCCAATGGGGCGTTCGTGGAACCCCCTTTTTGCGAGTATTAAAACCCCAATATCAAGATGGAGTTTCAAAACCTCGAGTTTCATCGATTTTTGATTCATCGCCACTCCCGAGTGCGGAAGAAGTTTCTTATATTCTCCGCCAATCTTTTAGTAAACAACACGAATCTGTTACGGCTCTTTTAGGAGCATGGAGTGAGTTGTTGTTGCATGATTTAGCGTCGACGGGGAATTTGAGAAGTATTGATTGTTGCTCGAGTAAGAAACACGAAGAATGTTTTACGATGACCGGGAGTTCTTGCCAAGAATACGTCCGATCTTTACCAACAATCGATGATTGCACCGCAACGTTTTCGCATCGAAATCAAATGAATTTAGCGTCATCGTTCTTAGACGCTTCCGCCATTTATGGAAACGACGATGAATCAATGCAGCGTTTAAGAACTTACGATGCAGGTTTAGTTAATGTCAGCGCGTGCGCCGTTTGTAAAGCGAACGCTTTATATTCAGCGATTTTACGCGAACATAATCGCGTTGCGATTAATTTGGCCCAAATGAACCGGCATTGGGATGATGAAATTTTATTCTTGGAAAGTCGAAGAATCGTAGCGGCCGAAATCCAACACATAACTTACAACGAATTTTTACCCATTGTTTTGGACGAAACTTCCCTCCAAGATCCAGGGCTTAAATTAAAATCAATCGGGCATTATTCCGATTATTCGAGTTCAAATCGCGCGGGAGTTTTTAATGAGGTTGCGATGTCCGCTTTGCCCGCAATGATTTCGATGATCCCCGCGAGTTTAATGAATGAAACGGCTGAAAATTTCGCCGAAATGATCGATATTTTGATAAAAACTCCCGCGCAATATGTAAGCGGTCATATTGAGGTGCCGTTAAGACACGGGTGGGATACAACGACTTTGATGGTTCATATGGGGCGAGATCACGGCCTCCCCGGGTATATTTATTACGCGAAATTCGCCAGAAATATTTCTGAGAGGGAAAAAATCGAATTCGATGAGTTAAAACGTTTCGGGATTGACCAAAATGGAATTAACTTTTTAAAAAAATCTTATAGGTAAAAAATAGTTTTAAACAAATCAAAACAGTTAATTAATTTTTCTTTTTTTAGTTTTGTTGAAGATATTGATTTATTAGCCGGGGGATTATTGGAAAAACCGCTGCCGGGTGCGGCTGTTGGAAAAACGTTTTCGCATTTACTCGAAGCGCAATTTAAATTGTTGAGGCGTTCGGATCGGTTCTGGTATGAAAACGATTTGCCGCCTAGTTCTTTGACTTCTGAACAACTCACCGAAATTCGAAAAGTAACCGTTGCTAGTTTGCTTTGCGCTAACACGGACGATTTGGATAAAATCCAACCAAAAGCGTTTCTGCAGGAAGACATCTATTTGAACGCGCGGATTTCTTGCGAACAACATCCGATTTTGCAGTTAACTCCGTGGTTGGAAATGGATCGAGTTGCTGATTTATCTGAGGAAATGTTGATGGATGCTTTGGCCAAAGCGGAACAGGAAGTTTTGCAAAGACGGAAGCAAGAGTATGAAGCTTGGAGTCGATGTAAGTAGGAGATAGGTTAAGTTGAGTTATTAAAGAAATGGTGCGTAAGCGCACAGAAGCATCACAACTTAGTTATTTTCAGATATCGTACATAAATATACACAAAGCATACAGTACACATTCGTGTGCAAGCTTTTGTGAATGTGCACTCTTACTTTAGTTTTAAACATAGATCATTATGTATATTAACACTTGGTTCGTACATGGTTACTTAATAATAATTTACGTCATGCTGTTATTGTGTTTAATCATGGTTTAATCCATTCGTTATTTTAAATTAGTTGTCAAAATGTGTGTGGCTGCCCTGTTTTTCAAATTTGACAAACTAATTCTAGATAATAATCACATGAGAGGTAAACCGCCTGTACTAACTTCAAACATCATATTAACAATTTCATCAACTCTCAATTTAAGTTACACTTTTTTCCTTACGTATATTTTATTCCAATTATTTGTTTATAAATATAAAACCATATGTTAACGAATAAGGAACGTCATTATTTAAACGTCACTTTGACACAAATTAATTTCAAAACATGATATAACCAAATTACCTGTTGATATTGCCAACTTTATTTAATTTAAAAAAAATTATAAAAATCGTTCAAATTTGGTAACATATGAATCTTATTAATGATTTATTATTTATTTATAATTTTACAGCTACTTAAATTTTTTTGATATAATAAAACGTTACATTAAAAAAAAAAAAATAAATAAAACGATTCTGGCGCCATCTATTGGCCCTAATCTAAACTATATATTATAACCTAATTTTTCAAAATAAATTATTTAAACAACTTTTTTATTCCAGTTGGAGGTGTTGATCCAAAATCCCCAAGTGGAACAGCAGCTTCATTCAGTAAAGCGAACAAACAAGCTTTAAAACTAGCGAATTCCTCGCTACTTTTCGAATTTGCATCCCAAGAAATCATAAACTCACTAAGGTAATTAAAACATTTTTTTCAACATTAAAATTAATAAAAGAAGTTTTTAGTAATCGCCGAAGAAAGCGTCAAACTTTCGATAACATCCTCCAAACGAGCGATTTCACCGACACATTACAAAGTGTCGATCTGTCAAGTTTCCTCGATTCGAATTCTTTCTCCGATCCCGTTTGCGAAGATACGGGGCCTTGCGATGAAACCTCGCCTTTCCGCACATTCAGCGGCCATTGCAACAACTTAAGGAACCCCGCCTACGGGAAAAGCTTAACAACTTTCGCGCGACTTTTACCCAGCGCTTACGAAGATGGTATTTCAAAACCCCGCGTAACCGGAGTCACAGGAATCCCGCTCCCATCACCAAGAGTAATCTCAACTTACATTCACCCCGATATAAGCAACTTACACTCCCGCTATACTTTAATGACGATGCAATTCGCGCAATTTTTAGACCACGATTTAACCATGACCCCGATTCACAAAGGATTCCACGAATCAATCCCCGATTGTCGATCGTGTGATAGCCCAAGAACGGTTCATCCTGAATGTAACCCGATTCCAATTCCGAAAGGGGATCATTATTACCCCGATAGAAACGTTTCAACCGGCGGGGATATGTGCTTCCCTTTTATGAGATCATTACCGGGTCAACAAACTTTGGGACCACGCCAACAAGTTAATCAAAACACCGCGTTTTTAGACGCCTCTCAAATTTATGGGGAGAATCATTGCGTTGCCACGGAATTAAAAGGAAACGGGGGAAGAATGAATTGCACGATTCACCCGATTCAAGGGAAAGATTTATTACCCCAAAGCGATCATCACCCCGAGTGTAAATCAGGGTCGGGATTATGTTTCATCGCGGGGGATGGAAGAGCGTCGGAGCAACCCGCTTTAACCGCGATTCACACAGTTTTTATGCGCGAACACAACCGTTTAGTCGATGAGTTGAGGAAAATTAACCCCCATTGGAACGAAGAAACCCTTTTCGAACACGCGAGAAGAATCGTAGTCGCAGAAAACCAACACATCACATACAACGAATTTTTACCGCGAATTTTAAGTTGGAACGCGGTCAATTTGTACGGATTAAAACTCCTCCCGCAAGGTTATTACACCGAATATAACCCAACGTGTAACCCGGGGATTTTCTCGGAATTCGCCGCGGCCGCTTTTCGAATTGGACACTCGTTATTGCGGCCTCACATCCCGAGGTTAGACGAAAATTATCAAATTTTGAATCCCCCGATTTTGTTGAGGGATGGTTTTTTTAAAGTTGATATGATTATGAAGCCTTTGATGGTTGACGAGATTTCTAGGGGATTAGTTTCGACACCGATGGAGAGTTTGGATCAATTTATAACGGGGGAAGTCACAAATCATCTTTTTGAAGATCGTAAAATCCCATTTTCTGGGATCGATTTGATCGCGTTGAACGTGCAAAGAGCGCGAGACCACGGAATCCCCTCCTACAATAATTACCGGGCTTTGTGCAATTTAAAACGCGCCACTAGTTTCGATGATTTAGCCCGGGAAATCCCCGGGGAGGTCATCGCTAGATTAAAAAAGATTTACGCTTCGGTTGATGATATTGATTTATTCCCTGGGGGGATGAGCGAAAGGCCGTTAAAAGGAGGATTAGTCGGACCAACTTTCGCTTGTATCATCGCAACCCAATTTAGGCAATTAAGAAAATGCGACCGATTTTGGTACGAAAACGTTGATCCAAACGTGAGATTCACCGAAAATCAATTAGCTGAGTTAAGAAAGATTTCTTTGGCGAAAGTTATCTGCGACAACTTAGATATTTCGTCGGATATTCAAAGATCAGCTTTCGATTTACCCTCACACTTCTTAAACCCCCGAGTTGGTTGCACCTCATTACCCGGGATCGATTTATCCGCTTGGAGGCAAAGATCGTCGGGTGGGTGCACCCTAAAAGATCGTCAATTACGAATTGGCGAATCAGCGTTTCCTTCGCCGTGTACAAGTTGTATTTGTGGAGACGATGGGGTAAGAACCACCTTAATTCAATTAATAATTAAAAATTGATTAATTAATTTATTTTTAGATGCAATGTGCTTCGTTACGAGTCACGGATTGTGGGCAATTAATCAAAGAGTGGCCTAGAAATATAATACTGCAAGATGATGTGTGTACGGCTCAGTGTGGGTATTATTTAAGAGACGCCCCCTTTGTTAATATAAAAGCAACGGGATTTAGCCAACTGAGGCCTTCGCCGTCGAGAAATATCCGATCGAGAACTGTTATTCAAAGTTTCGATGCGGGCAATCCTTTTCAAGGGTTCAAATTACCCGATTTAACGCAATTTATCGTTTAAATCCACTAATGAAAGAGTGAATTGTATATAGATTGCAAACAAGTTAAAATCAAAAAGTATATAGATCTCTAATTATTATTATTATAATTATTATTAAAATTATCTTATAATTATTTTATTGTATTGTAAAAAATGTAAATACCATTAGATTCTTTAAGTCTTAATGAATTATACGTGTATTAAATGAATTTAAACGGTTACCAATTTTAAGAGTTAACACTGCCCGTCTTGGTTGTTTTTATATATTTACTTTATATTTACTTATTATTAAGAATAAATCTTATTATTTAATTATTTTTATTCATTTAAAAAAATAACCAAACTTTATTAAAATGTCAAAATGACATTTGAGGTTATGTTTACTTTTACACAACCTCAACTTTATAAATAACTTATTTATTAATTATTGGTGATATAACGCAATTATTAAATATAAATTATTGATCAATTAATTAATAAATTATTAATTTATTTATTTGCTTCTAGGGGTTAATAACTCATTTTTATTAAAACGTCAAAATGACATTTGTGGCTATGTTTAGCTTTCAATTTTAAACATAACCTTACTTTTACTTAAAAAATGTCAACTTCAATAATATTTATTTATTAATTATGGGTGATAAGAGGTAATTCTTAAATAGAAATTATTAATTAATTAATCATTTATTTATTTTTAGGGATTTATCAGAAATTCCAAGTGTTAATAATGATTACGATCCTTACACGGAAAGAGATGTTGATAGCCCAACTAAGTAATAAAATCTACATAATAAAAGCATAAATTTGTAATAAATTATTTATTATTTTAAAGCGATTTAGAATCTTTCGCTCACATAACGAAAGGGATTTTAGGTACGGGGGTTTTGGCTTTACCAGAAGGTTTTGGTTTCGCCGGGGGATTAATGGCAGTCATTTATTGTTTGTTAAACGCTTTCTTATGCACGATTGGGATGCACATTTTAGTGAAAGATCTTTATATGGTGTGTAAAGCTTATCATTTACCCGTTGTTACGTACGCGGATGGTGTTAAACTTGGGGCTAATTTAGGACCAAAACCTTTTCCGAAATTAAACGGATTCTTATCGTAAGTGTAAAATACCTATCAAAATGAAATTATTTTTTTTTTTTTTTTAGAATGTTAACGAATGTGTTAATAATTATAAATCAAGGTGGGATTTTATGTGTGTATATGCTTTTTGTTGGAGTTACCATTGAAATGGTTACAAATACTATTCTCGGAAAAGAAATTTCGTTGGGTTTTTATTTGTTAGCGTTGATAATTCCTTTTATGCTTATTAATTCGATTAAAAATTTGAAGTATTTGGCCCCAGTTTCATATTTTTCGCTCGGTGTCACAGTTATGGTTTTGGGGATGATTTTTTATTACATATTCAGAGATGATTTACCAGATTATATGGAAACGCGGAAACTAACCAACGACATTCTTAAATTACCAATTTTTTTCGGCACAACCTTATTTGCTTTTACAAGTGTAGCAGTTTGCGTCTCCGTTGAAAACCAGATGAAAACCCCGAAACATTTTAACCTAATTTATGACTTAGCTATCATCGTTTTGGTGATTTTGTATCTTTCCGTTGGGTTCTTTTCTTATTGGAAATGGGGTGAAGATTTGAAATCGGTCGTTATACTTAATTTTCCAATGGATGAAATGTAATCGTTTTTTTAATTTGTATTTATCTTAATTTTATTTTATTTTTTTGTTTTAGACCTGCTCAAACGGCAAATTATTTGTATGCATTGGCTATTTTTTTATCGTTGGGCTTAAACGGAATAGTTCCTGTTAAATTAATAATGGAAACTTATATTTTACCAAAATTAGAATCACAATACCCAATTCTTTGGGAATATTTGCTTCGTATATCCTTCATCGCTTTTGGATGTAACAAACCTAACCTAATACATCAATTTTTCTCTCAATTTTTTAATTTTTTCAGTATTTTTAGCAGTTACCATTCCATATATAGGAACAGTAATCTCGTTACTTGGGGCTATCGCTTTATCCTCTTTAACTCTGGTCTTTCCCGCCCTTTTAGATATTTGCTGGAGATACCAACTAGGTTATGGGCCATGCAAATTTCGATTATTACTCGATATCTTATTAATAACCTACGGAATGTTTGGGCTAATAACCGGGGTTTACGTTAATCTGCAATATCTATACGAAAAAATGTTTTTAGAATTCATCAAATCACACGATATCTAACCACAAATCTTTTGTAACGCAAACGAATAATAAATCACTTCCCACATTAATCCATAATCAATATAAAGGTTACATTACAAGTATTAAACTCGAAAAAGCACCTTAAATCGCTCTGTTATTTAAAATTATTAATAAAATTAAAAATAATAAAATTAGAAATTTTTATTATCTTAAGTTGGTAAGAATTTTTTTCAAATTTGACCCTGTCAAAATTAACTTTTTTAGGTTATACTAAAAAAATTTTAAAATTATTAATTTAAATATGAATAAAGGAAGAGAGAACGATTTAACCTTTATAAATCATCTATTCAAATTCGCTAAACTAATCGGGATAACAACCTCATTCCCTAAAACCCTCACAAACCTTCAAAAACTCCAGATATTATTCACAACGATTTTTGTAGTGGCTTTTTTCTTTTGGGCTTTCCACTTTAAACTTGGGATAATTAAAAACCCCTTAGAATTATTTACCGATTTATTAGCCACAAGCATTTTAGCAATATTCACGGTTTACACCATCTTAGCTTTTGGATTTTTTAAAAGGAAAAATTACTACAACTTTATCTTATTGATTACTTCAATAAATAACTCAATTCCTTCGATCGTAAACGTTGAGAATCGATTTTCTTACCAAATAGAAGTTGCAGGGTCGTACCTCTTCATGCTCTCACTGATTATAACCGCTTTATTCACTGAGGTCCACGATGTAGGGAGTTTATATCACCTTTTTTACAAGTTCTTTAATAACACTTTTATGGTCACTTTAACCCTCATTTTAAGAAATTTCGCGGTTTGCTTGAAGTATCGCTTCCTCAAAGTCAACTTAAAATTAATTGAGGGCCAAGTTAAGTACATTAAAACATATTTAAGCCTTTTGGAGGCCACAGAACACTTCAACAAACTCTTCGAATGGGAATTATTTATTTTGGCGATAAGAAACGTGACTTGGACGATTTCAATAGCTCAAATATTCATTTATGGGGTAAAAACTAACCGATTAATCATCGGAAACATCATATTAAACTGTATAAGAGGAAGTTTGGGTTGGGTAAGGTTAAAAAGTTGACATAACCTCAAAAAAATTTAAATTTATTTATTTTTTTTGTAGATTATGTTATTTTTGGTTTCTTTATCATGTAGCGACCTATCAAAAGAAGCAAATAAAATTTTATTAATTAAAAACGTTAAAACATTCCCTTTTGGGGCAACTGAAATTAAAAAAATTAATGTTTTAAAGAAATTAATTCAAGATAAAGTGGAAATTAACGCCGCCGGGTTTTTTAGGATCGATAAAAGCGGGTTATTCGCTTTAACCGGGGTTGTAATGGCTTATATCATCGTTTTGATCCAATTAAATAAAATAGATTTTTAATTAAATGGTGTGGGCAACCCAAATTACACCTAATTAATTTCTTGATTAAAGGTGATTTAATTAATTTTTATTTAATATTTATTACTTTTTAAACGTAAATATTTAATATAACCTATTTATTCAAATTAAATCAATTGATTTCATCTCAAAATATTTGCTAACCTCAATTCACTCCCAAATAAAGCAAAACACATAAACACCTCAACTTCCATAAATTTACCCTTAACACAATGAAAATATGCAGGTTGTGCTTAAATACAACATCCCCTCAATACGAGGATGTTAAATTAATCGATAAAGAGCACATAAATTCAATTTTATCCGATATTGTAAGTCTTAATAAAAAAAGAAACATTTCTCGTACTAATTTTTCCTCAAATTTAAAGGATTTCGACTTAATTCGAGCCCCACAGGTTTGTTTAAGCTGCACGGAACAATTAAAATCATCGTATTTCTTCAAAAAGAGATGTTTAGAGACAGAAGGTTTAATTAAATCTTATTTCGAGAGGTTCGGACACACCAACAATGAATTAAATGAGATTTTAATAAAAATTAATAATTTCGATACTGAAATAAACGATAATGAAACAAATATAGATGAAAAAATTGATTCCCCTGAATTAAACATTGAAAATTATTTAATAAACGAGGAAAATGAGGATAATAATAGTGATTCCGATGAACAAAACGATCAATTAATTAAATTGGATAAAAATGTTAAATGTGAAGTTTGTGGTGAGAGTTTTAACGAAAAAATTCGATTAACGGCGCATATGAAGGATCATTTTCACCGGTTATCTTGTTCAGGGTGCAATAAATCTTTTTGTACAATTCAAAGTTTTCGAAAGCACGTTTTAGCATCACACAAAAACGTTTTTAAAAAGAAATTAGCGGAACTCGAAGATTTATTAATAATAATTTACAACAAAAACACTTTGTGCAATAACTGTCATTTATGCAATCGGGAAAAATCTAATTGTTTATGTCCGAATAACTTTTCTTGCGAAAATTGCAACAACAAATCGATCTTAAAAGACGTTTATTTTAAGCACAAAATTGTTCATTTAATAAAAAACAACAATTTTACTTGCGAATATTGCCAAAAACGTTTTATGAGAAAATCGGCTTTAACCCGTCACATAGAAGAGGTTCATTTTGGTATTAGAAAACAATATACACCACGTTCGATTTATACTTGTGATATTTGTGGGTTAACAACGCACCGAAAAAGTCGATTAACTCAACATATGAGGACCCACACAGGGGAGAAACCGTATAAATGTAATGAGTGTGGCAAAGCCTTCGCGCAAAGTAGCCAATTGGGGGTGCATAAACGGACGAAACATTCTGATACGTTTCGATTTACTTGTGAGTATTGCAGTAAAAGGTTAAAATCGAAATATTCACTCGATATGCACATTTTGATTATGCACAAACCGGAACAATTGGAACGGAAATTTCAGTGTCATGTTTGTGAGAAGAAATTTCGATTTTCCGGTGAGTTAACGAATCATTTAACGTGGCATAGTGAGGAAAGGAAGTTTAGTTGTGAGGTTTGTGGGAAAGGATTCGTTAATCAACCCTCGGTTAAAAAACATATGGTTATTCATTCCGGGGAGAAAAAACATAAATGTGAGATTTGCGGGAAAGGTTTTCATCATAAATCGTACATTAAAGTACATATGAAAGTGCATAAAAGAATCATGTAATTAAGTTTTTTAATAAAATTTATTTTAAAAAAATAATTTTTAAATTCTACCCTCAAAAAATTTTTTTTAAATATTTATTAATTAATTAACATTTAACAATTTCATCAACAATTGAGTTAAAAGCAATAGATGTTTTTGAATTTGGATGTTCAATCACGCAAGATTTTCCGAGTAAGTCACTCATTTTTGGGTCAATCGGTAACGATCCTAAATATGGAACTTGAACGATTTCAGCTAACGCTTTTCCACCCCCTGTACTAAAAATATTGGTGCATTCCGTACAATTGGGGCAAACGAATCTAAAAATAAAAACATTTTATTAAGAGCTAATTAATTAATTAAAATTAAATTAACCCGCTCATATTTTCAATGATTCCGATAATAGGGATCCCGGTTTTTTTGCAAAACGATATCTCTTTTCTCACATCTTCAATTGCAACTTCTTGGGGGGATGTTACGATAACTGCACCATTACATTTTAACGTTCGGAGATTTTCCATGACCGTTATATGTTCATCGGAAGTTCCTTAATAATTTTAATTTTGTTTTTAATTAAATAAATGATGTAGCTAAATTATTATATATTACCCGGTGGTGTATCAATAATTAAATAATCCAATTCGCCCCAATAAACATCGTTCAAAAATTGCCGCACCATCCCGGTTTTTTTTGGCCCCCTCCACACCACGGCACTATTCCGATTATTTAATAGAAACCCAATCGACATCACAGCAAGTTTTTGATCTAAATCGGTGTATACAGGAACCCAGCTAAAAATAAATCAAACCAATCAAACTTTTTTTAACAAATAAAAGAAACACACCCTTCTGGGCATTGATGAACGTCCTTATCTTCTAATTGGAGTAAATATGGAATGCTTGGACCGCATAAATCGATGTCTAACAACCCCACCTTAAAGAATTCTTTATAAATAATGTAAGAATAAATAGAAAAATTAACCTCACTTTATAACCTCTCTCTTTCAAAGTCAAAGCTAATTGAGTGCTTACGGTTGATTTACCAACACCCCCTTTACCAGATAAAACTAAAATAATGTTTTTTACTTTATCTAACATATTTATTTGTTAAAATTTATTTAATAACTTTTCTTGACAAGGGTGACATTAAACATAACCTCAATTTTCTCTATGACGTTTCTTGAATTATTTTTTTGAATTAATATTAAAATTAAACTTAATTATTTATTAATGAATACTTAATTATAAATATCTTCAATTAATTAATTAATATAATTAAAATTAAATAAATAAAGTTAAATTAAAAAAGAAGATTTAAATTTTTAAAGTAGGTATTAAATGAAGTAAATTCACAGTTTACTTAAATATTTTCAATTAATTCGATTAAATTAATAATTAAATTTAAATTTATGACTAAAAATGATTTAAATTTTTTAAAGTTGGTTACAATGAATCACCATGACAACATGAGTTAATACAAAAATTAAGCGTCATTTCATTATGGTAAGTTAAATTTCTTAAAATAATTTTATTAATTTAAACGTATTTACAGAATTTATCCCGATCTAAACCTGCAATAACCACAAACGCATCGCTAAAGCATTTAAGGGGGCTCTCAGCTACGAGAAATGTGCCATCATTCGAAGAATTCCTCAATAAAAGGGATTACACTGGAGCTTTAACTTTGTTAGAGGTTAAACAATACAAATTAGTTGGAATTAATTAAAACCACATTAATTTTTGTAGTTTAAACAATTCCAAGACCCAAACGTTAACATAGAATTATGGATGGCTTATTGCGCGTTTCACAAAGGCGATTATAAGAAAGCTTTAAACATTTACAATCAAGTTTATTTAAAAAATGGGAACTCTAATTATATCTGTTTAAATTTGGCTTGTTGTTACTTCTACTTGGGAATGTATAAAGAGTCGAAAGAGATGTTACAAAAAGAATTGGAATCATGTCCATTAAAAATCCGATTAAATTTCCATTTATCGCATAAATTAAGCGATGAAACTGGGTTGATGGATCACCACGAACAACTTCTTGATATAATCGAAGATCAACTCAGTTTGGCGGCGATTCACTACTTAAGAGCCCATTATCAAGAATCAATCGATATTTATAAACGATTATTGCTTCAAAATCGGGATAATCTAGCGTTAAATGTTTACATAGCTCTTTGTTATTACAAACTGGATTATTACGATGTTAGCCAAGAGGTTTTAAGCGTTTATTTGAATCAATTTCCCGACTCTGTTATCGCAACAAACTTAAAAGCGTGCAATCATTTCCGGTTGTATAATGGTCAAGCCGCTGAAAGTGAATTAAAAACGATTACGGATCAAAGTACAAATGTGGGGTTTGGACACGATTTAGTTAAACATAATTTGGTGGTTTTTCGAAATGGAGAGGGGGCGATGCAAGTTTTGCCTGGATTAATTGATGTGGTTGCCGAAGCAAGATTAAATTTAGTTATTCATCATTTAAAACAAAACGATACGAAGGAAGCTTACGATTTAATTAAAGATTTGCAACCAGCGGTTCCTCAAGAATATATTTTAAAAGGGGTCGTTAACGCTGCTTTGGGGCAAGAAATGAATTCTGTTAATTATGTAATTCTTTTTATTAATTACTAAAACTTATTAATTTTTTATTTTTAGTCTGAATACATAAAAACCGCTGAAGAATGCTTCCAATTAGTTGGATCGTCATCAAGCGAATGTGACACAATCCCCGGAAGACAATGCATGGCAGCCGCTTTCTTTTTAGCGAACCAATTCGAGGAAGTTTTAGTTTACCTAACATCAATTAAATCATATCTCCACGCAGATGACACATTCAATTTTAATTACGCCCAAGCCAAAGTTGCTTGCGACCAATTTAAAGAGGCTGAAGAAACGTTTTTGTTAATACAAGATGAAGCCATCAAAGCGGATTACGTTTATGTATCGAGTTTGTGTCGGTGTTATGTGATGAACGGGAAACCACAATCGGCATGGGAAATGTATTTAAAAATGGAAACTGGCTCGGATAGTTTTAATTTGTTACTTTTAATTGCTAACGATTGTTATCGGATGGGGGAGTTTTGGTATGCGGCGAAAGCTTTTGATATGTTGGATCGGTTGGAACCGAATCCTGAGTTTTGGGAGGGTAAAAGAGGTGCTATTGTTGGAGTTTTTCAGGTAATGATAACATTAAATTAGATGTTTATTTTAAGGTTATGTTGTAATATGACATTTTTAGGTTATGTTGTTTATTTTAAAATTTTAATTTTTTTCTTACAATTTTTGTTATAATGTTTTATTCTTATTTAAAGTCTACTTTTAGGTTTAATTTAATAAAAAATGGTTTTTGTTAATTTTTTCGAGTAAATATAAAACTCGTTTTCTAATCGTCAATAATTGTGTCTAAATCTTAAATTGACGTTTTAGGTTATGTTGAATTTTTTTAATTGTAATTTTTTCTTATAATTTTCGCAATAATCCAAATCTTTCATTTTTATTTAAAATTAATACTTCTAATTCAATTTAACATTAAAATCGATTCCTATCTTTTTAAATTGTTATAAAATTCAATTTCGAAATTTTAGGTTGGTATGAGCCTTTACATTTAAATCGACATTTTTAGGTTATGTCGAAATTAATTTAAAGTTTTTTTGTAATAATCCAAAGCAAATCTTTAATTTTCAATTAAAATCATTAATACTTTTAGCTTCACAAGAAAATGAAACCGCCTTATTAACGGCGAGTTAAGAGTTGTTTAATTCTATGTTATAGTAATTGTTATTAAAATAATACAATCTAATTCATTCTTCTTAGTGTCAAATTAGATTTAACGTTTTAAGTGATATTTGATTTATAACTAACTTCATGTGATTAATTTTTAAGCTAACAAATTGTTATAATATAAACATATTTTTTATATTTGTTTGTTTTAGGGTGTAATTGCAAAAAAATTTCCTGTTGATATGTTAGGGGATGTTTTGCAATTATTAAGAAACTCAACGTCGTCTCAATCAGACCACATCGCTAAAGTAATCCGGAAATGGGCCAAAGAGAAACGAATCAGCGTTATTTAATTAATGTTATTAATAAAACGAAAATTAAGAAATAAATTACATTTATTTAAAATACAATAAATAGACATTTTTTTTCTTCAGTTCTCTTTCAATCATTTTTTCTTTATTACTCTTTCTAACGGATACAATAAATAAAGTTTAAGTTTTTCTTGACTAAGAAGTATTTTTTGACTTGGAATTAACTTAATTTTACAATTATTCTTGGAATTAATACACAAAATAATAATAAAGAAAATGCAAAAAAAAAGAGGAAGTACATTGAGTATATTTTAGAAAAGTGTTCTATTTTATTTTAATTTTATCTTAAAATAGTTTCTTAAATTCAGATTCGGACTACACAGTAGTCGATCGCATTTAATTATTATTATCATTTAATAAGAACCCGCTCGAGATTTTTTACTTCTCATCACTTACAATGTAAATAAAATCATAAAGTTAATTTTGCGATTAAAATAAATAGTTGATCGAGTTATTTACATATTTTTAATTAATTATTTTTTTTAATGAGTATGACTTAAATTGTTTTAGGAGGAACAAAAAACCGTTTATTTTTTATTTATTTTAGGTTGGTGTTATTTTTTTTTAAATTTTGGTAACAGATTTAAAAATCTGTCAAAAAAAATTAATTTGTTATTCTATCTAAAAAAAAAAATACAAAAATAAAGAGAAGAAATAAATTAAATAAAATCGATTAATTAATTTTTTATATCGTATATGGATATTCGTCCAAATAATTAATAAGCTGTTGTGGCAACGCTAATTTTTTATAAGCAATAGGATCCCTTAAAACACCATCACCGTTAACGTTTTGTTGTAAAACACTATGAACACTCATCCGGGATAAATGTTTTAAACTTGGTGGTCCATTTCCTTTAGGTAGAGGTCTTTTAATAACGATCGCAGAGTGTAATTTACCCGCGGGGTCAACCCAAACGTGGTTATCGTTTTTGCTTGATTTCACATAATGTTCGATTAACTCCGGAACTGAATTAAACTTGGGCATAACTTGCAACAAATGCGGCTGAGAGTCTAGTTTAAAACAACCCTCAACGAAATGTAATCGTATCGAGGTCGGTCCTTTTTCCGTTTGAACACTTAAAGAAAACATAAACCGAGGATCCGAAGAATCTCGCACCAAAAAAGTCCCCACCGATTTGTTTTGCAACAACTCTTGGCTTTGCTGGTACGTTATGGCCCCGTAATACCATCCGGATTGCCTTAAAGCCTGAATACGCTCCGGATGGGTTTTGTGGACTTTCGTGGGGGGCCGACAATTTTGCGGTTGCTGCTGCTGGTGTTGTTGACGAGATACGATCGGCGGCAAAACGAATTCTAAGGGGAGACTTGGAGAAACTTGCGGAGATAAACTTGCGCGTTGATTCACGTGATGAAACTCGATGTTGCCCCCGGTAAAACCATGCAATGAATGACGTACGTTGATCGCCGCCGCCGCACAACATGGTGTCGGGGGGCAGCACACGAAATGGTGCTGACATTTTGGACATTCGGCATTACAGCCTAACATGGCAAGGGAATGCCATGCCAAATTACACTCCACCTAAAACAAATAAAATCAAATTAATGAATAAATAATAATTTTAGTTAATTAAATTTATTTAGGTTGGCAACAAATTTAAGTCATCCGTCAAACGAAGTGTCAATGAATCAATTTATTAAAATAATCTAATTTTTGTATTAATTTTAATTTATAAAAGCAAAAACGGGTTATTTCTTGATAAATATTTACATATTAATAAAGTATTGATAATTATATTTAAAATAAGCGAAAATGGGGCTTGTTTATTTTTGACGTTTAACCCTAACCTAATTTGATCGTTTAAAATCGAAGAAAATCGTTTAATAATCGATTACAATTAAAAAAATACTTCGCAACGATTCTTAGTAAAACACAATGAAATAAATAAAATGTAAAAACCGTTTGCGAAACAGCCGGTTCAGAGAACTCGGCGATTTCAGCTTTAATTCGAATGAATCAGTGTTTATTTTTTGATTTCAACTTAATTTTATTAAAAACTCGATTTATAACTAACCTGCAACATGGTTCTTTTAAAACTTAAGCCAATATAAACTAAATTAATCACAGAAACGCTTAAACTTAAACTTGTATCACATTGATTTTAGGTATAAATAATGATCGCGTTGTGAACGCTTCGAGCTGTGACAACGAACTGAATCGGAGCGTACGGGAACCTGGCGTTAAAAGTGTTATCATAGAAATTCAGAAAATTTTGCGTCAGCTTACTACTGAGAACCCGGTTACAATACTGTGCTACTCGGAAATATGCATGCTTCGAGTTATTTTATATACAAAACGGATTATTTTTAGAAGGACGACTCTATCTTTCTCTTTCTTCCCACGGCCAAATATCCCAAACGGTATTTTTAAGCCACTTTTTACGCCTTCGCAGAAAAATCGGACGAAAAAGTTAGGTTATGGTCGGAGCTGTCAATAAAAAATAACAAAAAACATTTTTTTTAAATTTATTTTAATGATTTAAACTTAAATCTTATCGAATTATCAGTTATTATAACTTATTATAAACACTTCTTACCATTTTAAATGAATCAAGATAGAAATCGCAAGTTTTCACACAAAGATAAAACATTTTTTTTTATTCTTGATAAGATTACGTTATTGTTACTTTTTAGGTTTTCGGAAATTCAATGTTTCATCACTAATCGCCGTTAAAATGATAAATCACACGATTTTACGCGAAATTACAACACTAAAATTCAAAAACATCATGGTAATGATTACTGATTAATAGTGGTGACATCTATCAAGAATTAACCCAAATTAAAATAATCGAATTTTATTAATTATTATTAAAAATTGGATTTAATTAAAAAAATAATTTATTAATATAAATTAATAATAATTAAATATTATAATTTATTAATAATTAATATTAATTATTTAATTTAAATTTAAAATTAGCTAACTTCACGATGATTAAATTTCACGTATTGTCATATACGTCAAATTGAAGTTATAAATTCCAAATCCCATTGCCAAGCCTTATCAGTATGAAGAAGAAGAAGTTATAAATTTAAGTAATAAAAATTTAAGTGATAAAATCGTGCAAAAATCGTTTTAAATTAGGGGTTATTCTTAAAACTTAATTGATTTATGGTTTGTTTAAAGGCGGTAGTTAAAGTGGCTCGGATCGGCGCCTTCTAGCTGAGTAAAAGAAGGAGGAGGAGGAGGAGGATGCGAAGAGGTTATGTTATGCGCGCGGAGGATGTCGTTTTTTCCTGGAAGAACCCGATCGGACTTCTGAGAACGAAAACCGTATGTTTTAGACTCAATTCCTTTGTTTATCAATCCTATATTTTATGAATTTTGAAATTTATGTTATTTAATGATGAATTAGTTAAAAATAAATTTTGTTAAAAGACAGATGTACAAGACTAACACAACACCTGCCCTCTTAGAAGTAGTATGTGTACCGAGAAGTGAGGCCCCCGGGAGAACGGAGCAGGTAGAGAAGAAAAGTGGCCGAGCAAAAGTTAAAGAAGAAAGAAGGAGGAGGAGTAAGGTGGAGAATAAAGAAGGAGAAACCGAACGCGCAACAACAACCACTGCAGAAACCCGACGAATATGGTGGGTTCTGGTTGAGGAGAACGTTGAGCCGCATAAAAAATCTAGTTTTCTCGGAAGGAACCAAGACCAACGACGAATGGTGTTCTCCGGGTTCAGTTCTTTGTATTCGTGTGTGTGGACACCCTTCTAGGAAAAACGATCCTCATGAACTCACACGGAAACTTTAATATATCATTACTATCCGTTTGTTAAAAATTTTAAATTTTTTTTCGAAAAACGATTCATGTTTGACCTCTTTTTTAGGTTATCGGAGTTTATGATTTGCGTAAAACGGAATTGGGAAAGCTTTTATCTATCTAACGCTTGTGAATTAAATTTAAACAATTTGAGTGTGCATATTTATTGTTTGCGAAACGTAATATGGTTCGTTGCTTGTTTAAATTTGATAAAAGAAATGAGATAGAACTCAAAAGGAAAATTTTAACGAGAAAAAATTAGTTATGAATAATATTGAGTCATCAAAGAAGTTGGAGCAAATAATGTCAGAAGTAAAGAACTTAAAAACCTCCTTACCTTCGAAAAAATCCTAGAACGACTCATTCACGATACAGTAGCTCATAACACGCAACTTCAATACTAATAAAGCAACATCAAATGATTATATGTGAATTATATATTTTTGATAGTCTGTTATGCTAAGGTCGCTTGCGGTCGAAGCTATGCTATATTTAATCTCAATATTTTATCGATATGATAACAACTATTGCCCCCGCCGCAAGCAACCTCGGCTTAAGTGAACGATATCATATATTATTTATGGTCAGATAAGTCAAGATCGTTTAGGGCCGAGGCTTTGCAATATGTGATGCTCAATGTTGTATCGATATGATAACAACTGATGCCTCGGCCGCAAGCGACCTCGGCTAAGCTCATTAACAAAATTAATTTCTGGCTGTTGGGATGAATGAGATGAAACAATGCGTGTATGACTTGTGTAGGAAATGCATTGAGAAGGAGTCATCAAAAAATTAGGAGAAATGCTGACTCGGATATATATTTTTTAAATTCTTAATAATCCTTTAATAATTTGGTGAATAACACATTATTAACTTATTTTGTATCACCACGAGGAACTCTTTTATCAAGATATGTATAATTTTATCTCTTTATTAAATCGAACTACTTTTTTATAAATATTTTATCTTTACGCACAAAAAAATCAATAAAAAAGTACATGTTATGTCGTGGCTTCATCTAAAAATATACACAAGCTTCAGTTCAAACCCCGCTTAAATATCGATTGTTGCGTATGCAAACTAAATTCCAATAACATTTTAAACACGAAATTAAGCAAATATAAACAAAAAAAGGAGTTAATTACTAACAAATACTGATATAGTAACATAGAGTGATATAGAAAAGTTTTTGGCCCAACATTCTTGACGTAAAAATAAAACGAAACAAAAACAAATAGAAAAGAGAAAGCGAAACACGTCAGTTTCTCAGTATGACATCAATAAGTACCGAAAATTCCAAGAAGCGCGCAGATCTAGAAGTCGAAACGTTCGCAAAGCTCGATCTCTTTTTAACCACGATTCTCCTCTTTCTTTGCGTTAAAAGTTAAAAGCGACGACACAAAGTCGTTTCGGGGAAGTTCCGGGCGGCGACGAGACGCATTTTGCGAAATAGAAATCGTGCTTTATTTTTAGGAAACATCACGAGCGCGAATTCTTGGAGTTCTTTCACTTCTAGCATATATGTTTTAGCAAACTTAAATATAATCATAATTAATTTAGCATCAATTAATTATCGCCAAGTTTTTAGATTATTTTGATAAATGACATAATATTTTTAAGTTCTACCAACTTAAAATTAAAGAATGATTTGACGTTTTAAGATTAATTCAATGAAATATTTCGTTCTTCATCGGAAAGATGGGCTCTTTTCCGAGAACCGTTAAAAACGAAAAAAAAAAAAAATAATAATCGAGTTCGTTTATCCGTTAATACACCGAGGAATCACGATGAAGAGAATATAAAGAGTTGAGGTTTTAAAAGGACGCCGAGGAAGAGGAGTGAAAGAGGTCGTCCTTTTCGTTCGTTTTGCTCCCCTGCATTGAAGTTAAGAAGAAAGAGTCGAGTGGGGTCAAAGAACTCTCGGAGACCTTATTTTTTCTTAATAATTATTTTATTGAAAATGAGAGGTTAATAAAAAATTGTTTAAACTGGGAAATCCCCAACTTGTGGAGGAATTTCTAAGATATTCGGCGAAGCAAAAACATCAATACGGATGTTGTATTAAGTTATTTATATTTGTTGGGAAAATCCTCAAATTATTTAATTTTTAATGTTTAAGAATAAACATAACTTGTTTTTATTCTTAAACATTAAAATCGGGTATAATTATGCTTACTCTGATTATGGTAATTAAACAAAATAATACGATAATGAGCCGAGTTTAAATTTTTATCGCAACGAGATAAATTAAATAAAAATAAAATAATTAAAATAACCTCAAAATTAAAATCGATTGTGAAATTGAAAAAAGAAATGATGCCAACCTAAACAAAATTAAAATTTTTGGTGAAATTATAATATAATTAATTTAAAAAAAAAGTTATTTAAATTAATAAAAAATGAAATTTAAGCGATTAATACAAAATTAAATTAAATTCAAATTAAATTCACTAAGAACATAACCTCGCTTCAATTCGAATCAAATCGAACCGACCTATACCGGCGTGAAGTTAGTGTGTTATTAGTTCGGACGCTGTCAAACGGTGAGGACGTGCTCGACATCGCTGTTTTTTTAAATAAATTAGTGCTTTAAAAGACGATTTAAACTCACCTATTCTAAAATAGTGTTTTCTGTGCGTGCTCATATCAACATTAGACGTGATAATTTACAAATCGGCGGGTTGATTTCGCGAGGGGTGAGTAAAAATAATCACTTCTTTTTTTAACCACAATTTCCAATCGAATCCGACCCAAAAGCAAATCAAATAACTCTTGTTTCACCTCAATTTCACGTAAACACAACACAACCTTTAAAAATAACCGGTATTAAAAAGAAAATTTTTGTTGAGATGTCAAAATTCTAAATACGCCTGTTAAATTTCGTTAATCAACGACTTCTTTCGCGTTTGTTCTTTATTCTAATCGGTTTAACGATTTATTTATTTTCGATTATTTTTTTTATTAATTTGATAAACTTCCGGCGCACGTCTGTACACGACCGCGTGCCGATTGCGAATGGCATTTTCGTTTCGTCGACCGTAGACGAACGTGGATTAGGTTTTGTTGTCTTTGTCGGTAAGACAGAGATTATATCCGGTTGAAATGCGAGTTGAACAGAGATGGGGAACGTTAACCACGTTCTCGGAAAACGGACGAACGTGTTTTCGAGTTGTGTCGGCGGCAGGCGATGAAGTGGGGGCGCGACGTTCGCTTGGAATTCATAGAAACGCGGTGCGTTTAGTTCGTGGAACGCGGCCGTCTGCGATAGTTGTATTAACATCTTAGGATTATATATATTTATATATCTTTTACCTATGTGTTTTGGGTGTGTGTTTCATATTGTGACGTTTTATTTATTTTTTTTTGTTGATGATTTTTTTGAAGAAAGTAGTGGAAATATTTTGAATGATAAATTGATTAAAATAAAAAAACAATAACATCAAGGTTATGGTTTTATTTATCGTTCTCTTTGATAAGATATTTTCGAAATTTATTTTCGTGGAGTTAATGACAATAAATAAAAATGGAAATGTGAAAGGTATTTTTATCGTTTTGAAAGATATCGGTTAGCTTTGTTACCGAACTCGAATGGATTTCTGGGAAATTGCTCGTAACTATCGGCGTTTCCTGGAATAGTCAATTAGATATATCCATAACGATTTTAATGTAATAAAACGTAATGGATTGGCATTTATTTACGAAATATTTAAAATAAATAAAGGAAAAAAAAATTATTTTTGACAGCTTGTGTCGGCTGATTTAGAGGGCGCCATCTTTTGATGGAAAATCATAATGTTAATTTAAATGATTTTTAATCCTCGAAAAAAGAAAAAATGAAACATTTTAAAAATAAATTATAAAAACATTTGGGTTATTTCGAAAAACCGCGAATATTAAAAATTCTTAATCAACATAACATATCCTTTAAAACGACACCAAACACGACTAGATTATCTTTAACAATAACTTGGATACGATCATTTTAAAAATGGCGATTGTCATTTTTTTTTAATCACTTCCGGTTATTAAATTGGCCTATTTTTTGAGATAACCTAATCGTGTTTGGGCTCATTTTGAATCACTTTTAAAAAATATTTTTTTCATTTTCAATTTCCGTTTTTTGGAATTTTTATTCGTATCTTTTTTGTTATTTGTAATAAATTAGTCGTGTTTGTACTCATTTTAAACCATTTTTAATTTCCTACTTGATAGTCGAGATGAAAGTATTTTTTTTGCGAATTTTTTTTAAGAAGAATATTTTTATTGTGTCACCGTGTTAAGTATAAGTTAGTTTATGATCGTTCTCGCCCCCTTTTTTACATGGAAACGGTCCGTTCCCAGAAGAGACTAATATTAATGACCTGATCCCCACTGAAAGTTTTAAGAAATATCGTTCCCCGAAAGAGCCGTCCGAGTACGGTTCGGTCGTTATTTATTTATTTTGCGTCGCGAATGGCACGCATAACATAAAGTACAAGAACAACCATTTTACGATCACCTTGACAAAAAATAAAAAATAAACGATATGAAATAAAGCTCCTCGTTGCGTAGATAAATTTGTATTAAAGGAGATAAACGAACAATAATTGAGTGAATACGATAACCGTAGATAATGTTTTAGCCAGAATCGAGCGCTCAGATAGAACTACCCGGAATTATTAGAGAGTAATTTTCTTAGAAACGAAATAATTATAACAAAGGAAAAAAATTTTTAAAATGAGAGAGATAAAGCGTTTAAACGGCGATGGAAAACAAAAATAGAGGTTAATTAGCCATTGTGATTGTCTTTTAAAAAATAAAGTTATTAAAAATGATGGCAAAGTTTAAAGTTTAAGATGAAACGATTTCTTGCATCACTTGTAACTTTCTAACTAAAAGAGTTAAAGTTAGAAAACGTTTAAATTCCGCGCATCGACATTTTCAGTGAAAGTTTTTTTAACGAAAGAAACTCGTTCTCGGAATGATCGAGTGAAACTCTGCGAGAAAAATGTTTCCATTCTCAACGTTATCGTCATTGTTGGATTGTTTCAATTCCCACACAAAATAAATAAATAAATAAATAAAATCAATTCAAAGGAAAACTAAATGTAAGTACAAATAAAAAGCACGTGTTTGAATATCCTTGGAAATACATTTACGAAATGATTTTCCAAGAATTAATTGTGTGTGCTATCGAGTTTTCAGGAAATCTCGAAAATAAATACATTGAAGTATTGGAATTATTATTTGTTTAATCGGATTATTTGCCATTAAAGTTTGATAAAAAAAATTAAAAATCTGTTTTAATTAAAAAATTGTAAATGAAAAATTGTAATGTTTTTTTTTTTTAAGTCGTGTTCAATTAAACTATCATAAACAAACGTGTTTAAAAAGTTGTGGAGGGGTTAAAATAATAAAATACTCGGAAGCTGTTAAGTTATCATAAACAGAAAAAAAAATTGTTTATCGTGTAAAAGACGAGCCAGATTTCGTGAAAAAATTTTTTACGTAAACAATAATTTCTTAGATATTCCATTCGACAAGCATTCCGTTTACACTTCCAAGTAAGTTTATTGAAAAATGATTTACTAAGTAAAAATATTTCACACCGCGGTTTTCAAAGAAATAGATATGAAAAATTTTTCTTTGGAATTTATAATGTTTAAATTTTTAATGGATGCAAAAGAAATTTTTTTTTTAATTTTGAAAAAGGAAGTTTTTAATCCAAATAGTGATATATAATTTAAAAAAAAGGGGTGAAATGACTTCAAACTCGATATATCTAGGAATTATAACACGCGAGAATCATAATTTTTATACATTCAAGATGGCCGAGAACAAAACACTAATTATTAGTGACATTTATACTTTTAAAAATGATTTTTATAATAAATTTTTATGATATGATTATTAAAATTTTGTTTTTTAAAAATAAATTCGGTTATTTTTGATTTTTTATTATTGTTGTGATATAATAACCAATTTCAGGTTGATGTATAATAATATAATAATCATTAATCATTGGTCGCAAGATCCGCATAATTGGATGAAATCATACATTTCCCACGTTGATATGATATTAGTTGCAATATTGTTTTGATATATAACAAATTGTAGTATCTCGGTCGTAAGTGACCTTGACTTTATACCGCAACATATGTTATAGTTAAGCCGAGGCATTTGATTTGTAATTATATCGATGTAAAGCATATAAACAATCACACAACATTTTAATTTATTGTCACTTACTTCGTCGAGGTCGCTTGCGGGCGAGGCTGTGGATATGCAACTATATCAACGTAAAACTGGTATAAGCAATCGCTTCCAGCACCTCGTCTGCAAGCAGCTTCGGCGATAATAGATAAAATCGTTCATATTCACATCGCCGAGGTCGCTTGCGGCCGAGGCAGTGGGTATGTAATTATATTAACGTAAAACTGACATGAACTGAACTATCAATTCTAGCGCCTCGGCGATATTAGGTGATATTAGACGACAAGCTTGTATAAATTATTAACTCTAGCGCCTCGCCCGCAAGCTACCTCGGCGATAATAAATAATATTCATTTGAAGTCTTCGAAAATAAACCAAACGTACAACACTTGAATGAAAAACCATTTATTCTTACTTCGCCGAGGTCGCTTGCAGGCGAGGCGCTTGATATATACATAATTATACATGTATAATGATGTCATCGTAAAGCTGATAGAAACTAGCAGAACTACCGCCTCGGCCGCAAGCGACCTCGGCGAAGTGAAGATAAATTAAAATCCTATGCACTTACAAGGAGACATCGCAGTTGACTCTTCACCAATTTTGATGAATTTTTTTATGGTGAATCTATATTGAATATAAGTAAGTTCCCCCAGAGGTTTTGATCGAATGGCCCTTCTAAAGGGAGTTATTAATTTTTTAAGTTACGATTTTTGAGAGTTGTTGTTATAAGCTGTAAAGACGAAGACGCCTTACGTATCTGTTAGTAGTGCAGTGAATGAATGGCCGCGCTCCTGTGCAGAAAGCCCAGGATCGGGATTCGGCGGATGTTTCATTTTTTTTTTTTGTTTTAATTATTTATTGTAATACTCCTAATCTATTGTTTTATATATATCAATATATACGTAATTATATTTATAATATATAATTGTAATTTTTTAATTACGTTATTATTATCACTATTTGGAATTTTTTAATAATTCCTTTTAACAAAACCTCATAACACGTTTTAAAAAATTCCAAATAGTGATAATAATAACGTAATTAAAAAATTACAATTATATATTATAAATATAATTACGTATATATTGATATATATAAAACAATAGATTAGGAGTATTACAATAAATAATTAAAACAAAAAAAAAATGTGAANCGTATATCATCGAGGTTGCTTGTGGGCGAGATGCTAGAGTTGATACTTTATACTAACTTTACGTTAATGTAATTACATAACCATTGCCTCGGCCGCAAGCGACCTCGGCGACGTGAAAGTAAACCATTTTATCTATACTAAACCCTGTCATGTTTGGACTCATTTTAAAGAACTTTTTATAATAATTAAGAAAATATCAAAATTAAAGCGGTTATTACCTTAATTAATTATTGTTGAGAAAAATTTTAGTTATGTTACCAAAATATTTAGTAGCAAGATATATTTATAACATGAAGCTTGTTGTCAACACTGCACGACACAGAAAAACACATCTCAGAGAGAAAAACATCTTAGCCTTTGAAATATTTTTAGTTGATACATCCAATTTAATTTGGCGAAAATGATATGAAAGAACCGTCATTTTTTGTTTTTCGTTGTCGTCATAAGAAAAGGACTGTTACGTCGTCGTTTATATTTAGTTTACTGGGTCACTTCCACGAAACGAAGGCCCCGCGGGTCACGTTCCCAGAACGGATTAATAGCGTACGACGTCGTCTCACGAATACCTATTTATTCTAAGAAACCGTTTTAATCATCATCAACATAAACTTTTCTTCCACCCTTTTTCATTTAAGATATTCGAACCCGGCCTATTTTTAATCATCGATTTTTA